AAATTCTTACAAATGTGTTATAATTTGCGGAGATTTGAGTACCAATAAAACAGTCAAAGGAACAGATAAAAAAAATAACCAATAAGAATTTACAAGAAGTAAAAAATGGCATGATCTTTATAATTCTTATCAACTTAAGTCATTGATAAGTGCATCACGAATATATATGGCCACATAAGTACTTCAGATAGCAGAACAATTTGGAAGATTTTTCGCCACTTACGTGTCAAATCAAGTTAAACATTACAATACTTGAAAATAAAAGTAGTAGTAGTAGAAAGTAGAACATCAACCGGACTGGATAAAATGCCAATCAAATTAATAAAACAATCAGCGGATATTAATTTTTTTCGAACGGATTTACAGAATCAAAAATTACACCGGTTCTTAAAAAATTAGATCCTTAGTCTTAAATCCTATTTCAAAGAATTTCGAAAGGGCTGTTCACAATCGACTTTACCAGTTTTTAGATCATGCTGAGAAACTGTCAACATGGCTTTTGTCGGGGCTTTTCCACTGCTAGCACTCAGGTTGTATAGTTTATGTGCAATTGGCTCTATGGGTTTCAGATGTAATTGGAATCGTTTTCGATTTATGACACTCCTGAGTTTTTGCAACAAAAGCTCTACAACATGCGTCTCAGAGGTAGCAACAATCCCTGCCATCCACTAGCCATCGTGAGTTTAAAGTAAAATTGAATTGTCCAATACAGTTAGTGTAGAGTTTGGTAATCTTCAAAGGAAATTCATAGTCCTCTCATCTTTATTTTACAAGCAAATGACTTAACAATTATACTAAAAGACTGTAAACTTGTTTTACGCTGCGATGACATGTGAGCTGTGATATCAGGTAAAATTTCAAGTTAAGAAATATAATAAGCACATTTATGAATTATTGTGAAAAAATTAACTCATTGTCAACCTTGCAAAAAACATAGAATTAACTAACCTTTAACAGAATGACAATCGAAATGTGCGACAGTTCAAAGTTCTTGGGTACCTTTTTGGACGGAATATTTTGTGGTAGGGATCAAATTAATCATGTGGCTTTGCAATTACAACTCTAAAAAGTAAACTTTCTTCTGAAGGTCTTATGAACCTATGTTACGCAAATGCAACTGACGTTGATCGAATATTTATTATTCAAAAAAGAATAAAAAAATCAAAAAAGCTCTTAACGTCCTATGGAATATTTTTATGAACGTTTGTCGATTCTGACGCTCATGTCAGTGAATATGTACGTGTTGTTTTGCAAAAATGTACTCGAAAGCTCACGGTCTTAGAAAAAGTATAATATGCAACACGTTTGGTAAACTTAATATTTTTTTTTGTTTTTGTTTGTCAATTTTAACGGTCATGTCAGTGAATGTATTCGTGTCGTTTTGCGAAAATGTACCCAAAACCTAACGGTCGTAGAAAAAGTATAGTACGCAACACGTTCGGTAAACTTTATAAGTCACTCGTTTATAAAACACGCGCTCCGTTCGTGTCAAATAAACTCGTGAGTCAAATTCCGTTTACCGCACTTAATGCATAATATACTATATCAGGCTTACTTACAATTTAATAAAAATCTAAAAGAATTCTTAATAAATTGTAAAGGTAAATACTAAGTGTTGTTTGTAATTATATTGTTATATTGTACTTCTTGCACCAGCTGCTTTCAGAAGTTTTTAAAACTGACAAAGCATGTTATATATTTTTGGTGAATAAATATATACGTTTTTACACACATTAGCAACCAAATTATAAAGCTCAGCACCGGAATAAAAAGAAGACTTTCTATGAAATCCACGTCTAGGCCTAGAAATGCAAATATTGTCTTTATTTCCTGTTGAATATTCATGATAAGTACCCATTATTGACATAGGAAGCGTTCTGTTCATGTGCAAAAGTAAGCAATTTAAATAAAAATATTTATATTCATTGAACTTTATTGTCTTTTACATTATGAAAACCCATTTATCAAAATAAATAAGAACTAAAAGTTGAGATTTTCAAGAAATTGTCTAGTTTTACATGACAATTGTTTCGACAACACCGTGTCTTTATCAAGACATTACATCTAAACATTCACACGTGAAATAAAATCAGTATTTATTGAGTCAAAGGTTCGGGCTAAAGAAACTCATAGCAGGGCTAAGGTGCCCTGAGCAACTAATTAGGTCTGTTACACTTTTTTTTATGAAATGATATTCGGTCAAAGGCTGCCAATGGAACTTGGAACGGATAAAAGGAAAACTACAATGAAGACGTGGCATCGTTGCGTGATATGGCATTTAACGTTTGAATCCGTCGGGGCGGCGGATGTCGTGATAAAGGTGAAATAATTGCCGGTTCGTAACTCGCTATGGTCCCCTCGCCCCCGGGGGGTCACGCCTTCTTGCACACGATCCGATAATCCCCGCGGGTGCTGTTTTCGGGGTCGGTTCGTGAATTAGGGGTGGGTGAGGCGGCGCGTCGAAAATAATAAGCCGATTTTGCCGTATATACCGGCACATTTTGGGTGTACCCGAATGGGAATTTAAAGATTCGTTCCAGCGGAGCCTAGACCTAATTTTGAATTGTACTGAGTATGCGCATTAGCAAATTAATGTTCCAACAAAATTTATTTCGAGTTCGATATGGTTTGGAACTTGAAGTTTGCTTATAGCTTCCCACGATTGTTTTCGTACTAGAACTGTAAAAATAATTCTGGGATTTTTAGCAATACATTGCAAGTAACTGTTAACTTTGGCTGAGTGTTCTCTCTTGTCAAGAGTTGTTAAATTCGTATAAATTCATATAGTTTGTTTGAAAAATTTTGGAAGCCTGGAAGTGTTCTTTGCAAAACATGTTTGCTGAAGTTTAAATAACAAAATATCGAAACATCAAAAACACACACACATTTAGGAAAGGTTGGTATTACTTGTCATTTAATTAAAAAGGAAGGTTTATTTAAAGGTTTTATTGTTAAACTACATGAATGTTGTGTGTGTTGCGTCTTGCGTTCTCTCCTTCCAGTCGTTCCACCGCGCTCTTCCTTTCAGATTCCTGAATACACACTATATACATGTATTTTTTCATGTAAATTTGGAAGATAAAATTACCAGATATTTTTTCCCGAATTTGTGCGTCTAAATCGACGCTTCTATGAAAAATGTAAATAAAATCGCAATCACGAAAAATGATTCTTAAAAGTCTAAATATAACTTTATGAGATACTAAATATCGCACAGGATAAATCTAACTAGAGAAAATATTCAGAAAGCAACTATACAACCTTCTATACAGAGAACGCTCATTCCTTCAACGCAAGTCTAGTACTTACAGATGAAAGTTTCGCATCCAGAATAAATGATTATACAAAGTACCAATGGAAAGTTTGTTTAAAAAACTGTAGGTATGGCAATACATAACCAAAAAAATTAAAAGCTATTATAAAACAAGTCAATCAAGGTATAAAAAAAATGCATTTCCAAATTTGCCTTAAATTTAAGACAATTCCAGAGAAGTTAGTTATAGAAAATTCAAAAATCCTCATTTCTTTCGTTTCTAATGTTGGAATTATATATTTTCCTTATACACCCACAAGTTATTATATGCTTGGGAAAAACATATGTCGGACAAACGTTGAACTGTATCGTATATTGTCTCAAAATTTAAAAAGCCTTTAAGAACAAAATTCCACCAAAATAATCAAGCCCATTCTGCTCGAAATAATAGCATCGTGTCTACCATCAAAAAATTACCAGCTAGAAATACATGTGTCTACCAAGCTTTTTAGTTAGGTCACGACTCTTCCATATTTTAATTAAAACACTGTTCCAGCAAAGCATTTATTTTGTACGGGGGTACTATAGATACTAGGGTACTATAGGTCCAAGTTTCAGAACCAAGATCGGATTCCGACCAACACATTTCAGTGGGTGGATATATTAACCACCATTTTCAATAGGCCATTAACCCATTTACACGATTTGAAGTAAGGATGATCCAGCGAATAAAACATCATGTAGCGGTTTGATGTACGGCTAGAAGTCACGTCTCCGCCAAGATATTTCATTTCGGAATGGCAACGATTAAAATTACAAGGAGTCTCCACAGAAAATCCATTAACAACGACGCATCGAGATATAAGTCACACAATGGCCGGAAAACCTTCAACCCCGGCGTTTCGTGCGGGCGGAGTATAAAACCCGCCGTTCCCTCAACCCCACCCTGCGTCACTCGCGGTATATAATAATAAGTTTCCCCCGGAAAGCGTTTGATGTGGCATTTTCTCGACTTCATCGCACGGAAAATTTGATATCAGCGTTCCCCCACCCCCCTTCCAACGAGATGAATACGTTTTAATTTAATAACAATCTGATTAACGTTGTGACATTATACGCAATGACCTTTGACGTACGGTGAAAGAAAAACGGTTTTTCGTCTTTTTCGTACCGCAGCGGTTAACGTGTACCTATTTATTTATACCAACGTGCCAATCATTTATCAAAATGATACCGGCGAGGTGTGACTCCCATTATTAAGGATCGACGAGGTCACGCATAGAACTCTATTCTTTCAAATGAGCGTCTTTTTAGCCGTTCCCATTCGAACTGTCATTAGGCGTCCGACCACAGCCTCCCGCAATGGCTCCGTTTAAAATATACGTGCGTTAATAATGAGATAGCAATATCACGGCTCGATCGTAAACGAAGGTAATTATCGCAACTAGTGTTTCGAGAAATAAAATAATCCAACATTTTTTAACCACGTGAGCAATTTTTATTAAATAACGCCGCGCCATCTGTCGGCCAGTAACCAAACTTAAAAGCGCACTTTTATCAAATATTCCAGGAATCTTTTAATTCGCTTCTATTTTCCCGTCTAAATGTTGTTAAGTTAGTATTGCTACGTTTCCAAATCTTTTATCTATTGATCTGTTTCTTTTATGCAAACCTGAAACGTCGCAGATGACTAGAAAAATATGGCCAATTCGAAACATTTATTAACTCCATTTCCCTGCTGTCGCATGTATCAGACACGCATATTAAACGTGAACTTTTTTAATATAATTGGTATAATAATGCACAATTTTCCATGAATTTTTATGCTACGCGCCACGAGCATAAAAACAACAAAATTGTGCCCGGCACTTTTATTATTCATAGCCTTTTCCCATCCATTAAAACATTCAACTCCCAGGAGGGGCGTTTTATAAAAAATAAAAAATATACTCTGCGATCCCCACAGCAGCAACCGAGGGCCTTTCAGAGGAAAACTTATTTATTCCTCCGGATGCAGCCCCTTATCTAATTTGGAAGGGTTCGTAAATGAATTACTATACTTTGTAAAACCCCGTAGGTGAAATAAAACCGAAATGAATTGGATTGAAATCTAATGCCGAAGAAGCTCAGGTCAAAATAAAAATAGTGGCAAATTAGTTTAATATATTGAGTGTATAATAAAAAAATATTAACCTAAGGAATTAGACGAAAACAATTTTAACGATACGACAATATCCAATTCAGTCCTGAGGCAGCAAAACTCGCCAGCAATAAACTGAAGTATAAATCAAAATAGGAAGCTTTATTACAAGGCTTGTGCAATCCGGGAGTGCTCTGACACACGCACAGTTCGATTTCGTAACCGCGATCCAATTGAGTGAAACATCCGCTACTGATAGAACCTTTACCTTCTTGCTGAACTTTGGCGCACATGTGCGTTTGATTATTTACTGGAATTTTAATTTGATTTTGATTTCAGCTACACGTGTTGAGTAAGCGAATATCACTCTTACTCACTTTTTCCGTTGTAGTAGTACGTATACATTACGCAGGCCTGACTTTCGGACCTTATGCAGAGGACACTGGATCTGTGATTCGCCCACAAGTAATCTACATCTGGTAAAGTTGAATCGTCTAAAACAATTACACGTACCACGTGGACACTTGATTGGTTTTGTTATTTAGTTAAATGAATTTACTTGAAATTACAATTGGTGGAATACACGGTATGTGTTCGCCGGCCCTGGTGTCGTCAAGATAATCGCCGCATGTTCCGTTATAACCCGTGACGTTATTGTAATCCGGTCCGAACCAAGTGTATTCAAAGCAATAACTCCGATCGGGGCTTAGGGTCGTGTAGTTCTCGGAAGAATTATCACTGTGGCCTAAGCCTGAAACAACCCAGTGAAGTGTCACTGAACCGAACGAGGAGTTTGGGAAAACTTACCGCAAAAGAAAGAAAAGACCAAAAACAAATGTATATTTTCAGGAATCATTTTATTTAACCTACTTACAAAAAACACATAAATAAGTTTAAAAGTTATCTATTATGCTCTATAAAACACAGTTCACTTGAATCATTTATCTAATCAAATTATTATCTGATGGTGATAAGTTCGTTTCCCTCTTCAGATTTGGATTATGGACAAATCTTAACAGATTATTCTAAACGTGTGATAGTACAGCCTATTGCTACTTTGATTAACAATTATAATTCTAAAATTTTCATATAGAAGTAATGATTTTTTAACAACAGATATAATTTTAGATAGAATAAGACTGGCACGATTTTTTAGTCTGTGCAAGAAGAACTGACCAATTTCAGTTCTATCAGCCGAGTCACGGTTATAACCTCTAAAATATCGGCAACTGTGGTTCAGATCAGAATCACATTATATGAGGAAGGTTTGAGTCTGACGTGTCCAATTTTCCAATTTGAAATGCATTCCGTATTGCAACGAGGCAACTCGATACTGGCTTACACACTGAGCGTTTTGGCTTTCTTAACATTTTGTTGCTTCCTTTCAACCGTATTTCTGGACTACAGCACACAGACGAACATAAATACGGTAAAAGTACTTGTGTAAGTCGAAATAATTGTCTTGTTTGTCTATTCCACTGTTTTGACATTTATTTTAGTAAAAATGTGCCGGATTATAGCGCATCGCGAGAGAAGAATGATTTGGGATTCCTGACTTTTGATTTGCAAACCGATCTCACGAGCTTGTTTAACTGGAATGTCAAGATGCTGTTTCTCTATTTGACCGCTGAATATACAACACCAAGTAATGAACTTAACCAGGTCAATAATTCTGAGGAACTCTGTATCATCTTCTCATTTTCACCTTAAATTTTCAGGTAGTGCTGTGGGATAAAATTATTTCAAGAGGGGAAAATGCAATTTTGGACTTTAAAAATATGAACACCAAATACTACTTTTGGGATGATGGTGCCGGCTTAAAGTAAGTAGAACAGCTTTCAGTAATTGTAATCAATCAATTTTCTTTTTCAGAGGCAACAAAAATATTACTTTGAGTTTGTCTTGGAATATTATCCCAAATGCGGGTCTTCTTCCAAATATATTTGCTCGGGGACAGCACTCATTCAAATTTCCTTTAGAATACACAACTTCCAGGATGTAACCAATTATTTATTCATTGTCTTGTTTTTTTTATTAAATTTTTTCTGAAAAAATGAATCCTTTATTGTAATATGCAAAGTCTTTACAACCTTAAGTGAACAAAAATATTCTTAAGAAAACATACAAAATAGAAAATCTAAAAAAAATCAACAATGTATAACCGATAATGATAATATTAAGATGAAGAATCTGTTTGGACGTCTTTGTCTTCAGTATTTTCTACACTCAGTCTCTGGGATAGTTGCAATAACTCTCGCAAACCCTTAAAACATTTTCAACTTTAGTGTAAGTTGCTAAATACCCTGTCTATAATACCTGATTCTCCGTTTTCAATTTAGAAACAACTTCTTCATAATGAAATTCAATATTCTCGTCAGATGATGCCACTCGGTCCATTATAGCGGCCATTTCCTCAATTTTTTCAGCTTGCCTTTCAATAATATACTGGTATCTTTGATCCTGAAATGACTTAAAGTCTATATGAGACTTGTACACCTGCTCTTGGGTGTGTTCTCGATATTTCGTCATAATGTGTTCTATTGCATGCTGATAATCCTCCAAAGCAGATTTTAATTCTTTATTTTCTTGCTGGATTTCACGCAAATGACGGTTTTCTTTTTGTATGTTTGCTATCAACTGTGAATGTGGTTTCTGATTCGCCACCTCATTTAATTTTTCCACCTCTTCTTGGAACTAAAAAAATCTTGTTTTTAAGTGATTTTTGTTTACCAACCAAGGATTAGTTTACCTGTTTCATAGCATCAATCCTTTTATTGATGGCGTGCGTTTCTGTTAACAACGTGTCTGCTATCGAATCTCTTTCCTTTAATCGGCCTGCCAGTCGCTTCGCATCAATAATTATTTGTTCTATTGTTAACGACATTACTTAATACTGAGTTAAACACGGCAGCATAAACTATTTATCTCCGCCACTTAAAACACGATTCTGCAACATAACTCAAAGTGTGTCACGATCAATTTTGAGCGCGTGGAACAGAAAATACTCAATTACTTCCAGAGCATTATGGCAAGATCAATTATTACGTCTTTTGCATTGCCATCGAAAATGAAAACAAGGAAAAAAACGAATATACTGTCACCCACAGTTAATCTGTTTGGCAGCTCTTAATCAGCTGTGCACTCGTAAATACCCTTAAGCCTCTAAGAAGAAGAGGGAATCGCATTCTAAGGAAAAAAATATCTAAACCAAACTTAAGTAATGTTAACCTAATTTGCACTATTTATAATCAAGTGAAGATAGTAAGAGAAAATCAGTGCAGTAAAAAATACATTTTAATAGTAAATTTGGTATATTTTCGATTATATTACAACACTACAGATAAAATACTAATTCACCTATTTACAAAAATGTACAGAATTTTCAGACAAACAAAAAACATCTTGTCTAAATTATTTTGTGAATTGTAATTTAATCATTAAGCACACGGTTAGTCTTAAATATTATTAGTTACAGAAGCCATACAATTCCTTGAAATCTATATATTACAACTTTATATCGCCGTTTTTTAACCAAATTTTGGCTTGGAGAAAATTCGAACAATGATCTCCACCCAAAAAATCTATCAAATGAACTCGGCTATCGTTATCTCTCAGAGTAATCTCAAAATAAACATCCATGATATGATGAGGTAAGCAGTCAGGCAAATGGCTATGTATACTTTTTCCACCATTTAACAAAAATTAAAAAAATACTCGGACTAAAAAGTGACACTAAATTTTATTTGAAAAAGATTTTGTTTAAATGAATTTTTAGCAATTCAAAGAAGTTAAATTTTGTGGTTTATTTATTTAAAGTTTATTCCAAGACATACCCAGACAACAACACATTTTTGCGCGCCCCTAACGCAACTTCAATGAGAAATAAAACATTTTCTACCAAACCAACTAACCACTCATGAAACTAATGAGATGCAAGTAAACATCCTCATCTGAGCCATAGTTTCAGCCTCAATGCATCTACTCCATTTAAATAATAACGAAATAGCCTCTTGTCCCGAACAAAACCCAGTTTCTCATACAATTTAAGGGCAGGTTTGTTAGTTACTTCGGTCTCCAAAACTACCTCATCCGCGTCCCCCAATGTCATCTCATGGATCGCCATCTGTACTAAAGTAGAGCCAATTTTGAGTTTGCGGAAATTCTGATCGACAGCCAGCATGGCAATATAACCTCTCTTAATGACTTTCCGATGCAAGTCCAATTTACACACTATTGCTCCGACACATTGTTGCTCATACATTGCCTGCAACCAGAAAACTTCTCATTTTTAAATATAAATCTAATCTGAAAACTTACTAAAAAACACAACTTTGGCCAGTTATGAATGAAATATCTATAAGTATAAATCGAATAGGGTTCAGACAAATCCTTCTGAATTATCTTCATAATCATAGGCATTTGAAGTTCCGACTGGTACTGAACGAATTCGATTTTTTTATCACAACATTGATCAGCACTTTTAGGATATTCTTCCTTAATTATAAGATTTGCAACGTCACTGGTCAACTGTAACACGTCACCGTCAGATATTTGGCTACAAGATGCTTCAACTTCACTGGGTCCATTATCCAGCCCGGACTTAAAATCAATAGATTTGTCTAAATTATCTTGGATTACACTTTTGTTACAATTTAAATCGTCCAATTTGGGTATTTTCTTTTCCTTGTCTTTTGACCTATCTACATTATTAACATAATCACTTTGGTGTTCTGTAATGTTTTCCTCAGTGTACAAGCCTATGGAATCCTTTAATTCGGTTACAACCCGTTCGTGATGACCAGAATCCACACATTTAAGTTTTTTATGTTTTTTGTGCTTCTTGTTGTGCACCACACCGTTCACAATACCATTCTTGCCGTTTTCCTTGCACCCTCCCGAATGCTGTCCATACACACTGTTGGACTTTCCCACGGCCGTAAGTTCGGATGGAGTTCTATTCATGTTTCCCCAACGCTAGCGTGAAACCTACCCCAGTTTTTCACTAGATAAATGGACATTTCTCAATTAAAATTTTATTTCAGGGCCCCAATAATAAAATCATATTGACGTGACAGAAAAATTGCTGTGCATAATATTCTTAAGGTTAGTTTCTTCACGTTGCAACTGTCAAACGACTTGGTTTAGTAATCGGTGAATTATATCCATTTAATCTCATATTCGTTGAAAAAAAATCTGCGTAAGCATAACGTAAGATTTTATTACACTCAGTTAAAACCGGACATGAAATGTGGTAATTTATAATTATCATTACCATTACCATAACACTGGCAACTGTGATCACAATCAAGGACTCAAGGAGAGACTTACTATTCTGTGGCAAGTTGGGAATTTGGGATGCGAACGTGGTTTTAATGAGGATGGAAACAAATAATATTAAGGACTTAGTTATCCAATAGCTAATAAAATTGGATTCTCTTTAACAAAGGTAAACTGTACTCGTGCAAATTGTTTTAAAATATTCATTGGTTGATGTCAAAAATTCTAGTTTGATATAGTATTTATAGATTTTAGAGTGTGGTCACCAAAAAAATGATTTGGGGACGAAAATAACAACGCAATCCTAATTTATTACAGATTATTTTTAGTCGAAGAATACTAGATATCACAAGTTATTTTTGTAGTTTTAATTCTTAGCATAAACGTTTTTTGTATAGTAAATATTGCTTAGGTACGGTGGTGATGTCCTATCCTACAAGAGAAGAAAGAGCCAAGTGCTGGGACGCGAGAGATAAGTACTGGGAATGTCTAAATAAAAACGAGGGCAAGGACGAATCACTTTGTAAAGATTTTCGGCGAGTTTTTGAGTCGTCATGCTCAGCACAATGGGTGAAACATTTTGATAGGAAGCGAACTTATTTGATTTATAAAGAAAGAATAGAAAAACATGGGTATGAACCTTTAGATGATAAAGAAAAAATGTAGTTTTGTTAGGTTTTGTAGTTGTATTTAATAAATTGGTTTTTTTTAAGACATTGTTCTATTTATTTTTAGAATTCCATCACAGAGTAAGTCCAGTTTTTGCCAACCTAGAAGGGTGTATCATAAAATTGTCAAAGCTTATTAGCGTGGTTATTTAAAAAACAATTTTACCCTGAACATGAAATAAGTGCAACATGTACAAATAAACAGACTTGAAGTATGAATAAGTTATTTAATATTTTACGTTAAATCTTCCTCATACATAGATTTAGGCAGAGGCACACTTAGATCCAAATTGCTATACTCATTGATGTCAATATGAACTGACACTATATGTTTACCAGGTATCATGACCAAGCCAAGCATTCGGGGTTCCTCATTTGGAATATTTGGATCAGCAGGTAAGAATTCAGAACATGAACTTAAAATTACATTAGCGTCTTGATCTGTACATACAAATACTCCAATGAGCACTCGACCATCAGTCATTTGGATTTTTAATGCCTTATTGAGCCACAAACGTAATGCTCTCGCACCAGCAGACATCTGTAATATGATCCCATAAGATATTGAAGATTAGCACAATGTGTCAATACTACATTGACATGCTTGGGCGTAGTTGTCTCTGCTTCGTAATCGGAATCATCTTCCCCGTCCGTTCCAGCATTATTTTTTGGCAAACTTTGTGGTATCATGTTACATATATTACAATACTTTATTTTTTAAATAATTCATACCTTGTACTTATTAAAAGACATAGATCAAATCTTGATTTCAAGTTCAAGTTCAAGTATGCGTTTCACAAAAAAAATGTTGGGCTCGACTGCTAGGATCATTCGCCCATTGCCGACTTCCGTCGAGGATCTTCGCTTTTGGTCATTGACCAACACGTACAAAGAAGACATATAACCAATATTTGCTCAACTAGCAAAAAAACAAATTTGACCGATACCAAAAAAAAACCGACACCCCCCGCTTCCACCGCGGACCATCCGGGCCCATCCGGCCTCCATACCGGCGTGAACGGGGAAAAACGACGGGGCCGACGACGATTATAACTTTAAAACATGCACTGAACACTAACAACACTAAGTCCACACAGTGGAAACCGATATCAAACTTTTGAGGACGAATACAAGGGATTCTGTCGGGAGCGAACGGAGGTTAAACCGCCGCGTGCAATGCTCCACCACAGAATCAAATCTTGATTTCAAATAATTCTAAGGTTATCTTCTTCTTTGTTAATGGAATCGTTTCTCGGACTAGACGTCCATTCTTGATTCTATGGTGGAGCATTGCACGCGGCGGTTTAACCTCCGTTCGCTCCCGTCAGAATCCCTTGTATTCGTCCTCAAAAGTTTGATATCGGTTTCCACTGTGTGGACTTAGTGTTGTTAGTGTTCAGTGCATGTTTTAAAGTTATAATCGTCGTCGGCCCCGTCGTTTTTCCCCGTTCACGCCGGTATGGAGGCCGGATGGGCCCGGATGGTCCGCGGTGGAAGCGGGGGGTGTCGGTTTTTTTGGTATCGGTCAAATTTGTTTTTTTGCTAGTTGAGCAAATATTGGTTATATGTCTTCTTTGTACGTGTTGGTCAATGACCAAAAGCGAAGATCCTCGACGGAAGTCGGCAATGGGCGAATGATCCTAGCAGTCTAGCCCAACATTTTTTTTGTGAAACGCATACTTGAACTTGAACCAACCATTCTAATATTATGCCACAGACTACTTTACGTTTTTGAATTCATAAAAGCTGGGCGCAATTATAAGATGATTCGTCCATTGTAGTATTATATTTTGCAGATTATTTAGCAACACCAAACTGCAATATACTAGAGTTGCAGCTTAGACTTGCGGCAGTGTCAAAAATAAACCACCGCAAGGTCATTGGTTAAAAACGAGATCTTAATCTCGTGCATGCGCATGTTGAATGGACCTTCTCATTTTTTTTAAGGTTGATTCACTGTTTTATCAGTTACAGTCAATAATTGCCATCGCATACACAGAAACCACGGAACAATTAAAATTCAAGGCGAACAAAAATTTTTAAATTGTGTTTATTTTCACTGTACAATAAAATTTCGTGGTTATCTGTCAACATTATTATATAAAATGAAGCAAAAATTACTCTTCAACAATTCGAATCGAATGATATTTTATAATTTTTTATAAAAAGTGGCTATAGAATGTTATACTGTTCTGGAGTACCATAAAATTATTTAATACAAAACGAGGTTGAACAAATATTCGGTTTTTAGCAAAAAATGCGATGTGATTACATACACGTACTGAATCAGTCACTTGAATGTTTAACAACGTTTAATAAGACACTTAAAACTCTACTAAAGAAGGTAACAGTGGCATAAACGTTTTCTAGTTCGCGACGTTTTAATTTTCACTAACTGCGATCACTACCCAGTTTTTAGATTTCCTATCCAATAATGGAAGTTCACTATAAGGACGTAATAACAATATTTTTTAATAATCAATTTTATGTCAAATCACTTGAAGGGATATAAAATTGGAGCTTTAGAAATTTGTTTGGCTTCAAAATTGCCGCATTTTTTCCATTGTCACAGGAGTTTGAAAGATATGCTATACAGACATTTGTAAAATCTATTTATACATTTCGAGGGAAAATATTCAGGACTGCTTTTGAACTTAAGGCGGTATTGAGACTCTACAGAAAATAATTTTATGCATGTTTTAATGGCTATAGGTATTATAAATTATCTATAAAATAGGTCCCGACTTTTCTTGTATATGGCTACAAAAATGCGATAATTTGATTTGTTGATAAGTTGAGACGTACACATTGAAGAATGCTGACCGGATTTACGGGGCATTAATGATGTTCACTTAGATATTTACCTCCAAAATTTCCTGCTAAAATTTTCAATAATTTTTATACTTTAATTTTAGCCTACAATGTATCTTGCTGCGCTACCTCACGCTTTAAGATATCTACGTGAGGTTCATTAATACCATATACGCAACCCTAAAAATAGTTGCGTCGGACCAGCCGTCTGGACATTGCGACTATAGGATCAACGAGGATGTAACTAAAATTTACAAATTTCCGTCGAAAAGTATGCAACTGTCATTTTATAATACGTATTCCTAATTATTGCTCAATGTCTACACCCTGGCGATACTCTACCAATCTGTTTGTAGGCAAATGTTAAACAAGTGTGGCGCTGCACTTTTAATAAACTTTTCGAAGGAAACTGTCAACAATGCTTGTTAGTGCACACAAACAGGAAAAATAAGTCAAACAAATGAATATTAAACTGTCATTTTCCACCGCGTCTAAATAAACGAACAGCCTGTAATAATTTTTTTTCAATCAACGTGAAAAAGCGATTTGTTTTCTATATCAAAGAGAATTTTGGAATCGGCCATTCCTCATGATATATTGCAGCGTCTTGTACATACTGACCAGGCACTATATACTGTTCATCTTTCCAAAAGAAGGAACTGACGAAAAGGTTAACACTAACAAGATGACTATATCCATATTCTCAGAGGATCTGATTGGATCTATAGTATAAATATGTCAGTAGAGAAAAATAAATTAAATATCGGATACTTTTTACTATCACGCTAAGTTGATTTTTTTTAAGTATGTTTAGGAAAGGCATTTGGCGATCGGGGACACTGCGGGTCATCCTGCAAAAAAAAAATCGAAAATAAAAATTCTTATTTTTGCCTGTTACATGCCATATTCTGACCTGGGACACGATACTGGATCTGTTACTTGCTAATCCTAAATCACTAGTAAAAGGAGTACCTAAACACGTATCAGTGACGTTCGTATCCTTCCTGCGGGGTTCGAGGCTAAAGTCTGCCGGAGCATCGCTACAACAAACGACATAACAAATAGAATGCTCGTGGGATATATTATTAATACTTTTATTATCGCGATTTAGGTAAATAATATAGGGTGATTTGTGACACAGCCCATGGTATTGCAAAAATTTCTGCCAAGTGTTAACTTTTTTTTTGTCATAAAATAAAAAAGAAATTGTTAAACACAAACATAAAACTCACAACTTACAAGTCGCAAGTACATGATAATACGAATTCAGTTGCTAGGCAACAAAAATTCTTGCAGAAAAACAGTATGTGCAACGTTAAATGTACTCTATAATTTTACCTCAATAAATTTCTGCACTCTACGTCGTCGGCGTCTACCCGCATTCTACCCGCACTGCCATTCCTCTCGTCCTCCGTCGGATCGTCCTCCAACAAAGGTAATTCATCTTCACGCACGCCAACTTGCGACTCCGGTTTCCGCCGATCCCTCTCCTTCGCTGCGTTTAACTCGTGACATTCGCACTTGCACTCCTCAGGGTTCACGTAGGTGTAAACGACGTTCTCTTGGAGCACCATATCCGGCACCTCAATCTGTCCCCGTGACGGTATCGTCTGGATTCTCCGAGGTGGCTTCCTCTTTTCTGGGATTTCCTCGAAATTGATCCAGCTTTTCTGAACACCTTTCGGTGGTAACGGAGGTGGGGGAATCTCTTCCGTCGAGGCCCTCGACTTTCCGCCCTTGTAGTGAATCGAGTCGTTGCGTGGTAAAGATATTTTCAACTTTTCCGCGTTCTCCTTCGCTACCACCTCCTCACAGTAGTTCTCCAAACTGCTCGGGTTTATCGGAGTCGTCGATCTTGGTCTTTCGATAGGACACGTCCTCATTTCCATAGTTGATCTCTGCTTGACCGGAACGATTGGCATCGCGGCGGACCTCTCCTGCGGAAGTGTCGTCGGCACATAAGGTAACTCGTCTTCGAACGAGTCCTGCTGCAGTACTATCGCCTTGCGCTCTGTTTCCGACGGATCTAGGTCCAGTTTTAGTCCGAGATCCTTCTTCAACTTCGGATAGTCCAGTTCCGAATCGGAAGAGTTCCGATCTTCATCGAAGTTGAGACTCTTTGCGCTGAGCACGGACAACCGCTTCACCTCTTCTGGCTTAGTGTCATCAGCAGGCTTAACATCTTCCTTCAATGTTACGGGTTCGCTCTTGATCGGTTCCTCTCCGACACTTAAATCCGGCAGCGGTACGTTCACCACACTGCCGTTCAACTCGATGGTGTGCGGCTGCTTGACCAAGGTCTTCTGCTTGGGCAGTTTCGTACTAAACACTTCGTTTTGCTGTCCTAGCTGCGTGGAGAAAGTCACGTTCTCGCTGCTGGTACTGTTTTGTCTCGCGCCGCTTCCCTTGGTCGTATCTTGCGGTATCGGTTCGACCACGACGTCCACGTTTTTACGCGTCGACGCTTCGATCACGGTCTCCTGCGAGTCCTGACTCGACGTCTTCCAGTCCTGCAAAACGCCCCGGTCTTCGTAGTACGTGGGCGAATGGAGAGGAATTCGCACGCTGTCCCCGTCTAATGGTTTCTCAGACTTTTTCTCGTTGAATTTGAACTCGACCTTGCCTATACCTTCCGAGCTGGGCAACGTCTCCTGTGAACCGGCGTCACCATCTTTCCCCTTCTTGCTAGACTTGAATATAGACAGGACCGATTTGTGTTTGCTGCCCTTGGTGTCGATACTTTCGGTGGACGACGGCGCCGTAGATACTCGCTCCCTGCTCTTCGATCTGCTCCTGCTCCTTTCTCTGATCTCGACCGGTTTCTTCAGGATGCCGGCGAAAGTGTTTTTGCGTTTGTGAGCGGTCGTGGTTGGCGAATCCGGACTGATGGTTGCCTCTTTCGCTTTGAAAAGGGACGCGAAGGAGCTCCTTCTTGAGATAGATGGCGACGGGGTGAAGCTACCAGCCGCTCTTCCGTTGTCGATTTTATATCGCGAAAGTTTTGGACTGACGCTAGGCGTATTCACGTGCACCGAAGACTCGTCATTTAAGGAGAGATCCAAACTATTCGGCTTGGTTCTGTCTTCTTTAACTTGGTCGTCAACGTCGTAGCAATGGTCGGGTTTTAGTTTGATCCTGATATATTGAGGTTCGGATCTTTGGGACACCGCAGGGGATGTCGAAGCGGAAACACTTGCCGGTCTGGGAGCGGTTACCAATTTGGTAGTCGATTTGGACGATCTCGCAGATTTGGAATGGCCCTTTAGGTCCCGGTTCGGTTTGGTGGATGACGCGCTCTGGTGCGTTCGAGATCTCGCGGCTTGTGCTGGGTTGTGGTCGCCTGTTTCACTATCATCCACCGGCAACGGACCCTTTAAAGGGATATAAATGTACTCGACTCCGCTTTTAGAGACGATTTTCCTAGGTGGCAGTTTGGGTCGCGAGTCCGTCGTATTGTCGGCTCGACCGACGTCATCCTGAAAATCGAGTGGAGCGGGATTTGAAAGGGCGTTTTAAGTTGATTTAAGTTTTCTTGTAAAAATAGAACTTTTTTACATTTCATTTAAAAATGGGATTTAAATGTAAAAAACTCTGATTTTTTCTTAATCACCCCACCCGGCCGGAAGAAACTACGTTACCGTCTTTTCCACGTGGATTCTGACGTCGTTTTTAACTGCCGAAAGTTCAACCTTGCGCGTCGGCTTGGCCGGAGGATTTTTCGAACCTTCGTCGACCTTAATGCCTTCGGCTAGTACTGCTTGGGTGGGGTCATGTTTGCGCGACAGCAATACTTTTTCCAACTCTTCGGCGTCGACTCTAACTGGTGCAGACGTTTCCGTCGCCGTCAACGTCGTTGTCGTCGGTAACTTGGACCCGCAGAACGACGTCTCCAAAAGAGTTTTGTGAGGCGAGGAACACCGGGATGTACCTGATTGTCCCGAAATGACCGACAAGTGGCTCGCGTTTGACAAACGGCTCTGGGCGGATCCTTGGCTTCCTATGCTCGATATCCTAGACGACCTGCCTGAGATAGACAGGAGGACGATGTCCGAACACTGCGAGTCTTTTCGGTGATCGAAATGGCACGTTTCGTCCGGCACAGGAGAAGGTGTCTGTGTCCGGTATCGTGTTTTCCGGAGTTCTTCCGGGTCGTGGAAGTCCAATTCCTCCGTTGACGATCTTAGATCCAAAGCTCCGTCTTCCTTGAATCCTAACCCTAGCTTGGCACTGTGAAAGAGTGTAATTAGGCAAGGATATTGCTTTCCCGTTTGGTATCGAGACGTATGGTATAGTGTCTACGTCAGAAAATGACTTGAAAAATAGACAGGCAAGTTATGTAAAAAAAACTGACATATGTTTGGTTTAGCTATGGTTTAACTAATGGTGCATGACTTATTTTTAATTCCACTATTGTCTTCATCATTGCATACAACACCACCATTTGAGTAACAAACTATCATCAATTAGACGTGCTATATTACAATTGGGCAACAATTTCCCCTGTACATTGAAGAGGGTAGTGGTGAAACACACCCGTTTGTATCTTGACCATCGAAAATCTCACGTTCTGGGGTGCTGTCCCTGCTGTCATGGTGTGACGAGCTACTGGCCCTGGATATATCGATTCTGGGCGTATTGGGTGGTCTGATGGTACTTTTAGTTGGTTGGGGTGAGTACGAGACCGACATCGGCGATGCTGACGGGTGCGCGCTCAGTGTTACGATACCTGTGTGTGGGACACCAATTTCGTTAGGTAGGTACTTCCCGGGCACGGCACCTCCAGTGAAATGAAAAAAAAAAAGTGAAGTGAATATTTTTTGCCTTAATTGTGGATATGTTGGTTTGCACTTTCTACAGCCATCTAAGGTTACATGATATGTAAGCTGCCTTGTTGGTTACTTATCAGGGGGTCGGGGATGGAGTTTTGCTGATTGGCCTAAAACTGATGATTTTATGATTTTCTTTGTTGTCATCCATACTTCTATTTTTATTTCATTTCCTAGCTATTTTTATATTTTTAGATAGCTCGACTAGTTAAAATAATATTTTTTATAATAAAGAAATATTACTAAATTATTAAATATCATTTTAAATTGTTTAAAGTTGTGAAATTAAATTTTCTGATTTTTGAATAGCTATAAATCGTTCACTGACTTTACTAAAGGAAATTTAGAAAAATTGGGCTTTTTGTTGTGGTGAAAACCCTGGTTTTTTAGTTTTTGTTTTTAGAGTTTCCAATTGATTTTTTAAAGAATTCGTTCTATTAAAAAATTATAGACCCGGAACGAGAACCATTCGATTTGCGTGGCTAACATCTGGAGGAACAACATAATATACCAGTTCGAAGTAGTTCTTTCTAATGTTTTCTATTTTAATATAATTTTTTATTGTAGTTCTTGTTAAGTACTTATATTTAATTTTCGTTAAGCAATATATCTGCTTTCCATTGGTTTTTAAGAATATTATACTAAACAACTATAACAATGTTTTGTGAATTTAATTTAATTTGTGTGTTAATAAATAATTATTATGTCGAATAATCTTGATTGCTTAATTGCTCGTCTTCAATTTCATATAAAATACTAAATAAAAGTAGTTCCCTCGATTTGTAAATTGTAAATTACTAATTTGGGATTTTTGTTGCTAGCAAATTTATATATGATTTTAATATTAATTTACTTAATAATCACAATACTGAGGTCAAGTTTTTTAACAGATTCTTTTGGTAAAACCCAACTCATCGACCAACCAACTCGAATCACCCTGTCTACGGCGACACTTTTAGACCCTATTGTAACTACTTGTACTAACTTTGTCATAGATAAGGGGTTAATCCATGTTGATAGTCTGAGTGACAATGATTTTTTTGGTGTACTGAATATTAAAACCAATAAAACAACAGCTTCATTTAAAAACTCAGAAACCTTAAAACACTTAATTATGAGGGTCTTAAATCTGATCTAATGGCTATACCATGGAATAATATTTTTGATTTTGAAAATGCAGAAGGTAAAGTGGAATTTTTGAGTAATAATATTTTAATACTTGTCGAAACACATTTAAAACAATCCGAGTGTTTAAAAATTATGCGCCATAGTTAAGGAAATGATAAAACTACGTGATAAATATTTAGCTAAATTTATAAAGAATAAAAACCCTGCCTATTGGAATTGTTATTAAGAGTTGAGTAACACAGTGGATATGCCAATAAAGCGTGAAAAAAAAAGTTTACTATTGTAGTAAACAAGCAAACAAGTATTAAGGAAATCGAAATATTAAAAATAATAAATAACATTGAAACCAAAGCTGTAGGGGTGGATAGTGTCTATATCTCGTCAATTTAACTTTGTGTTCCCAACATTCTCTAAAATCTTTGAAAAAATAATTAACTCACAACTTCAAAAGTATTTGCATAACAACTCTATTATACAGGTTAGTCAGGTTTTAAAGCTGGACACAGTTGCACAAATGCCCTTTTAAAAATTGCCGATGATATTTTTACAGCTCTTGATGAAGGTAAACCTGCTGCTTTGACTCTCCTGGATTATTCAAAAGCTTTTAATACGTCGAATCATTCTTTATTAAGCGGAGTTTTACACTACATAGGTTTTTCGATAAACGCACTAAATCTACTTTCTAGTTATCTCAGTAATATTGTTCAAGCAGTGACATACAACTCCTAATTATATTCTTTTTTATATCTCAATAAAGGCGTTCCGCGGGGATCAATATTAGGCCCTATCCTTTGTCTCTATATATATTTCCAATTTTTTTAAGTCACGCGTTTCGTATCTAGTCATTATTATGCCAATGACACACAAATTTATAATTTCAAATCATAATCATCAAAGCTTTCTTAAATTTAAAGATTATTTGCTAAAACAGGGATTATTTAAATCGAGAAACAAAAGCAAATTTCTGTGATATTATCTTTCATCGATGTTTAGATCACATTGATATTCCGTGTAAAAAAAATTGAGTATATAAGTCACACTCTCTAAATGGTGACTAAACATGCAAAATCGCACTCTGTTTGCTTACTTTCTAAGATTTCAGTGAATAAATCTCCTTAAATGAAATAAAATTTAGAAGTGCACACTATCAACACTCGACTGAGCTTTATAAACGGCCATTTTCTTATGTAATAACCAGAGTTCATAATGAATTACCAAGTAAGTTAAAACTTCATCAAAAACTAATAAAGCACTTTTTCTATATCTTTTTGAAAAGACAATGTTCGCTAGTTAATTATAGATAAAAATAGGTATAAGCCCAAATAAACGATATTGTCTAACGGTTATTCTTCCTCCCTGCAAGATTAAAGATTACGTTGGGTATGATACTTTTTCATAATTGTCACATCTACCCTCTGCATTTCTTAGGGCTTAAGTTTTCAGATTAGGTAGAGTGAACCTCGCCTTTTTCTAAATTTATTTGTTTTTGTTTATTATTGACTTGTTGATTATTGTTAATAAAGACCTTTAGATATTATTATTATTATTAAATGCTAGAAACCGCTGATATAATATACTCTCAAGGTCCTGAAAGTTACTCGAAACCTCATTATCGCGTCATTTGATATAAGAGAACTAACCAATCAGGCTTATTCCCGCAGTATAGCATGGAGATGTGACTGCATCCGCCGGAGTCGTCGGAGTGATATCTTCCTTTATGCCCGGCAGTCGGACCACTGACCCAGTGAAATTCTTTTCCTCGGGACTTTCTAACTGCAAAAATGTCTGTTAGTCGAATGAGCTTCGTTACTGTCTTTTTTGTTTTGTTTTCATTTGTTTTGTTTTGTTTTGATTCTATCGAAAATTTGACTGAACCGGTTAACGACAACACAGCAAATGTACCAGCACATTAGACTACAGCTACCAAACTTACGTACACCGACGAAAAATACACTCAGTAACTAATCAACAGGTGAAATCCGCACAGTATAAGAAGAGGTGCACAGATCATATTCGATTCGCGCTTAATTGGTCTCAAAATGCTTTCGTTTAACGCGAATCCAAAACATCGTTGGATATACAGAGGACGACGAGACAAGTTTCTGAAAGTCTGTAGTGGACGTTGAAATCTCCTAAGGTCTCGGACTAATGCATTAAAAACCTTTTTAACCACCTGTTAAAAGATGGCAAAATCTTTATGTAACATAGTATCTCAAGTAAATTCTGCCTAAGCCTATTTACGTGTTTCGAATAAACCAGGGGCGTAACAATAACATTTCGAGAATAACCAAACGCGAACGGCTGCAAAAGACTTGAAGCGGGTAAGAAAATGGTAGATATACGTACACGGGATCTCACCTCGTCAGAGAGGTCCTCGAAAGAAGCAAAGGGGGCGGGGCCCATGCGCTTCTGACGTTGATTTTTTGCTCCGTGGGTTGATCCAGGAGTCGTTTCCATGACGTTAACTACTGGGTGGTGCTGGCAAGCAACAATTACGTTAAACACTACAGATGGACACGTACTTAGGGGGATGTCAGAAGAACCCTCAGATTATGCGTTTATGGTTCTTGCTCGTGCGAGAAGCTGAGCAAAACATATATAACCGATATTTACAGGGGAAGGGAGATTTTATTTTATGTACAGGTGTTAGAGCGAAGATATTTCGAACTCGCCCTCGTATTTATACAGTTACGGAGTTCTACAAGTTATAAAATCAATTTGCTTTTGTTATGGTGTGTGTAAAGGAAACGATTAAATAGTTTAAAATCAAAATACAAAATACAAACATATAAAATTAATGACAAAACTTATAATAATTATAAAGTACTTGAATAAAAAAAAAAAAAGTTAAAACATGGAACAACATGATGTAGCCAAAAAAAGGCACTAAAAATTAAAAGTGGGATGGATACTTTTTTTGTTTTGTTTGTTGTTTTTTGACAAATTCAGTGGTTGTACCGCTACTATATGGTCTCCTGCCATTTATAAGAATGTTGAAAGGACTGAATCCAGAAATGCAGTCAATAAGAATATTGTATTATTTCGAAACAGGAACAGTCAGCTCCTTTCAAGAATAATTTCCTCAAGTTACAATCTATGGCCCTTTCTTTCATCAGGCCCAAAATTTGCGAAGACCTCTTGCCCAGTAGGGACTTAGACAGAGGTATAACAACGAATGTCTAGCATATGTTCCGCCTAACCAGTTGGATAACGTGGTTGATCAGCTTTCGAAGTCTACCAAATGAGCTGCAAGGGCTTGTGTATTAGCAGACCAGGAAGAAAAGCAAAGATGAGGTGGACCCCCATATTCAGCGTGGAAATATGGAACCTTCATGAAAGGGTTTTGCAGGGGATAGATAAGTTGACGAAAGGATATACCGGCTTGTAACCGATTTTGAAAATCGGAATATCCAGGATTTTTTGAGATGCTCTCTGCATCTTTTAATATTATGCCCACATACTTTTTGTATTTCTCTATTTATGTATACGTACTTTTATTTTTTGTGTATATAAATTTTTCAGAATTAACTACCACCTATTTATTTTATTATGCCTGATTGCAAAACGATTCCAATAGAGTAAGATACTGTCCTAGAACCGAATTTTAAAAAAGTTTAAAACATGGAACAAAATTATGCAGTCCCCCGCGATAATAACACCAATAAAATATTAAAAATTAAAAATATATTTCGTTTCACGGTTGATTGTAGTAAAGACGTTTACGGCGAACGGTACATTGGATTGTTTTGAAAATTTTAGTTTTCCAAATAAGGCGACGCTCTATCGATGTCAAATATTTTTAACGTTCTTCGAAAACGTAGCAACAATATTGAAATTTTAAATAGCGCACCATATACATTATTGTCTTTTCTTACTACAGTAAAAAGTGAAAATTTTGGACATAGCTTACGGAGGTATCTAACAAAATTCTTTGATATCATTACATTCTACATTAAACGGGGTTGGCGAAAATTAACGATTTGCCTACCAGATACAAAAATGGTTGAAAACTGCAAAGTTAATTTCCCTTTCGAATGATGCATCATGTTCCTATACCAAAATCGTTTTGAAATAAAACCAAGTGTCACTGAAAACTGAAAAATATCGTCTTTGATTGTGGTGCAAATTTTGTGGATAAAATCGGTTCAAAACGGCAGAAAACCAATATTCTAATGCTGTTTTATTATGAATGGACAAAGCAACCAAATCATATCCAGAATATGCAACGTATCCTGATTTGCAAAACACGAACAAGAGAAAATTTGGTAGAATTAAGAAAAACTAAGGGTGCGAAAGTAAGGTTATCTCCATCTTTACCGAAATGTGTTACTTCAAATGAAGAAAACGTAATAAACCTTTTGGCCTTTCCAAATAGTAGCGCAGCAGATAACTTGAGTATTGCAGGCCTCACCGTTTGTAGAATTTTGGTAGATTATGAGACGCGTCCATTTAAATTTACCAAAGTTTAGGCCCTATTTGTGAAATACTGGTAGTCCGTATTCAGCAGGACTCTCTTTTTCTATCAAAAATTATTTTTCATTATTAATTTTTAATCAAAGGAATGAAATCGTTTAGTCTGTCGACAATCCTTATGCCAGAAAAGAAATGACATTTTAAAGTAAATTTAGTTTAAATGTGTTTTGCTTTTTAAACGATAATAACGTAAGTTTTTAATTTACGATTAACCACTGACTGCTTTAAAATACCTTCAAATGTTAAGAACAGTGGAAAACGATTTTCTCCAGAATCTTAGCCTTCACGAAATTCAGACCTTTTGGTACCAACCAGATAGCACACCGGCTCACTGCACTGAAGAAGTGTTACAAGAATAATACGAATTATTTAATTGTAGCTAGATCCCCAGATCTAACGCCATTCGATTTTTACCTATGGAGTGCAACACGCGTCTATTTGACACCCGCGCAGAGCAAGGAAGAGTTACGTCATCGGATTGTACGATGCTTTGAACCAACTGTGCTAAAGAAGGCTAATATCATCAGGCAATCAATCAACTTCAATGGATTTTAAAGAGTTTAGGAAGCATTGGTGAACACTTCGAACACATAATGTGAAAATTGGATTCATTTTTAGTGTGCCAATTTTATTCGTTGCTCTAGTGTCCTAGTAACAAAAATTTAAAAACAATTATAAAGGAATGTGGTGGTGTCGGATTTAAAATTTCAATGTTGATGCCAGTTTTTCGAAGAAGCGGCAACGTCGCAGCGTTAAAAATATTGTAGATCGATAGAGCATCGCCGCTTATGGAACCAACCAAATGGTCAGAACAATGTACCGTTAGCCGTGAAAATCTAAGATACCATCAACCGTGAAACACCCGGTATATAAGTCTCCTAGACAATGATTATATTACTAATAGTGATATTGTAGTTAATTTAACTAATAGCAACAACAGTATGTACGTATAATTAAAACAACTATATCATACAAAAAATTAGAACAAATTACAAAATGATTACACAAACGCTGTAAAGTCCGCTGCAAATTTGCAAATTTCCTCGGACATTGATTGTCATTGAGGCACATCTTAATTATTATTGAGGAATCGACTAAAAATATGTTGGTTAAAAAAGCTAGTTTTTGCTTCACAATTAATGTTATTAACATAATAAATGGATTTAATTTGGTGCCAACAACAAATCTTAACAGTTTATTCATAAAATTGACGTCACCCATTGTGACATTTAAATCGAAATCGGATCGCCAAGACTCCATTGAAGTCACTTGTCAGATTCGACTACAATGGTACGTTGTCATAGAAAATCCGGGCGGAAAGCGTGTAGCTCGATCCGACATTACATTAGCGCTTTTGAAACAAATGAAACGCAGAATTCCCATTCTCCGGTCAAGTTGCCAGCCATTTTCCATTCCTATGGAGGGTATTGCTCAAGTATGCTAAATACATAATTTTTTTCATAATGGAGATGATACCGTTTCCACATCACTGTCCTACTTTTTTGGGGCTTGAAAAATGGTGAAAAGCACCTCGAGCTACTACCGAAATTTGGAAAATTGGAGAATTTAAACATTTTCCATATATAATTTGATATGAAATATACTTAGATATATTTTTATTTAATTACTAGCACTACAGCAAAAAGTAAAAGAGATCAAGTCATGAAACAGAAGAAGACACAAGAAAGGTAAAAATTCAATTTTCACAAATTCATTCAAACAATCGAATTATAACAACGTCCAGAAATGCTGAGACGGAATAAAACGTGATGCTGTGATGTCTTGAGGTATTTTTTGAACTTTTTAATTGGTGTTTTAAGTGCTCTGTAAGAGGATGGTAGAGAAGGAAATCGACAAGAATTGGCAATTATTTAACTTATTCCTAATTATGTCGCTGCATACACAAAATGTTAGAGGATTAAGCAAATCATGTTACAGCAAGTTTTTTGTGTTCTTTAAAGGTTTCTGTGCAGCTAGCATTATAAAGATTTTGTAAATACTTTTTAGTTGCAAATTTTTACATTTTTAAGTCCCAAAAATATTATCTCTCAGGTTTTTCCTCGGGAATAATGCATAAATCAAGGGGTAGTTTTATCGGACATCTAAAAGATGGTATTTATTTAACTTGAATCATTATGGAGAGAACGGATCTAAATTAAGTAAAAATATTATCTGTATTTATTTGAGATTGAATTAAAATTTTAATTTCTGTTATAAATAAGTTGTAATCGTCGTGAAAGTCGAAAGGAGGCGCAATTACCCCTTAATTTCTTTGGAAAAGGGGGATGTAAGAGATCGGACGATCGAAATCAACTTCACTTACGTTTCGGTGGGAGGGCCGGTGTGATTTATTTTACGATGAACGATATTAGTATGGGACGTGATTCGTGAAAATGGCAGCAGTACCTGATTCCACAAAAAGTCCCTAACGTAACCCTCGAGTATCACGAATACTGATACGAAAAATGCCAAGACAGATTCACACATCACAAATTTATTATTGCCAGTACCACCAATCGCGTTCCGGTTCAGAGCCGTGTCTCTACAACTTGAAATTTCTCCTACCTCGAGTTAAATTATCGACTCGACTCTCGCGCGGCTCCAAAACGGACCGAAATGTCGGAACCCCATCGCGTACATATATACTACTTCGTTTTATTCGTACATCGCGGAAAACGCGCGCGTAACAGAAATTAACGATCCACGCATGGAAACCGAAATTCGGCCGTTTTTGTCATCGCCGCGAAAGGGTAACGCTAGCAAATCCCCGCCCACGGCTGAAAGACGGCTGAAAATCGTCGTGGTTTCTCCGCCCTGCCGCCAGACGGCGTGCCGCGTCAAAATAACGCGCAGGAAATCAATACGCAGAAACGATCGACTTGCCGTAAGTACGAAAAGATGAAAAGAAGACGAGACGAATCGCAATGTTGAGAGTAAATTCGTCTTGCAATTTGACTTTCTAAAATCATCACTGGAGGCGCCGGGTTCGAACCTATTATGAGCGAATAACTTAAACTTAATGAACTCTTTATAGTATACTATGCAACGAGTTTGATAAACGTCATTTTTGTGATATGACATGAACAAAGAAGTTGTTGGGAACATTTTTACAGTGCTATGACCGTTATCGATGGTTGGCCATCATGTTCACTATCGTATGTACTCATTGAGTTATTGATTGCTTCACAGAATAGTTGAACACTAGTCATTCCGTATCATTCTCGCAGATTCTTGAGCTGAGAAGTTCTTCTACCTCGTACTTTTCCTCGCGCCTCATCATGCGGCAAAAGTTTTTTTATTGCCTTGACTATTTCCAGTCCATTCGAAGCAATGCGTCAATGTTTCTTACCTTCTCCATCCATCACATTTCAGATACCTGAAATACCTTAAAACGAGGCTTCTGTTAGTGCCCAAACCTCCATCTCATGGACAAGAACAGGGAACCATAGCATATTGCTTTCGTTATTTTAAGTTGCAATCTTCGATCGTGACTGCATACAACTTTTGTCATCCCGATGAATGCTTGTGCTCAATTGACATTTTTCATTACTGCAAAGGCCAGTGCAGTGATTTCATGATCCAAACCTAAGAAGAGACAGGACGTCAAAGTGAAAAAGAAGTAGATTTATTTATTATGATTTAGCACAAAATGATAATCACCAATGGCATCACAAAGGCACCTTGTTTAGACTTTTTTAAAACTTTTATTATTTATTGTTGATATTTTTTTAATATGCCGGGTACAAAGTGCACACTCTGTAAAATAATCGAAAAAGGTAATACAAAAGTAAGTATTTTTCGAAAATTCGTTGATAGTTATGTTAGCCTTGGGGTTAAAAGTAGTATATTATGCACCAAGTGCAGTAAATGGCATTTGAGTCACGAGTAATAAATGATTAACTTAAAAAGTTTATCAAACGTATTGCATACACTTTTTCTAGGAACGTTAGTTTTTTAGTACATTTTTGCAAAACAATAAGAAATTCAAGCAGTGCGGTAAAATCTCTGAAACCATCCGATTGCCTCCAAACCCGTGCGGTAATATTCCGGAAATGTCCGAAGGGCTCGCATGCTAGATCGGTGTAAAATTAGGTATTTTACAGGCGCGAGTAGAAAACCGTACATTATGCAACAAGTTTGGTAAATGGCATTTGACTCACGAATTTATTTGGCACGAGTGGAGCGCAGCGGAGCGACTGTTTAATAAACGGGTGATCTAAAAAGTTCATCAAACGTGTTGCATACTATACTTTTTCCACGACTGCTAGTTTTTGGGTACATTTTTGCAAAACAACACGAATATCTCCGAAAACATCCACTCGCTCCCAAACACGCGCGGTAATATCTCGGAAATGTGCGAAGTGGCTCGGATCCATGGAAGAAGTGGTTAAGTGACGCTTCCCGCACGCTAAATCGGTGAATAATTAGGTATTGTACAGAAAGGAGTGGAAAAAAATTATTATTATTATTATATTGTATTGCCAAAATATATTAATCAAAATCTATATGCTGTTGTTGGGCTATTTGAAAAATCATGTTAGATTTTACAGTTACAATTACATTAGCAAAAAATATATTTCATTATAGAACCATTGCGTTTTAGCACAGAAGCTTTTTATATTTTACATTTAATTTTGTACCTATTTGATGCCATAATTAGCTTTGGCTAGTTTTGGTCCATTAAATAATTAATTACCTAGTAATGCGGTTACTCGCAGAGTCCTAACATGATGGTGTAATTAATTGATTTGCGGAAGTGCCTTTCCGCATATACAACAGTAATATGGATCCATCATTCTATCTAGCAATTTCAACTTAAACTCGCATAGCACTTATCGAATTTGAAAAATTGTAATTGAGTTAAATTGAATTGGAATTGAATGGCGGCTTAATCTCTCAATTTCAAAGCTTCGCTACTATTCGAAAAAATGTAAATCCCTTCAAACTCACAAAAACGGAAGTTTTTCTAATTTACAGTTAGAATTTATTTGTAAATATGCGGCTACAATTTGAGTCGATATCGCATCGAGTGCCAACCACCATCCCCTATCCTTTGATATTGCTAAATTAACTTATTGCCCCACTCTGCATGGAAAAGCTTTAAAACCCCAATATATATATTCTGGGTTGAAATCACTGTATATCTGCTGAAAGTAATTTTATTCCTACAACGAAAAGCAGCAAATAGTTCAACAAATAGCGTAAATCAGAGGGAATCCTATAGACTTCACTTTAATTAATCATAGTCGACTCCATACAAGGGAATACGGTAACTTACTACTGCCAATTCTACACAGTGCAGTAGCACTTTTAATTTAATTATCCTCGTCAAGGACGATGTAACTTTTATGCAGAAATGATTAAACTTCCCAAGAAATATATTCAAAATATTCATTTTAATTCAGTGGGGTGCCATTTTTGTATTCAAAAATATGCGATATAAGCGCGCAGGGACGCCACTGGTGGAAATAAAGAAAAGTGTATGCAAAGAAACCAGAATGCACCTACCAAATTTCAAAAAGATTTCAAGAATCGTTTCTCAGATAATGTAAATTAAATTTTTTCCTAAAAGCATTCCCAATCTATATTTTGAAAGTGGAGGTGTTTACGACGTTCGTTCATATGAAGATTTTTTAGTACACCATTAAGGAACAGCAATAAGTATTTATGAGTATCTCTTACTGATTTTCGTTTCTGTTGCGATTGTGTTGATTTGTTTGAAAGTTTATCATTGTGATATATATTTTTTGTATAGGTAATTTGGCGCAAGCAAGGTCTGTTTTTTCATACTCTAAGATATAAAATATCTATACTTCACTTAAACATTGTTATTAAAATTATTGATATCGCAGTCTAATTTTTCGCATGATTTCGGTTTAAAACCAAAGAGAAACAGATCTAAACGGTCATTCTCACTATTTCAACTGACCCCCCCCCAGAATTCCCATAACAAATCGTCCGCGATAACGATTTTTGCTTAAATACTCTTCTTCTCACGTAGCGTCGAAGTGAAATTCGTGTGATGAGCATCGGTATATTCTGCCTGCGTGTATATAAAACACCACCCAAAGACGAATCAAAATTCAGTTTGGTTCCGAGTATCGCACGAAAATGAATCGGTTCGTCTTCTTTGTAAGTACAATTTTGGCAGTTTCTCGGTAGTCTTCTTATGGCGTGATGTTATTGGTATTAGTTAATAATCGCGCCAGTTCTACTATTAGATGATTGATCGCTCCTTCGTACCGGATATTAACGATAACAAGATTAATTTTGGAGAAAGTATTTGTACGTCTAGTTTTTTTATTGCAGAAAGCACGGGCATCCGCTCTGGTTATTTTCGCCGTTTAAAAAGGACTTTTGCTAGTGATTGCGAATGGTACCACCTTGCCTCCGTATAGCGTTTTGGGACATAATCGTAAAAGAATTTATTTTTTGAAAAAAAAAACTTTATACTTTTAGATTGGATAAGGTCCCATATATTAATATCTTAATTTAAAATATGAATAAAACTTAATGCTCAAAATGTCTAACTTCCCAAATGTTTGAACAACCCTCAGCACTTTCCTTTGAGAGATAGTGTAAAAGAATGTGAAAGAAATTCAAACCGAATTATCGTAGAACCATTTCCAGCTAGTCAGACACTCCTTCCTTCTATGGGCTGTAGTAAGCTCGACCAGTGGCGGTGTGATACACCACAACGACGAAGCCACTTCATACCAGCATTTCGAAATAGAGCATTACCACGCGGTACCCACGTACTTGAAGCACGAGGACAAACATCTGCTCGAGCATCCCCTTTCAGCAGGAAAGACTACCTCCGAAGTGAAAATTCACCATGAGGTCATCCAGGAACCATTGCAGTACTCCTACGGTCATCCCGGCACTCGACTCGATGATAGCCACTTACAGCATGGTGCTTTGGAGAATGAAAGTGAACCCTATCAGATGATCCATCAACATCAACTCGAACGTGAGTGTCGATTAGTTTAAAAGGTATCGGGTTCCTAGTGTTTGATTTCAGAATCGCCTGGCTTGGAACCCGGTGAAAATCAGGAATATCAGTTACCAGTTAACGGTAACGAGGATTACGAGCAATACAAGCAACTGGCGGAAGCCGCAATGGCGCAGTACCAGCAACAGATAGGTCCTGGTCAGTACCACGTGACGAACGAACAAGTGTAAACTTTAAGGCGAAATGTTATGATTCAAATGTATTTATTCTTACTTTTAATAAAACGTTGATGTTAAGCAAGTTCTTGTACGCGGGAAAAACGCAACACGGAATTAAGATATTTCACTTTTACGATTTAAGATTTACTCGATTAGATTTGAAAGTCTAGTTCGACGACCAAGTTTTCTATTATCGACAGCTGGTCGGCGCTTACCTCAGTTTCTGTTGCAATAGGTAATAATATTAACTCTTCCTCGAGGCATTGAACTTGATATGTTTATAACGCGTCCTAAAAACTAAACAGTTTTACAACTTTTAACGTTGGTTTTGGTTTTATTTTATACTTATTAGTAATGGCGGTTTTGGCTAAGTCCATTACAGAACACTAATTTAAGGGTTCGACAATTTAATCTGGCGCTCTTGAAAGGAATATAATTTATAAAACATCACATTTATTAACAAAAAAGTATAAAAACATAACAACAAGTAACAAAAAGAAGTAGGAACGACGAAGAGTAGAGGATGATGAGGATGAGGGATGACGATGTATATCAGCCTTGCGTCTTTGGAAACAACAACTTCTCATCAGTGGTGGCCCTTGCTGTGGTGGTACACGACCTTGTACACGGGTACTTTCACGGGTACCGGTTTGGTGATCTTGATGGGTACGTGTTTTTCGACTGGCACTGGTACCGGTTTCTCAACGTGATAGGGCACCTCTTTCTCGACCTTGTAAGGTACTGGTTTCTCCACTGGGATTGTGATGGTTTTGATCACCGGTACTGCCACCGGCTGGGGTACGTTAATGTGAACGGGGTAGGGTTGAGGTACCGGTACGGCTACTGGCTTCGGTACTGGTACTGGTACTGCATGCGGTATGGGCACCGTTTCGTGTTTGTAAACCGGGACCGGTACGTGTTTAGTGACTTCAACTGTGTGGGAAAGCTCATGACCGCCGTGACCGCCATCATGACCGTAACTGCCTTCGAAACTAGCATTTACGGAAGCAAAAGCGCATAACGCTGATATAGCAATCTGCAAAACGAGTAATCAAAATTAATAAAAATAATCGACTACATATCGCAGCGAAACGAAATGACGGGACAACCTGTATAACCAGTTACGCCAAGTCGATCGCTAGCAAGGAGATGGTGGATACTTAATAATAAAGAGAAAGTCCATTAATGTCTGATTACATTCTCGCGTTTTGTTATTTATCTGCGATTTTTTTCGTGTTTCCGTGTTTCTTAGACCCGAACGGTAAAGCAGTGAAAGACTTTGTCGTATTTTAATTAATGTTCGTTGAGTGGAAAATTTGAACCAGGACGATTTTTAGTTCCGCCCATGACCAAGAACAATGTAATTTATTATTAAAATTAAAAGAGAAATAACGAAGTAATAGAGCTAATTCTAATTATTTTCTAATTCTAATTCTAATTTATTCTAATTAAAATAACTAATTTAATCAAATAAATTAAACATTCTTTTTGATTCACGTGTTCACCGTATAAACCAAAAAAAATGTGTAAAACCTGATGAAAATCCTACGTACCAAATTAAAAACAAACTAATTGTGTATTAAATAAGATAACCTCCAAAACTGTGGAAAATAAAAAGTGAAACTATTAAAAGTTCATTACCTACCCCCCCCCCCTCGGAAAAATTAAAAACCTCGTTTGACATTTTCCCCATGCCTTTGATATTATTAGGTATCCGCGATTTTTTTGCCAGCATGATTTGCAGTCCTTTAAAAACGCAACCACCATCTGTCACTTCGCACAGAGGATGCACCCGAAAATCGACCAAAAAACAACCAAAAAAAAAAGACTTACTAAAACTCTCATTGTACACGAACTCGGGGTGTGTACAGCACAACGAAGTTAAAAAAGTTTATGGAGTCAGTAGGAGAGGACGACTGATGGTTTGTTTGAAGTTCACAAACTTTATATAGTTAGACGGTATATTACTTTCACTATTATACCACGAATGAGATTGTACAAGTGAAGCTGCGTGTTGGGTGTGACGTCTATAGATTTGTGTCAGATTCGGAAGTTTTTTTTAATTAATATTTTTTTATTCCGTTCTCGTATTAGAGGCGATCATAATCGCGTTTGACGGTTAAAAAAAAACGAAACTACGCCGAGCAAACACGAACTGTACTGGTAACGTGAATATATGCCTATAAAGGATGTCTCCAGAACGCCTTTTTTTTACGGGCATTGAAAATAACATATTTCTTCCTTTTTTATCTCAATGCTTTACTGACGGTACTAACCAAAATTATTCTTTGGTTATTTTTTGTTTATATTTGAAATTAGCCACGTATCTTGTTCTGAAAACGTTGAATTATTAAAATAGACTATAATTATTATATTATTTTCTTAATTTTTACAAATATTTATAAAATATAAATATATCATATTTTAAAATATGTATACAGTGAACGGCTAAAATATCTAACAAATTCATTTAAAAAACAGGTATTGCATTTCGAGAAATATGCTTTGCAGTAGATACAAAATAGACATTGTGGTTTAACAAGTAAATTTTTTTTAATCCGTGTTCTGCTTCAAATTTGATGCATAATTCTTGTAGCATACTTACTTTCTATGAGCAAAAGGACATGACATGACATGACAAAATTGGGTTTCTGTTTTTTTATGCTTTTGGTCATAAGAACTAAGAGATAGGTATAGGGTATGGTACATAAATTATGGGTCAAATTTGATACATAATTCGAAAATGGATTTATTTTAAAAACGGTATGGTATCGACATATGCTTTTTGACCCACCCTGTATAATTTCTGTTTGTTGCAAAAAATGAGCAAGAAAAAATTGTGACGGACGTGTTTTTTCTTGAAATCCAATACCCTGTTCTTAAAAGAATTTGTGTCATATTTTAGCCATTCACGGTATCTAAATTAACTCTCGTCACTTGCTTATTGAATAAAACATTCTCAACCAGCTCACATAAAAGCCATATTGCTATGTTTAAAGTAAAATAGAAAAAATGCTTTTAGTTTTAGTTCACAATCTATGTCAACAACAGTTAAGCAAACATGTGTCCATTTGTTATGTACCTGCTAAAACTATATTATGCATTTAAGCAATTAAAGGAAATAATTACCATGCACATTGTTGTTACTATGCTAATGAACCAAAAATGCTATCCTCCTCCTAGCTTATTGACTATGCATTGGTTTGAAAAATATCAACATTAATAGTAAGTGATTGTTGTGCCATAAATAAAAATTTGAATAGATTAATTTTATTTATAATCCTTTCGTGGCCATCAAAAATGCAAACGTCTGTTGAATCGGATACCGTCGGAACCTTAATGTATTTTTTTATACTTTTAACTAAAAACTAGAAATTTCGGTTTTTATTTTCTGTCGCAGAATAGAACGGAATGAACGCAGGCAAGGCGGGAGTAAAATAAGTGATGATACACCTTTTTTCTAAGAGTTAAAAATGCTAATTGATATATTGTTATCTAAGTGCTAGTAGGGGTAGATTTTTTTTATTCGGATTGCTCGCATAAACCAAGCATATCGCTTGATAATATCGCTTCCTCGTATTACCTGTATTGTCAATTAGATGTGAGCGGATATAATAGCGTTTATACATTAGAGTGTGCAAAGAAAATCTAGACCAGTTTTTTGTGCCAAGTGAATGGCGAAACCTATGAAAACAGCGATACATGTCGGAGAGGTCGGATTTTTTTTGGTCAATATTTTAGCACTGGTCATCCTACTTCTACTTTATGACGACTATGATGATGTTTTCATACAATAAGCAAGGGCAAAATTAAACTAATTTTGCAAAATGTCTAAATTGAATTTCTAAAAGCAACTAGAACATATTTTATTAAAAAATAAATAAATGAAATAACTAAATAAGTATAATCTTCATTTCATTCTATGCTACACATGCTGTTATTAGTTCGACTTTTTTCCGTCAGCGGATGTTACGGAGTTTACTATAACATTGAAGTTGATTTAATTCTCCGTGTTCGGTACATGCGCTAACGAGTTGGCCGGTCAACGGCCTTTCGGAAAGGCAATGCCTTTATCATATTTCTGAGGCAATAACGGGTGAACTCGAGCCAAATCAACATCTACTTGACATTCACCACTTTTACTTGGGTTAATTCAGTCGATTTTACTTTCTCCATTATCTCGCGTATGTGGGAAAAAAAACGAGTATATATATTTTTGAAAATTGGATGGTACAGTTCCAATGTCATGCAGTAAAGCGAGAAGCACAAATGTACCAACAGGATACAAAATAATTAATTTGTCATTTATATAATACAACTTTTTTTAGATACTTCTGTACTTCTAATTGTATCGTTTTTTTTATTGTTTACACAATATTTCGCCTACTACGATTCCGTAATAGAAAATGTTTTTTATTAATATTATTTATTAATGACTTAATATAAGTTGCAGTTGACGGCTTAGTTCTATACCATTATCAATGTCGTTATTATTAATTTGATTAAAATCACTATTACTGTCATTAAAATTTGTTGAATAATTTACAATATAAAAACAATGTACTTAAAATGTATTCGTATATTTAATTGATGTAGACGAAGTTAAAAATTGAATATTCAATATTTAATCTTATCCTGGATGCTGCATTACTATGCATTTACTGCAAATCCTACAGTAACAACAACTTACATTTTGTCCTCTTTTTAAGTAAAAACCCGCAAATAACTTTTTTTAATTTTGTTCTCGTATATGTAGCTCTCCGGGTGAATACAGCTAATTATGAGATCATCATTGAAATAACGGTATCTTGGGTAGCGATCTTTATGCAAAATGTAAAATGTAAAATAATTTATATTGAGGCATTCTTTTAATTGTCGCTCATCTCTAATTGAAAACTAAAAATTTACAAACTCATAACCACGAATCTCCCTATCCGATAATGTAAACCACGTTTTTTTGAAACATTTTATTGAAAACAGTAACAATATGCTTATTAATACACTAATAAACTAACCAAGGAAATTGACCGCACACAAAAAATACATTAAATTTTATGCCGAAAATAGCGGGAAGCTTGAAAAAAACATTTTCTGAATTTTAAGTTTAGCGTTATTTTACCAATATAATCAAAAATTTTTGGTAAGAATCCGGTTAAAAATATTGGGTCGAATTGGAGAAAAGTATTTATTTTTATTAAAGTATAGTTCTTTTAAAATGAATATAATTTGTTAATAACGTTTTTTTTATTTACAAATCCTCTTTATTGAAAAGTCAAATTTGTCGATTGTCTACAATTCCGACTTTGGAAAATATCGGGAGACAATAACAGTCAATTTTTTAAACAAACATTCACAGGCTACTATAATACTGTGTATAAATTGAATTGAATTCCACCTGCTACGGTTGTTGATGAATCAAAGCGCAGGAGGAATCCAGAAGATTTGTAAAGAAAATAACATTCAATATGTTATAACACATTTGTCTTGGTCGGACCATTGGTCAGACAGTTTTTGACCGATTTCGATGTCTGACCTCTCGTTCTACTAACTATTGTCAAGCTTTTGGCAAAATTTGAATCTGTCCGCCGTATTATAACTTAGTTAACTAATAAAAAAATATAAGTATAAATAAAAAGTACCTTTTTTTGACAACCAATTGACTAGCGAGTAACTATCGATTATTACCGATACCAAATGTTCAAGACTTTTAAGACTTCGCCACTTACAACAACTAACAACATTTAAATCAACAACATAAATTAACAACAGCATAAATAACGGCATGTGACATTTGCCTCGGGACTATGTACAAACACCGATCGTCTACAGTTCATCGGTTTAAAAGAACTTTTGACCCAAAGGCGGGAGCCTGATCGTGCCGTACTTGTTGAAGTGGTTCCCAATCCTGGGCTCCCTGGGTTTGTTGCTTTTCTTTGGCTTCTTCACGTTAGTCGGCGTGTTGGTGTACCTAAAACTGTCCAAGGGCTGAGGCTGAGGCTTGCCGTACACTTTGTACTGAACCTCACTCTGAGAGGTCTCGTGGTCATCGTATGCGTCTTCTGCCGCATAAATTTGACTATTATCGTCCAAACTTGGCTCGTTCCCTTCGCGGTAAGCATAGTTCTGCTCCACGGGGTTGTAATTTGCTTCAGTGGGCGTTGCCAAGTGCAAGGATCGCAAATCGAAGTGAATAGGGATGACGTTAGGATCGTTCGGGATGTTTTGAGGGTTCGTTATAATGACCGGGTCACGTAACAAAGACATGTCCATCGGTAGTTTGGTAGGGTTATGCCCGACGTACGAACTTCTTTGTCGATCGTTGCCGAACATATCGGAATCGGTATTACCCAATACGTTGGTGGCGTCGAACTGCTGGCTGCTTTCCAATGCGCCGACGTGGTTGAATTTGGTAACGTCTTGAGGCGGGTTGACGTACTTCGTACTAACTGGAATTTCAGCGCTCTTGACTATCTCCACCCCGGCGCCCAGGTGTTTCCACCTGCTGTAATCTGAACCCTGAGCGTTTTTATACTTTCGATTGGCCAACTGCAAAGCTTTGGTCTTTTCCAGTCCTTTGATGTGATGTTGCGTTTTAGAGGAGAACGAGCTGGCTTCCTCTAGTAGACCCCTGCCTGGTTTCTCTAGAGGTCGACCGGGGAACACTTTGGGCTTAATACCGGATATCAAGTGTTTCTGAGCAGCCAGGGCGTGCGAAAATATGTTTTCCGTATGAGGGGCGGTCACTTGCTCGTTTTTCTTCGCTCTCCCGGTGATAATTTCCGCGTGCTCCAAAGTCTGACGTTTCGGAACCGGGTTTCTCTGCACCTGCCGTTTACCGTTGAAGCTCACGCTGTACCCGACGTTGTAGAATTGGGCCCCGCTCGGATTGAAACTGACCTTGCCTTTGTACTGACGCGCGTTGGTTTTTTGGGCCTCAAAACTGCCGAAATCGACGTTGATGGAGCTCTCGGCTTTTTGATCGCCATCATGGACGATGCTGGTGGCGTAACCTACCCTCGATTCGGCGTCGGATCTCAAATGCCTCTCGTAGGGGTTTGTCGAGTAGTAAGCCTTCGCCGTTGAGGCCAGCGCCAAGTAGAGAAGTGCCTGCAGAAGAGAAAACGATACGTGATATGCGTACTGTGGTTTGGTGTTGTAGGTGTTTCCAAAAGACCCATAAAAACAAAGAAAGCTGATATTAATAAAATGGAATACTGAAAGTGGGCATTTTTTCAGGTTTTTGTTACATATTAACCACTGCTAAGAGACAAGCAGTTTGTTTTGTTTTTACCAAATATTCATATCACCCAATCACATACATATTACATATACATATTCGATCTTTTAATTTTATAAATTTTCATTCTCAGTTGCTTGTAAAGCGATAATTTAAAACAATTTTTACTATAAGGCTCAATTCATATACTGGGAGCATTTCGGAAAATATGCAAACTTTAATACCATTAGTCTTATAGGAGAATTTTCTGCCTACTTTTAATTTGCTTCGCTAATAACATTTTATAAATTTTATTTTTTGTGTTTGTCAATAATGCGTGTTATTTTTTACCCGTTTCTTTAGAGAAACTATTTTATTGTATTAATTAAGATTACAAAATGATTAAATACAAAATAAATTAATAAATAAAACATATCAAAAAATCGAACTTATCTGAAAAAATGCAATAAGCGCAAAACAAAAAAATACAAAAAAATACCTATTTTCGTAAATATTTAATTTTTCCTATAAATATTCGCTAATTGTTTTTAGGATCTCGTCTTTGAGTGGTTGTGAGAATTATTCATGACAAGACATACCTTGGCAGAAACATGTCTAATCACAACTAAATTTTATAAATAAATAACAATATAGATATCTTTATTATGAAACATTATCTAAAATTAAAATTATTAAAATAAAAAAATATATTTTATTATAGTAAAAAACAGTGGCATCATAAAATATTTTGTTTGGTTATTGTTTAATAAAATAACAGCGTAATTGTATCGAGTTTTTATCAAAATTAAATATTGTATAATAGCCATTCAAAATAAATTATCAAAATAGGTACAACCCGTACAATAGTTCAAATAATTACAACCGTTATTTTAATTTATATTCAATTCAAATTGAATTTAAAAATAATATTTTTTTAAATCCAGCATAAAAACCCTCCCTCAATTTTTGGTCACTAAATTACACGAAATTTGTTAATAATATTTTATAAATTTTATTTTTTGTGTTTGTCAATAATGCGTGTTATTTTTTACCCGTTTCTTTGGAGAAACTATTTTATTGTATTAATCAAGATCACAAAATGATTAAATACAAAATAAATTAATAAATAAAACATATCAAAAAATCGAACTTATCTGAAAAAATGCAATAAGGGCAAAACAAAAAAATACAAAAAAATACCTATTTTCGTAAATATTTAATTTTTCCTATAAATATCCGCTAATTGTTTTTAGTGTGGTGAGTGGTTGTGAGAATTATTCATGACAAGACATATCTTGGCAAAAACATGTCTAATCACAACTAAATTTTATAAATAAATAAAAATATAGATATCTTTATTATGAAACATTATCTAAAATTAAAAAGATTAAAATTAAAAAATATATTATATTATAGTAAAAAACAGTGGCATCATAAAATATTTTGTTTGGTTATTGTTTAATAAAATAACAGCATAATTGTATCGAGTTTTTATCAAAATTAAATATTGTATAATAGCCATTCAAAATAAATTATCAAAATAGGTACAACCCGTACAATAGTTCAAATAATTACAACTGTTATTTTAATTTATATTCAATTCAAATTGAATTTAAAAATAATATTTTTTTAACTTAAATATTTCCATATTTTCGCAGGGCTAAATCCAGCATAACAACGCTCCCTCAATTTTTGGTCACTAAATTACACGAAATTTGTTAATAATATTTTATAAATTTTATTTTTTGTGTTTGTCAATAATGCGTGTTATTTTTTACCCGTTTCTTTGGAGAAACTATTTTATTGTATTAATTAAGATCACAAAATGATTAAATACAAAATAAATTAATAAATAAAACATATCAAAAAATGCAATAAGCGCAAAACAAAAAAAATACCAAAAAATCCTATTTTCGTAAATATTTAATTTTTCCTATAAATATTCGCTAATTGTATTTAGGATCTCGTCTTTGAGTGGTTGTGAGAATTATTCATGACAAGACATATCTTGGCAGAAACATGTCTAATCACAACTAAATTTTATAAATAAAGAATGAATGGAGGATATCGGATTATTTCTTATAGATATCTTTATTATAAAACATTATCTAAAATTAAAATTATTAAAATTAAAAAATATATTATATTATAGTAAAAAACAGTGGCATCACAAAATATTTTGTTTGGTTATTGTTTAATAAAATAACAGCGTAATTGTATCGAGTTTTTATCAAAATTAAATATTGTATAATAGCCATTCAAAATAAATTATCAAAATAGGTACAATCCGTACAATAGTTCAAATAATTACAACTGTTATTTTAATTTATATTCAATTCAAATTGAATTTAAAAATAATTTTTTTTTAACTTAAATATTTCCATAATTTGGCAATGCTGAATAAAGCATAAAAAAACTTCCCTCAATTTTTGATCACTAAATTACACGAAATTTGATAGAATATTTACCAACAGATTGATGCACAACGTTTTATAATTCATATTTTTTATAACAACATTGGATGTTTCCAAAAAATTACCTAATATAATATAGATAAAAATTAAATTATAAAAATTTATGACATAAATGTTAATGACGAATATCAATTTTCCAAATTGACCTGTACTCAATCCGGCGGCCTCCCTAATGAGTCGAGAGCGTGTTTAGCTATGCCGAGAATCTATATAATTTAAATAACTTTACGATTTCTTTAACTGTTCCTGACAAAGGCACAATTCCCGCAATAAAAAAGAACGATGACGCTTCCGAAGGTCGATCATTAAATTTCTCTGGAGTTTGTGTGTGAAAAAATGCAATAAGCGCAAATTCCAAAAAAGGAAAACAAATTCTGATAATTTCTGATAAGTAAAAATTGTATAAAGCACAATTTTGTAACTGCTAAAAATTAGATTAAAGAAACAAAAAAATAACTATATTCGCTAATTGTTTTTAGGATCTCGTCTTTGAGTGGTTGTGAGAAAACTTCCTGCCTTGCGAATATCGAAAATTCCTCGACGACTGGCAGCAAATGCTGAGCCAAGTTAAATTTTTGGTAAACATCAAAATTTGCTATAAAAATAAATTTTTCCGGAGAAAATGTACGTTCCGGAAATAGCATTTCCATAAAAAGAAAACGAATATTTTTAAAGTGGCGAGCGAGCAAAATAACGCGCATTTATGTTAATAAATGCGAGACCGTTAACAATAAAATACGAAACGTCCGGTTCGCTTTTTAATGAAATGTGGTCTTTATAGGATTATTGGGATTCGACCACTTTCGCCTAGTGGAAGTTGTGTGCACGCGATTTACCGCTCCGTGAACTCCAGTACGCGCGTTTAGCTTTAATTGGACTTAATTTTGGAGTTACTGGAGCGTCATTTTACGCTAGCTCGTTCTCTCATCTACATTCCGGAATAGATGTATAACAAATTTAAGAGCGCGGGGTTGAAAATAACGTTTCATCATTCGAAATAGTCACAGCAATCAAGGTAAACCTGATGGGATGTGTATATAAGCTATTAAGGGACGATTACGCGGCGCTTAGTTTGTCGAACCGAGATCGTGATTGGCTACAGTTTGTAATTTTATAACCCAATGGTGTCAACGCAGGACGTGCTTCGTTCAAATTCATAGGCTGCCATCGATACAAGGCAGCAAATTATTGATTCTGTCTTCATAAGCATACATTATAGTGATCATGGACAACAACCATAAAGCTAAAATGCAACACTATTATCGAATTTGTTGACTTTTTTGGCTTATAAATATCGTGTCTAGATACACTGAGCCAATGTTGCCAGTGCCGGACATCACTGTAGTTTTTTACTCAATATACGTGTACAAAATGTTTTACTAATATTTCGTGACTGTTTGAATGTGTAAAAGGAATTTATGGATATGAATCTTAAAAGATTGATAGCAAAAAATTACCGCAATATTATAAAATTTTCAATGAACTTGGCGGTTTGAATGCCGAAATGTGATTTCATGTGTATATAAACAAATGATTTACGTGTGCTTAGTATTATCTATTGCAGTACGGTCAAATGCATCGGATGTGGTTTGCATTATCTCTAAAAGTGTGTCAAATTTGTTTAATTTCAATATTAATGATGTAATTATTAAACACCTCTCATTTAAATCGTCCCTTGCATGAAAATGCCTACATTTGCATTGTTTTGGGCGTCTGTGGTCGATCTATAGCATCGTATATCAACCAAGTTGGTATGTAAACTGCAGCATTGTACGTCTTTGTATTTGTAAATTCCTTAATTTTGACTCGCGTTGTGTAGGATATTTCGACCCTTGTCAATACACTCAAAATGTTTGTATGTAGGTCAATACATGTTTACAGATATACTACGAATAATGCGGTATAACTGAACTAGCGATAATCATGTATGATTTTCGTTCGGTTCGACAACGGAACAATCGATGGAACCTTGCAAACCACGCAGCATAAACCCATAAACTCATAACATAACAACGGGGTTTGTGCAGACAGATTCGACGAGCCAGGCGCCGTCTAACCGCCCCTTTAAAGAACAAAGTTGCCGTAAATACCGCGCCATTTTATTTTTAAACAGCAACGGGAGATTTGAAATGGCAGGTCTTATTGGATAAACGCGTTTTGCTTTGAAAATTGGAAACCTAGGATTTATTAAAAATTCTGTTAGGGAGCAGTGTAATTGGTGTGCAAGTGTATAGTACCCTGTATAACTAAAGGATTTATTCTTTATTTAATTCGGAAACGATAACTTCAAACTAAATACTTTTTGACAATCTAACGAAATCAACCGAGTTGACTCTGAAGCCCTATCCTTAACCGTTATTTTGAAATAACTCTGGCATGCGCATATTGGATGTCATTTCCCAACATTTTCTTGTCAGGAATACAAAAAAGAAATGATAGTTCTCTTTAAAATAAGGCGAATTTCAGAAAAAAGTATTGAATAAGAAATTCTGTAGTTTGAAATTGAAAATATTTTACTTTTCTTAAGAAAAATTATTCATGACAACACATATTGTGGCAGAAACATGTCTAATCACAACTAAATTTTATAAATAAAGAATGAATGGAGGACACCGGATTATTTGTTAAAGATATCTTAATTATGAAACAGTATCTAAAATTATAAAATATATTATATTATAATAAAAAACAGAGGCATCATAAAATATTTTGTTATATATATATTGTATAATAGCCATTCAAAATAAATTATCAAAATAGGTACAACCCGTACAATAGTTCAAATAATTACAACTGTTATTTTAGTTTATATTCAATTCAAATTGAATTTAAAAATAATATTTTTTTAACTTAAATATTTCCATAATTTGGCAGGGCTAAATCCAGCATAAAAACCCTCCCTCAATTTTTCGTCACTAAATTACACGAAATTTGATAGAATATTTACCAACAGATTGATGCACAACGTTTTATATTTCATATTTTTTATAATAACATTGGATGTTTCCAAAAAATTACCTAATATAATATAGATAAAAATTAAATTATCAAAATTTATGAAATAAATGTTAATGACGAATATCAATTTTCCAAATTGACCTTTGCTCAATCCGGCGGCCTCCCTAATGAGTCAGCAGCGTGTTTAGCTATGCCGAGAATCTATATAATTTAAATAACTCTACGATTTCTATAACTGTTCCTGACAAAAGCACAATTCCCGCTATAAAAAAGAACAACGACGCTTCCGAAGGTCGATCATTAAATTTCTCTGGAGTTTGTGTGTGAAAAATTGTTCGCGCCGACTAGAAGAAAAAAACAATGGAATTTCCGTTATTCGACCGAAACTAGTATTTACAAAGAAAGTAGGCGAATATGTGACCAAGTCCGTCGAGAGTCAAACTTGTGATCAAAGAGGCCAGTAGAAGCTGAAACGAACAAAATTCTTTGCCACCAATTACGCTCGAGATTTTGGTTAGTTTTGCTTTTGTGATGGAATCTCACGTTCCCTTTTAACTCCTATAGTACAATTTCAGGCTATTATGTAAGGTGATAAGGAAAAGTGAAAAAAGGAGTTTATAAGAAAGTGACGCCTCGGTTGCTTTCTGTTATTAGAAAATACGGTTAAGTTTCTAATAACAGTCTGATATTTTCGTAAGAAATAAAGATAGTTATAATTTTCAAATTAAAAAAGTAAATTTTTAATTAGTCTAGACATCAGTCGGAATCAGAAGTTATGGAATTTTCATTTTAATAAAAAATGTGAGAGGATCCGACTTAGAAGTTGGATCATTGCAAAACTCATTTATTTGATTTAAATTCGGATTTTCACTTATCCGACGTGTAAATCAGTGTTTGAAAACAAATACTCAAAATTGCTTCGAAATTCTCTGAAAAACCCTTAAATTACAATATATTCCAAATATTTCCAAATACTCCTTAATTCCCATCATCTTGTGACATCATAAGAGATATTTTTATTAACAATATACTTGTCATAGTAAATACATGACCAACTGGCTTTCGGAAATATGTAACAACCGAGTAGGACAAAAGAGGCATAAACCCCAATTTAGGTTCGTGTTAAAGATCCAAAAACAAATTTTAAAATTGTATTTGTATTAAAATTGTAATTTGTATTTGTATTTTTTTTGTAATATTTATTGGCATAAAATAACTGTCATTGGCACATTCTCTTTCTCGGCCATAAAACGTTTTCATTTTCATGTAATAAAATCATTAAAAAATGTCCTCCTACATTTTAGAGTACGTTATCTATTTTCACTGTGCTCCCGATTAAAAAGGCAGATATTTAGCCCAGAGTCGAATAAATTCCTCTCAAGACCCTGAAATTCTCCGAAATTCTCGACTATGTTGTAAAATACCTTAAAATTTCCCTAAAATTACCGTTTATTTACGTATAGTTCCATAAAAAACAAGAATAGAAAATTATTAACTAGTTAATCCCCCTGCTTCACCACACCCTTATATAAAATGCCCCAGGAAGGCGATAAACAATACACAAATACACAATATACATACAAATGCTGAATGATATGTACTTACATAAAGCATGGCGACGAAACAGCGACCTGAAGCCGTAGCGGTTTTCGTTTTTTTTTTTTCACCACATGTGCCTTCTGTGTAACATAAATAATTTCGTAATGACAATTTCAAATAATATTCAACGAATAGAAATGAACAGGTTCACGGTCAGACGCTGAATTGCCGTGGTGTCGAGTAAGGGGTCAAACGACTTAAGCCTCTAGTTTATAAGATTTTCCCCCCATTTCTTTAATGCAACGAGCATACACGCGGCTATCCACCTATAACCATTATAATGTAAAATAAGTTGCTTTCGGTAGATACTTTCTCACGTGTGACATAAACGCACCGCATGAAAAACTGCCGAATGCACATAAATATTCCACGTTTTATTAACGCCATTTCTTTTCGCTGATAACTTCCCAACGGTTTATTAAAACATCTTCGGTGGGATGACACCAGAATCAATTACTTTATACCCTAAATCATTGTTGAGTTTCAAATAATTGTCTATTTAACAATTTAAAAACAAAACGCGATATCAAAAAAATTCCAAAGAGCGATCACGGAACATAAGAGGGCGCCACAGATAGTTTAGCAAAACAAGAATTTGAGTGCTGTGGCGAAAAAACTATATATCCTAATTTTTATTAAATGAATTAATTCCTTGATAATATTGAAACAGAGGAGGAGGAAGTGAAGTGAATAATCACAAAATGGTGGATCCTCGGTGCATATGATAAATGCATGACAAATTTAGTATTTTTTCTAAACTTTTGCATCACAGGTTGTCTTTATAACTTCGAATGGCACACAATGAGAGGCCTAGAATCATTTTGTAGATATAGGTGTACAATACATTACTAAATTATTCCACCAATATTTTCAATATTAATATTAATTTTATGGTGAATGCGCCGGGGATCTTGTTAACAGTCGTCTTTCAAAGTCGCACAGCATTTAATAAATCCGTAGAGGTGAAATTATTTATTTGGCAGATGTTTGAACCAAGCGGCCGTCTTCCCTTGCTGACGTATCTGATCGGTCACAATTAGTCAAAAACAAATCCAAAGAAGCGCCGCCGCCATATGGCGTCTCGGTGAATAATTATTTTTTTCGCTAATTTAAATTATTTTCTCTGATTTCACATTACAGTATTCGGACGCGATTAATTCGGTGTTATTTATTCATTTTTTAATTATCATTGGTGGTCGTGTCAAGTTTAGCATGCTTCGCGAAATACAAAAAAAGTGAAAATGTGCGCGTTTTTCCCTCAAATGTTATTTGTTGAAAGTCGGCCCGAAAGCTTTTAACGCGGTAATAAAATAATGTTCTTGTAATTACACATCTTTGTTTTGAAACTTTTCGTCGACAATAATTACCATTGAAAACTCATAACCATATTCTTTCCTTGATAATTCTCAAATTCACGGGATTTGTAACTATATACCCTGTTTGTTCGAGAAGCCAAATAAATAAAAGAAGATCACAAAATTGACTACGCGCCAACCTGAACGCACACAGACAAATTATTAAGAATTTAAAAAATAAATAAATTAGATTGGCTGGGAAGGGTAAAATAATTAAATTCGAGATTTTTAGTCCCCATCTCGTGACAATATGATACAATTTTCAATTTTTAACACTCCAGTTTCAAAAGAAACATCTAATAAGGATTTGACGACGATTATGCAAATTGCATTGCAAATTCGACCAATAAATACAAATGATCCTGTAATAAAATAAAATCGAAACCTCCAGACCGTAAGTTTGTTTGACCTACTTCGGTAATATTTCGTTATAATTAGTTGAATTGTTCAAGTACTTTCTCTACAGCTTTTAAAATGAACAAAACACTAAAGCAATTTCTATTATCAAAATTAAGGATCATAGTTCTAGATTAGGGTTATAGATATATGAAGATTGTAATGCAATTTTCATCGGACAGCCCGACAAAAACATTTCTATCAGGATTCACAAATTTCTAGGTTTGATTTATTGACTGATGTGGCGACCAAATCAGTTTTCTACTCATCTTGTGTCCACGACCCAAGTTCTCTTCTAATAAATACGTTAATATTATACATAAGGGTCTAAAAAATTTAAAACTTCTCCTCGAGAAATCACGAAACCCATAAACAGTCTATCCATAATTGCGTTAGTTTTCAATTTTGAACCGATTTTAATGGCGTAAACTGCAGGTCTCCGGTGTCGCCGTTTTATGAATTATAAGTAATATTTCAATCGCAACATTTTTGTCTCACTTCTGTTTGCGTCTGTGTGAATTTAAATCAACAAATGCAGCATCTGGTTTTCCGTCGCATATAACAGAAATGAAACAATTCATATCGCTTCTGTAGATACACAAGAATAGCAGATAAAATAGGCTTTCCTATTCCGAAATTTCAATCCAAATTTCATTTTTAGTTTTGCAGCAGCCCAAAATTTTTCTGTATCAGCTTCGAGTATCCAACCCAATTAGAAATTGTCATTTCAATAATTGACCGGATTACATTAAATTTTCCCACCGAATTTTAAAAATTTGACGAGCATCTTCGCAAACGAACCGTTTTTATGTATTCCTGCCTACGTGTCGGGCAAGTAGCTGAAGATGAAAGAGAAGGGTACACTCTTCGTAAATCTTCTATCCGAAATATACATAAAATCGTCTCCCGTGGCGAGAGAAGATATCAGTTGAAGAAGAGCACTCGGTGCCGCAGAGTGAAAATGAAATTTTACATAATCTTGGTAAGTGGCTGAGGATCCGCGTGCGTTAGTTTACGTAACGAGAGGTGGAATTTGTCGGATGAACGTGAGATATCCATCCGTATCGTTTCTTTCGGTGACCCAATTGTTTGGAAATAGTGCCCCGAAGATAGATATCCGGTGAAAGGTTTTCCGGGGGTTCTCGTGAGATATTTTTGAAAATATTTAGTAAAAAAATATTTTCTATTCTCAATTTATAATGATGACAGCAGTTTAGAGTGCGGGGATTTGGTACGAATAAAAACAAGTTAAGGAGAAACATAAATACGGCTAACAAGAAGCAAATTGCTTAAAAAACGAGTGTTCTATAGAAGAAAGAGATCGTAAGAATTCGATTTTGCCCGCGTTTGTTTTATTAGTCATTTTAATTTTTTCGCTATTTAAAATAAACGAGAAACTCGTTTTAGTTCCCCAATTTTTCTATATATTGTTGGGAAGTAATGGGGATTTTTTTGTAATGGCAGATAACCATAGTAAGAGATTGTTTATAATAATTTGTTTTCTTGAGAATCTTTTGCACCTGTAACAACAACAAAAATATCATTGCTGATGTTAATTAATATAATAAACATTCTTTAAAATGGTACATTTTTTATGTTGCATATGATTGCAGCTATGTTGTTATAATTTTTTTATTGATTTGGTTTGATTGTTGATAATCAAACGAGAACATTCTCTAATGAACAAGAGGAAGATAACAAGCCCCATTAGTAGTCGTGTTATATTTTGAAATATTTTCTGACTTTTCTATCACGCCGTTGCCGTTCCAGTTTAGATTGAGTTGTTGGTTAAGACATACTTGTATGATCAAGAATACAAAGAAAAGAGTGCGCCATCAAGATAGAGATAAATAAAAAATAAGCGACTACGAAGATAACGTATTTAAATCCTCTCCTTCCACTCATCCCACATAAATAAGTACATTCGAAGAGGATATATAATTTAAACATGTTTCTTCATTGCCTCTAAAAATTAGACTTGCCGAGTCCTTGGTTGTAAGTGATTTGGTGATGTGACGTATGGTGCCTGTTTAGACATTAATAGAATAGGGAGGGTACAAAAGTCGTACTTGAGGTTTATTTGCGGCATTCGAAGTACGAAAGGGTGTCCTACAAACTGACGCAAATTAAAATGGTTAACCATCGAAAATAGAAGGAAATTAAAATCACTCGTTTGTTTCCATAACATTTTATTCACTCAGAATCATCTCTCCTATATTTTCAATACAGTATAGAACTGACGTGCACATTAATCTATATTATTAATATATATTAATTTACTAAATTATCCGAACGTTAGTTTATATATAACGTTTATCACTTGTACAACCAATTGCCCTCTGATTTTAAAGTTTTAAACATTCCCTGTTTGTACTGTTAAAAACTACGTATTGGTGTTTTTATAGTCTAATTATTAGCATATTCTAATAATATTAATAATATTTTAATAAACGTTATTTGTTGTAACGGGTTATATAACATGTAACTATTTGATATTATTTAGTTAGCTTATGTGGATACTACTTCCTCTTAAGGAGTTAATTTATATCTTTTCGAAATTGTTTAAGTACTTCCCATGTTTTTTTATTAATTTGTACGATAAATAAATATTAGTGTTATTATTTTCCGCATCTTTATGCTATTTGTTTCTCTTCGTTGATATGCATATTCTAAACTCGTTTCCAATAATAATTTCACTCAGGGTCGTTAATCGCCGATCAGAAACAGGAAAACGTTGAATGGATTGAGACGAGGAAGTTTGCCGGCAAAATCGAATGTCCCATCGAAAAATGCGAAATATATGGTTAAAACGGGAAACGCGCTAGTTTAAACGATTCGAGAGAAAGTTGTCGTCGATACATTAAATACCTAATTTATTTTTTTTCCATTCGCGTCGACGCTTCCTTGGTGGATTGTCATGTTTTAGACAATAAGCGATAATATTTACGACATTGCCAAACAAAAGGAAATACCTAAACAGCAACAATGTAGTCGTTTTTTCGTGACTACTAACGATAACTCCTGATTGTGGTCCTCTTGTCCCGCTTTTGCCACCGAAACTCTAAAATGTCTACATTCATTCAAAAAAGTTCATATAAGCGAAGGTCACATGTTGAATCTTTTAAGCCATTCTGTTCGGAATAAATTTTTATGGTGTTGTATAATACCATGTGTCAACGAGATCTTTGACGGAGGCGTTATTTCTTTAAGTCAAAAGATATATTTTTCTACTCCCGTCTGTAAAATACCTAATTATCCACCGATCTAGGGTGCGGGAAGCGTCACTTTACCACGTCAGTTTTGTTTGCCATGAATCCGATGTTTTCTGAGATATTTCCCACGCTTTGAATTTTGACGTTTGTCAATTCTGACAGTCAAATCAGTGAATGTATTCGTATTGTTTTGCGAAAATGTACCCAAAAACTAACGGTCATAGAAAAAGTATAGTATGCAACACGTTCGGTAAACTTTTTAACTCACTCATTTAGTAAAAACTCGCTCCGCTGCGCTCCGCTCGTATCAAATGAACTCATGATTTAAATGCCGTTTACCGCACTCGTTGCATAATATACTAGTTGGACAGTCGTACACAGCATGTAAGGTTAAAAACGATGACCGTTTAAGTGAAAAAAAAAATCAATTTCTATTTCGGTCAATCCTTTTAATATTTTATATTCAACCTTTACAGTATTCTGCGTCGAAATGCCTTTTCGAAACCAATATTTTTAAAGGATAAAAGAAGACCTTTCATTTTTTTTATATCTTAATTATTTAAAATCATATTTCTCTGAAATCTTGAATACGACCCTGGACTTTTTTTAACGCCTTCTGACTGATCTGATGAATGACATATTAGACTTTGACAATTGCTCTGATTATAATAACGTAGGACGTATGTTTTTTATTAGTTTAAATTTTAAAAAATACCGTTTTAATTAAAGAAGTGACCGCCTTTGTTAATAATCTCATTGATACCCGGTATATGAGACTGGGAATACAGATATTAAATGACTTACAACAGAGAAAAGTGTGGAAACTATAAGGTTAAATGATTTTAATCAAGATAAAGAATTACCCAAGAATAAAACAAGTTATTAAAAAAAACAAACACGCTTCGTTTGCAAACGTTTAACGAACATTATAAACGCCAGATTCCACATTTTAGTAATAACATTAATTTAGCTATCTGCCAAGAATTTAAATACACTCGTTTGTACACAATGATTTAATGCGCTTTCACCTGCTTTCTATACCTACTGGACTGTTCAAAAGACATGTTCATGACGTAAATATTGTTTTTTTTTTAAGAAGCAAAAACACGTAATTTGATTAAATTTCTCGCATTTTTGGAAAAAATTGGCAACGCCTTTGAAAACGGCGTAATGTGAAGAAGGTACTGAATTAACATTTTGAAGAACCATTCGAAAACAGTCGAGCTGGCGGTTAAAGAGAATAGAATGGGTTGAATATATACTCAACGTCTTTATATAAAAAATTTGGTTAATAACAATCAATCAACATTTGGCTATCGACTCGTTTCGTTTCGTATCAACTAACCAAAACCAAATGACCTGTTCTAACGTTGAAAGTAACGTCAGCTTTAATTGACCATGTTTTTCTAAATACGAGTCATTGTGTAATTATGTGTCTGGTGTCCCATATGTTATGATAAATCTCTGTAATAAATTCTAACGGAACCCATTTTTTTTTAGTGTTCATCCTTGGATTCAGCTATTACTACCAGCATTTAACTAAAAACCAATCAAACATCCTTATATTTTCTAATTCCTTAATTTTTCTTGTAATGTTTTTCCATTTATTGCAGGCGGTATTATTGATTCACTTCATGTCGACGAGCGCGAAGCTAAAGAAGAAATCGAAATCCGAAACCCAACCTCCGGCAATAATAGCCATACAAATCGTGGACCCCAACGAGAACTCCACGTCATCGAAGAACTCCAAACGCACCATAGACTCATCGCTGGGCTACGGCTACCAAAATAATATTCTCGGCTCTTCCAAGCCGAGATACGAAGTCTACAAATATTCCCAACACGACATTCCCGCGTACCAAAGCGATACCGCAAGGCCCGCCTTGGATCACCCCAAAGTCCAAGTCCAAAAGTCTATTCAGTATCGATTACCTACAGTTACGGAATACCAGAAAGATGGTAGTGACCAAATCCAGCCTGGCACTACCTTATTTTCCACAATCAATGCAAAAGGCCAAGTGGGTGATCTCAGCTCGTCTCTGCCTCAGTCTTCCATCACCTACGACGATCGACCAGTGCCTGTTATAATACTAAGAATCTACCCTCAGCAGCTTAAAGATTCGTCACTGTTTGCGAATTTGCCTCGGTCTCATCCGTTTGCATCGCGCATCAACAACGTTGATCTTCAAGCACTGCTGGCGCAGTACTTGAAACAACTTCAGAACCAAATCAGCCGAGGTACAGCGTTCCGACAGCCTCAACCTCAGTATTACGCATCGGAGAATCAACCGGAGCGACAACAACAGTACCATCAGCCCGCATACTACGAGCACCCTTCCAGATATTACACTTCCGACCAACGCTACCAACAGTACGATCAGCAAGACGAGCAACAATACGACCGGCAGCAACAATACGATGAATCCAACTACGACCAGCAATATTACGACAGACAGCAACAGCAACATTACCAACAGCAGAGGTATCGAGATGGGAGTGAAAACCAGTACTCGGAGTATCCGCAGACTCAGTATGAGGTTCCGTCTAGTTATTACGACCCGCAGTACCAGGACCCGCAAAAACCTGAAGATTTGCTGACGCACGAGAACTACCCAAGTGGAAAACACACTAAAGTCATCTTCAAGACAAAGAAAGGTACGTCGGTAGCATAACCGAGAATTATTGGAGTTAGTTAAATGTCGATTTCTGCGTTAGGCGAGATAAAGGTTAGCAACACAGAAGATCCGCCCACCAACGAGGTGAAGACGATCAAGATCCACGTTCCAGACAATGTAGCTGACGTTCAGGTAGAAGAAACGGAAAAGGCATTCCCAGGAAACGACGATCTTCGCCAATACGTGCAACGTGACGAACCGGTTTATTACTCGTCGAATTACGTCACTCAACAACCTCAGTACCAGCAACAGGAGGATGTGTCGCAACTAGAGGCCGTTAGGGATGGTACTCTCAAGTCTTACAAGAGGGGTAGCGTTATTAACCCTCATTTGATCAACGGTGGGGGTTACTACTACTACCAAAGCAACGAGGACAGTCAGGAGTCAGGAAACGGAACTCCCGTGTCGGAGGAAAATAAGGAAACCTCAACCGTAAGCTCATATCCTTCCAGGCGGTTGAAGTTGAAAAGGAAGAGATTATCCACGTAATCTACGGCTTTTTCTTGGTACCATGCATATGTTTTAGGCATTTAATGTTTTGTGTTAGGTTAGGGATTGGTCAGAATGCAGATGAGGTTGCTCAAAGCACCAGCTCCAACACAATCCCACGGTTCTAAGTTGTGTATTTATTGTAAAAGTAAAGAGCATGTACAAATTAAATGAAATAAACGTCAATAAATCAGTACTCTTCTTATTTATTGCATTAATCAACTAATGATTTCAAGGATTTACGACATATTATAAGTGATAAAATTATCTAAAAGCGAATAAATGAAATTAAATTTATAATTGTTTTCGATAGCATTGACCAAAAACGAGCTTTATATTTACGCCATGCTGTTCTGCATGCATGCAGTCATATTGGTTTCTGAGATAAATGGTTGATAAGAGATTTCGACGCCGAATGCTACTTATTTTGACACTCACAATCAAAATCAGTAAATTTTACTGATTTTTTACTGTCTCGAAGAGTAATTTCGAGAACCACACTTGTTTGTGACGGTTTTGCTGTGCGGAATTTCCAAAAAAATTATTGCCACCTCTTTCATCCCCTCCATATTGCCACCAAAAGAGCGGGATAGTGCGTGCATGTTTTCGTATCCTTGTGTACTAAGCAATTAATGAAATGGTAAAAATAAGACAGTTGAGTTAGTTCTCGATCCAATTACACGTGAATCACAATGACGACGACGGTATATTAACCTTTTAGCCGCTGGTGTTGTTAAACAGCATCATGTAAGAATACGTCGCCTTCAGAATCTGAAACGAACTTTAATTAACGGTCATATAAAAGTGAAACCGTTCTAATGGAGCGTTTTTATTATCGAATTCTCATAATTGCGAGTTATTATATTAGATACGGGATGAAAGTGAACCGTGTCGAAATGAGAATTCGTCTCTTAATTTGGCAATCTATAATCGACGAAACGTTTTACCGCAATAAAAGTTTCTAACGACATAGCGCTGAAAGGACCGATCAGAAGCTTGAGTGGTTTTTGGACGCGTAGTATCATGACCGCCATCATACGTTGAATGTTTATGGTCTGGTCGTACCAGTCGCTCCACCATATATCGACCGCCCAGTTCTGACTCTTGAACGGAAAAGAATTTTCCGTCGAACTTAGATTGGAATGTTTCTAACTCACCAGGTGAATTATTTCATTGGCGTTGTAGTAGTAAATTACCAGACGTATGATCATCGTGAGGAAGAACTGCCCGACGATTATAACGTTTACGAAAGTGATTTCCATCTAAGAAGTCAATTGTAGCTCTTGCTCGGCTAAGTATACGTCTAGCGGACAAAGACTTACCACCAGCAGTTGTAAAATAATCGTGGCCATTTGGATGGAACATTGGAGGAAATCGAATAGCATAATGTACTTCATCGCTTCGTTAAAGATGTCTATGTACCTAACGAGCAATTACCAAGTACTTATATTAAGTATGGTTAATGGCGGTTAATGCTTTAAATGATTCATCCGTTAATTTACTTTTTAAAGAATATAAATTTTTGGAAAAAACTTTACTAATATAAAAATTTATTGTAAAACTATAATGACGAAAATTTCAAGAGACTAACTAAACTACTAAAATGATCAGTTTTCATAACATCCATTCCAGGAAGCTACAGCTGGAAATAAACCAAATTTTCAATTCTTGCAACCAGTTCGTCAATTCGACAGGTTTCCGTTTGGATGTAGCATTATTGCTTCTGAATTAGAATGTCGGCTCTATTTCCTCTATTTGTCGGAAAGTATTTGGTTGGTTTTGGTTTATTTCTGTTATGCTTAGTTCAGTAACAGAAACTAACGAAAAGTAACCAAATACTTGCCGGCAAATTGGATTGGGGTCAAACATTTAACGCCTTCTCGAAATTTTAACGAAAATAAATCGAGGATCAGATCCGTATCGTAACGTGTCTTAGTAAGTTCGAAATTGTTACAATTTTACCTTATAATTTGAAGATGTTCGAATATTAAAGTTTTTAACGCCGTTTCCGCAGCTTTCTCGGCACAAAAGACACGCCCCTCGTACCGCAATCGCTTTACGTAAACCGAAAAGTTTTTGAATTTTTGGCCCAGGATTTCAATTCGTCCCGACGCGTAAATAATTAACGTGAATGTCAGAATATCAGTGTTAGTTACAAATTGACTGCCCACGATGCCATCTATCACGTTCCACACGTAAGCGACCTGAAACAATTAAGTACCAAAGATAAAAGAATTGGTTAGTTGAGCGCACGTGACACAAAATAGTTCCCGGCACATACGCCTTGATTTCGAAGATACCTGATTATTATAGTTGCTTACCGTATAGTGTTTTTGCGCATCGAAAGGCCACCAGGTGGACAAGGGCAACAGTTTAATGTAAGTCGTTGCGTTGTTCACAACGATCACCCGATCCTCGGTCAGCAAGGGGTGTATGAAATAGAATAAGGTTATCAACCATCCGTTAAACAAGAAAAGCTTATTCAGAATGTGAGCTTTGCGCACGGCCTTCTTATACAACGCAACGACGATCGCATCGTTATGCGAAAGAATGTTGTTTTCCTCAGCGATGACATGGTTAAACAGTTCTACGACGGCGGGTCTATTCAAGGCTCGGAGTCGTAAAATGGCGACTGTATAAATAAGGGTGATACACAAATTGCCGAAGATTTCTTGGACGTTTAAATCATCTTCCCCGATTAGACACACCAATTGAAAATAGGCCCGCAAAATAAACACGAAAAACTCGGAACGCAAGATCATGTGATACGTCATGTAACACAATTTTAAAGTCGGGTGTTTCTCGAATATCAGCGGCCATATTCCAGCCGTGCTGGAGAAGTACATAGCTACTTTGAATATTTGGTTTTCTGGGAACATCTAAAAACAAATGCGTAATAGGCTACGAAAGTCACACCCAGCGTCTTTTGTACCATCTATCAGGTGCACATGGAAACAACGTCTCTATAAATTGAACTGTCGACAAACTATGTCTCATTTTTCTAAATTTTTCTTGGAAAACTTTTTGATTGGCCTTTTATTTCTAAAAAAGTGCAGGAGTTTCAAAACTATAATGACATGTTTGTGGATTGGTTTTGTTTTCAAGACGAATTATCGGGTAATAAATATTCAGATTTTCGTTTTCATCCGGCCAAAGAAACTAATTATACAAACTGGCCAATTAAACTTTAAATCGACGAAGTTTGTGTTTGTTAATGAAATTCGAAACCATAATTGCCTAATGCCTCGAAAATTTTCTGACGATTATGTTCGATTTTTTTGCAGATCCTCCTATTTTACACCATCTATCTTTACTCGACTCCTATGCCACTCACCAGAACACGGGCAGTTAATTATTTCGACAGGCAAGTGATTATTATTAATTGGTTTAATGTCTTTGATTTTTTTATATCTAACATTAAACATTCTTATATTAATGCTGAGTTCTCAGCGTTACCGGAAACTTCTTGAAAATTTTTAAACAAATACCCCCAGTTTTTCTGTAATTTTTAACCGAGAGCTCCTCTCAGATTTCTAGAAATAAATGTTTGTATTGTAATGGTAAAGAAATGTAAATTCAAGAGCAGATAAACCAGAGTTCGGCAAATAAAACCAGTTTTAATTTATAGTCAAATCTATTAGCATATCAGTCTTTTGTTTTGAGCCTTCTTAGGCCACATCAGTATCACACAAATATGAATCACAAACACGCGATTTCGCTTAAAATCTAACAAATCTTTCGTAACAATTACATTTGCATGTTGGTCTACAACAATATACCACATTGAACACAAGTACTCAAAAAAAAAAAAAAAATAACAGTCTTAGAAAAATATGTGACTACGATATAAATATGAGTTCTGTAACAAAAACATTTCTCTGCCAGCAGTAGTAATATAAAACATACTCTTTTCATTTCGAAGATACAATATGAATAAGTAATATAAAATACTTTGAATATGTACAGCTCTTTCGGTTGCCGTCCCAGCAGGCAATAATTTTTTTACCGCAAAGAGAAATGATAAAAAACATTAAAACCAATGAAAATTTTTACTCGCTTTTTAGCCTTCTGCAAACTAAAGTCGTCAATATAATATTTTAAAACGTTTCGCTAAACTATGGTCCAAGGGCGTGCTCCATCATCTGCAAACACAACGATTCTAAACTGCTTTCTATATCGAAACTCGTTTTGTTGATAGATTCGTGTTTCTTACTCGGCCCCAAGCCGCTCGTTTTGTGGAAACTGTTGCTAAAATACGAGCAAGAGTCCAGTTCGGGCCTCACGCGTGACAGTTGATTTTTTAGAGTAACACTGTCAACCGAGTGTCTATGAGCTATGACAGTTTGGTTCGTATCGACGTTCGGATATGAAGAGCTCTTGGGGGCGTAAGACGACTGCTCAAAAGTGATTTTTTGAGGACTAGGAGCCGCCGGATATTTGGTTTTAACGATCCTAGAATAGAATGCTTGAATATTAACTACCGGCTAAAAAAACATAAATCGAGAATAGGAAAGACAAACAGAAAGAAAATCTTTTATTGCATTACTGCATTTGGACAAAGAGTTTATTTCCGCTACTTGTGTTTGAAAACCTCGGGCAGTTTGGCTAGATTCCATAACACAAGAAAAGAGAATAAAATATTGTTTATAAAAAGGAATTCCGGTTTTAGACATTAAACCATTGGACATTTAACAATATGTTCAGGTTTTTGGTGGCGCTGCTAAGCAATAAAGCATTATTAGTGTCTTCGTTACAATTTTTTGTGGTGTGTGCTTTGCGGAAAATGGAAAGTAATGTAAATGCCAGAGTTCTTCTAGAAACATTATTAAATACATTGAAATAGATTAGAATATTAATAAATACCTGCTGCAGGGAAAATGTAAGAACAATAGCGATGGAACAACCTATACATTTTTAAAGATGAATTTCGATCATCTACCTTGAAGATCTGTTACTTCAAACTTAAGTGTCAATTTGGAACTGTGGACTCGGGCCCAGGATAAGGGATATCCAGTAGATATAATATACCTGGATTTTTAAAGAGCTTTTGACACAGTCCCCCTGGCAAGACTTGCTTACAAACTACAGCACTATGGTATAAAAGGTAAACTACTGGGATGGAATAAGGACTACCTTTCATGTAGTGAGGATAAATGGCTTTCTTCAGATTTTGAGGTTTGAGTGGAGTGCCTCAGGGATCAGTGCTGGGATCCCTGTTATATCTCTGACCTTGCTGAGAACATGATGTGCAGCATTAGTATGTATGCTGACAATACTAAGATTTTTGGAGACCCAACTTTACAACATGGGGACTTAGTTGAAGATTTAGCTGAATTGGAAATATGGACAAGGTACACTGGCTACTCTTCATATAGATTATAACAATTTTCAATTGACTATGGTACAAATGGTACTGACTTAAGATCCGTAGGTGAAGAGATAAACCTAGGTGTTTTAATATCTGAGATCCTAAAATGGGAAGGCCAGGTTACAAAGGTAGTAAACATGCCAACACCTTAATCTATCTGATGCAAAGTGCCTTCACAGAGATGTCTCAAGAATCTTCATGTGCTTCATGGTCCCGCTTCATACTTCGAATAGGGCGAGCAACAAAAATCCCACCATCTTTCTGGAACCTCCCATTTGAAGATCGATTAAAATGTCTTCGCCTAACCACTTTGGAAGAAAGGAGAAGACGGGGGACTTAATTGAATGCTACAAAGTCCTTTGACTTTTTTTCATTGAAATGGCAATAACCTAAAGGGCCATTCACTAAAAATGTGAACTGTGTAAATGAGTGGAACAATTTATTAGATGATATTGTGAAAAACTTTAAAAATAGACTTGATAATTTTGTAAATAGGCAGTGAATGCAGTGTCAATATGTGACTTGTTTATGTAGTGTATGTGTGTGTGCTTTGCCGCCTACTGCCTAATAGCATAATAATATTAGTAGTAATAATAATCTTCAGGGCTACTAACCTGAGGTTCCTGTAACATCCCTGCCGCTGGGCGCACAAAGGCAAAACATTTCCGGTATCCAATTGTTCCTTCCACATGTTCAATTTACGTCGTTGTTCCGTAGTAAAACTGTCCACGTTATCGGCCTTTTCACATAATGTATTGAAAAGGACTAAACTTTCATCACTTGGCTGCCTGAGCATCAAGAGCTGACTGCAAACTGAAAAACCCACCGAATCAGTCATTTGGATAACTCATCCGAGTCCTTTACCCTTCCCCATCACCCTGACGAACTGCGAGGGTAGATCTTCGCCCAACGATAGCTGCAGAGGACTCTGAAGGATGACCTTAAGTTTCTTTAGAGTGTCGTAGATGTCTCCCCCATTCCGAATGTCCACTTCTAGCTCTGCCAGAACTGCACTTCTTTCCGTTAGACGTTGCAAGCTGAGCAAGAGTTTCTGACGCGCACCTTTGGTGACCCCCACTTCTATTAAATAATCCTCAGAGAGGTTGAGCATCTGATGCGTGGTCAGGTTGTGAAATATCCAGCTATATTTATGCAACCGCAAAGATTTCAACCATGACAGTATGCTCTTCATTAACGGCTGACTGTTTTTGAGCATAATTTCTTGGAGTTTCGTTTCCGAACTGCTCAGTTGGATACCAGATCCAGACTCGGTCGTAGTTTTGTCGCAGGACAAGGAATAACTTCTGGGTTTGGCAATTGCTGGTGTCAAATTCTCCTGCGACGACCAGTTGTCTGCCTCGAGGCCATAAATCATAGCAGGAGTGAGACTGTTACATCGTCGCTTATCGGTTGTGTAAAATTCCGGATTCGGGCTGACGCATTCATCGCTCGATTCGTTCACTGGCGAATGTATGAAGTTTTCTGGGCTGACCTAAATAAGTTACAACTGCTAGCTAAAATTGTTTGCTTGACGGGTGAGTTACTATATTTTACCTTGTTTAGAACTTGTTTTAAAAGATGTTTGAACGACGTCTTGTCCTCCTTATCGAACGCGGGATGAATGTACACGTAAGACATGATTTCAACGCACTCATTATAAATTTTTTTAAACGGTGGAGCGATGAATTCGGTCAATATTCGTCTAATCGTGTTCAAGTAACACCTAGCCGCTTCCCGGTTGCCGGGCTTGAGCATCGGCAAATGATTGAGCAACAAGCATAGCGCCATTTGCGGGTTTTCCTTTAAAAAACTCGATATCACGTTGCAATCGTTGGCGTGCCTCTCGAGTATTTGAGTTTCCGGACTCGAAATCGACTTCACAAGCTGATCGAGCGCATTTTGTAAAAAACGCGCGTTGGAAAACGGCAAACCGACCATCAGATAAAAGAGCGCCACTGTTTTCTCACAGCTGTCCCACTTTTGGAATTTTACGCGTACCTCGTTCAACTGCTCGCAAAATTCGGAAAAGTCTCGCGTTTGGCCAAACTCCATTTTTAAATTGGACGAAACCGCGAAATGCAACGGGCGTTCGGAAAAAAACTACAGTTTTTGCGTGACTGCGGTTTTTGTCATTATCAACGGTTCGAGCTTTTCGTCGTTTGCGCGCGCGCCACTCGTCCGTTTATGGAAATATATCTAAATGTATTGCATACGCCGAACATAAAGGCATAATAATTATAAGCTGCGATTTATCGAGCAGAAATCAAAAACTTGCATGCAGGTGACATTGACACTAAATTTATTTTCATCTTCTTTTTACATTCGCGGCCCTTTGTCACATTGTCACGTTGTAAAATTTTGGGTCTGTGGTCGGAATTTTCTTTCCCGCAATGCGTGCAATACTTGTGAATTGGCTTGAGATGCCGTATTTTAAAGAATTTTTTGCGAGTTACCATTGATTCTAGTGGGAACTGAATTTCAATCATCGACGTTTTCACGATGACGAGTAATAGGGTAAGTTAAATAACGTCATAAACTATAAAACGAAAACACTTACTTACCGCATCTATGAGCTTGGTTATTGGAGGTAATAGATTGATAACTGACGTTTGTTGGGGATGTTTTAGCAAATTTTACGAAATGTAACAAAAAATATCAAATTAATTACATATAATGAAGAAAATTTTTTTTTCGCAGGATTAAACGATGACTAAATTCACTATCCTTTATTTCGAAGTGCGACAGTAATCTGTCTATTACCAATGTCAGATCAACGGTGAACTCCCGAAAAATTCGCTTTTGTGCATTTAAAAATATAATGGAATATATGGAAACAGATGACCAGGCACAAAAATTTAGTACAACAATCAGTGCTGAAATTTGGCTTCAAGATTTTGAAAACCAAAATAAATTAATTTTAGGATTTTAAGGACTTTTAGATGTAGTCAATCAAAGCTTGTTTTTAAGGGGCTAGAAGATTTGTTAATAATTTACGTAGTATTTATTTTTTTGGAGGTAGCTATTTTTTTAGAAAAATTATCAGTCATCATAATACCAGGGCAAGTTTTCCATCACCATAAACCATCATCAAAACATGCCAAACTGTCTGGCATTTTTAAGAAAAGTGTAACATGGAAAGATTAACTTTTTACTTTTCTAAATTATGTTATATGTGCCTAACACTACAGATATTATGTAGATGTTTTATTAAAAACTCATCCTTGTGAAATAATAAGACATAATCACAATCTTTTGCTAGACTGTACAGATGCTTTGAGATTTCAGACATACTAAAGAAACAAGAAAAAATATTGGAGTTATTTGTAAAGAGTCATTCTCCACATATTAAAGTATGACTTTCAAGAGCAACATGTAATGTGTGTGGTGATCAGTATTCTCAAATTTAAAAAGGAGTATTTGACAGAAGATGGAGCTGAAATGATAAAATTGTTGCTAAAACATAGTGTGGATTATAGAACAGTTGTACCAAACACTGATCTAGAAAAAACAAAATCATTTTTGTAAAATATTTTAAATTATAGTTTTTGAAAGATTATTTGAAGATATGAAAGATCCTCAAATTTTAGATGCATCAGAAAAATTTATTCAGAACTTCAACAACATTAGAATAAAATCAGTACTTCAGTCTATATAGGATGGAGGAAACAACATACAGGTGGAACCGTAAAACAACATTTTATGGTAGAACATAGATATTCAACTTATCTAGTCAACTTATTGGTTGGTGCTCCTAAAAATAAGAAAAAATGTCACACCACATTACTTATCATATTGTGTGGAGCAGAATATATCTTTAAAATGAATAAAAGTCTAACCAAACCTTAAAGTTGACTTTTGATTAATAGGATTAATAGACTATTTTGGAAATTAACAAAACTCTCACCAAACCAAATTGGGAATTTGTTAGTGAGCAGAACGCGTTGGTTGTATTTTTTGGGCATTGTCTAAAGTTTGATCATAACATAGAGAACAGATAGACCTACATACATATACATAATGTATTATTTTTGGCGAGAATTAAATTTAATTTAGAAATGGAGCATTTCAAAACGTGGAGTTGCTCAGGCAGTTTGTTTTAAGATAATTAAACATTTTCATTAGGTATACGTTTTCTCGCTCACACTTTCTTTTAAAATATCCAACTTATAATGGCTAACACAGCAACTAGTGTCTATAAATGTTAATGCTTAAAATTAATTTATATATACAAAAATAACTTTCATTCAACACATGATATAACTGAATCTCTAAAATTTAATGAACCATATATATTAACCGAATTTTATTGAAATATTGACTTAGGTAGTGAATGAAAACATTTTATTTATTTTTTAATAATTATTACTCACTGAAATGTAGCGGGAGTTAAAAAATATTCTTCAGAACCAAAGATATGCTAATATTTATAATATTAAAATTAAAACGCTTAAAATCTCAATATAAAGGCTAATGCATGCTAAGTCCAATCACGCAATCGTTATTCGCAGGTAAATCTTTTGCTGTTATAACTGTGCTACAGAAATGGTAAAAAATATAGAAATGCTCCAACGCTTTTAGGTACTAACTTGAAGCGTTAATTTTAATTTTTTTCCAATATCAGTTTTGAGATTTGCAGAGGTATTCTTCCAATCTCCACTAGTAACCACTTGTAACCCCTTTACATTGTTAAACCCACTGCCGTCGAACGATGAAGAGAAAAACGGTTCTATTCGCAATTTTTACATGGCAACAGTTCAGCAAATAAAACCACAGAGGCCTGTGCATTTTAAACGATTTATTTGACATTGAAACAATAATAAAATTGAAACCCCCCCGAGGACCGCGGCCCGATCCCCGTGCCGAGAAACAATACCAACCTACCTAGCCTAATCAATATAATAAAACACATTTTATGCGTAATAAAGAAAAATTGAAGAAACGAAAAAAAAGACATCCGGAATTTACTAAATGGCATCGATGTCCACATCGTCCTCGCCCTCGTCCTCGGCCTTGGCCGGTTTCTTGGCCGCCGCCGGCGCCGGTTTCAGCGGTGTCACCTGCACCCGGTCATTGTACTCGATTTCCACCTGAAAACCGCGCGCCCCCTTATCGATCACATAATTCTCTTTTGTCGTGACAAAAAAAAAAACAACACCAAAGATATTAATTCCAAATTCCAAACAAAGTGTTTCCATTACCCTCAAAAAATAAAACAAGCTCGTTATGAGTGTGCCGTCCTCTTTTATGGTTCCATCGTTTTTGGAATAGCGAGGTTTGAACCAAGGATGGCCAAGAAGAATAGGCAACATAATGTTGACAAAATGGGTTAGGATTATTGAGCATATTAGAATGTTCGCCAGAAGGATCGCTACCCAAATAAACCCTAACAGAACCAATAATTTGTGTAATTATGCCTTATATATATTATTTAGTTTTTCCTTTAAATTGAGTCTTGCAATATACTCATTTTTTTGTAATTTTTTCTTATTGACTAATAAAAGAATTTTATTATTAACATAACGCAAGGTACCGCAAACGTCTCACACTCACCTCGTCGTCGCTCTCTTCCTCCGACTCGGACGACTCCTCGTCCGCCTCCTTCAGCCATTTGACGAACGGCGCGGCCTTATCGTGGATTTCCTGGCTCACTTCCTTTGACACGTACTTCCGCGACACCTTTTCGTCCCACTCGAGTATGGCTGCCTCCTGCAACACGTCCAGGTCATAGAGCACCTTGAGAAGGGCGGGCACCCGTGGCATGAGCACGTCGCGATGGAGTGCGACCACCTGTTCCAGCCCGCCCATAAGGTAGCGTTGCGCGCGTTTATCATTTAAGGTGAAACGCAGCAGCAGCAGACGGAATCGGCGCGCTTGCTGCAACGCGTTCTGATCGAACAGGAGCTCCATCAGGACGAGCGGCGCTTTCGTCTTCACTTCGAGCCGTTCCGCCTCCGACAGCAGCTCTTTCTGGTCTTCGGGACGTTCGAGCAGGTTCGCGTCCCGTTTCGCCTTCACCATCGCGTAAAATATATCCATGCGTTCCTTTTCCGTTTTCTCCAGGTCGTCGGTGATTGTCATCGATTTCGCGCCGTCGGTGAGATCTTGCATACGGGCGCGAACCGCTTCCTCGGACACGTCGACCGCCCACTCGGTGTCATCGTCTTCGCTAGCGCCGATCCCGTTATCGGCGGACGATCTCTCGGTGACGGAAGTATCGACCGACGAGTCGTTCACGTCGCCCACAGACTGATCCTGATCCTGGCCGTCGCCGTTCGCCTTCTTGCTACGTTTCGACCGCTTGCCTTCGGTCAGCGACGAGCCCTGCGTCGCCGGGTTCAAATTCGGCGGGTTCTTTAGGATGAACGTCATCAGCTTATGATTGCTGACGAGGAGACCGTGGTGGCCGCACGCCTTGCAACCCTGCGATATCGTGTTCTTTTTCGTGCTGACGATCAGCTCGGTCTCGGGGTTCTCGCACTCGGGACACAGCACGAATTTCCTGATGAAACCGTCGAGCAGGTCTTGAAGTTTGCCGGCGTCGTGGGATCCATTCACGATGAAACGTTCATTCTGAGGGAAAACGTGACAAACGGTCCACGCCGATCGAAACGAAACGTTCTAGAACGATCGGTGGGCGGGGGCCGACGCGAGACACGCCCACCGGCGGGCGGTGTATGCTGTAGGTGTGCCACTTGTTTTTTTTTTAGGCAAACATACCGTCGATCGTAATGAGCATAAGTAATTATAAAAAAATATAACGACATCAAAACTGTAGGCAACCTCAACACTCAATGAGGAAATATATTGCAATACTATGCAATATTATAGCACTAGTGTCTTACTGGCAACATAGGACGTTGTGCCCCGCCCAAAACTCGCATCCTTACCTTGAAATCGAACTGGGTCTGGGCGCCGAGCTCGCAACCGAAGTACTTGGTGGGGTAGGTCGGCGGCCTGCCCAGCGCTTTGGCCACCTCCGCCATGTTGACGATGACGGTTTTGATGCCGTTGCCCTTGCCCTCGACTTTGGCCATGAGCCGCGGCATCTTGTACCGGTAGAACACATCGCTAACGCTACGGTTGACGTTTACGCTCATTTTTTTTACAAGCGTATGGATGGGGGTAGAGAAGAGGAAAAACGGCTCTAGTTGCCGATAAAAACTACACAACCTGAAAGTGAGAGGAAGGCTGCGAACTTGACGCCTCGTGCTTAACGGGAGACACCGGGACAAAAAGAGACTAACCGACCCAGCCCAAGCGGTGAAACCCTCTCTGCAGCGACAGGGCGTATAATGAGGAAAATTTTAACTACACCATATATCATAATCTGTTGCCTCTCGTTTTTTGATTTGACGTCATATTTATTTCGAAAAAAATTGCTTTTTTGATGGTAGATGGTAGAATGCCTGTTAATTCGCTATAATTTAAATATTTTACTTTCAAAAAGTATGTATTTTATATATATTCAACTAACTAACCAACACTTGTCTTAGCTCTTCACAAAATATTGATTTTTCTGGTGGTCAAGAATGGGGCTGCCACTTTTAGCATAGAATCGGTAACTCCCTTTTTTTTACGTTTCGCTACGACGCTTACCTAACGAAACGGAACCTGTTCGATTATTATTATGATTATACGAAGGTGGTGGTGGTGGTGGTTGACGAAATGGTCGACGTTTTACCGACTGACGGGGGGACAAAAAGCAACGGTCCGGCCTCGACGGGATCAAGTCACGTTTCTCTGAATGGCTGCAGTTTCCGATGCCTATTGGATAAAAATTTTGTTGTCCTAAAACCGACAGACGCGTCAAACGGACGTGGTAAACGGGCGAAGGGGTGGGGTTGGCGGGGGTTTACCTATAAGAGGTGGGCGTTCGACGCTGCGAAGTCATACACCTCGCTGGCTCGGGCCCTAAACTCCCAACTATACTTTTGGTTAGTGATTTCTCTGAAACATCAAAAACGAAAGTAACAAAATTTCGTTGGTTTCGTTACCAATTTCGCGCAGACAGCTCAAAATGCCATCCTAAACACTTTTTTCAGTGCGAGTTTTTGGAATGACGTTGATGACTTGACTGACGTCATAATCGCTTATAAATGAAAAAAAAATCTCCTACGTGGCGGATACGTACGACACTGTATCACAACATAATCCTTTTTAAAGATATCTCGAAGCGTACACACTTTTACTTTTTTTTTCCTTTCGATTTTAACGGAATGTCATAATAAAATCATTCGCCAAGTTTAAATAATTCTCATGGAAAAAAATAATCGCTGAAAATCAAATTGAATTTGCCGCACTTAAACAGTGTATGGGCGGATGCAGAGTAGAATGCGAGACAGTTTCATTTAAGTGCTGAAGAACCCAACAGGATGATTGGCGAAACGTCAGCAAGTTCGATTTATCGACAACCGCCACAGGAGGAATCCAGACTATTTTAAATAGTATTACAGTAGCCCGCTGGAAGTTTCTTTGGAAATTTGTAGCGATGGATGCACAAAGACATGCACTCGCGACATTTATTTTTTCTCAAATATAAATAACGAAAATTGTTAAGGTACCATCCGGGATACCATTGGAGTTAATAATATTAATCTAGTTACCACTATGATATTTATAACCCTTACTACTGCAAATAATACTGATACTAATACTAATACTAATAACTTAATGTCTTTCTAGTGTAATTTTTTAAATTGACAATCCGCATCTTAAACGACACCCTACACTTAACATAAAGCAACTGAAAATGAAAATCATCGAATTTTTAAAACCTCACCTAAAAAAGATTTTGCATCAATAACTTCGTATGCCACTTCTGTTGTAGTAGAATAGAATAGGACCAGAATAGAAACAGTTATTGTTATATGATTCGACACAAAGGGTATTAATATTAACATTGTCAAAGAAGAATATATGAAAACGAAGTGTGTGGGGCGTTAGCGGATTACATTAACATAACTTACGGAAAAAAAAGAAATTCCTATTTTAATATCAAAAACATTACTCACAGAATCAACAACTCTTTGTCCTTCTGCAGTATAAAAACGATTTTAAAACATTTTTTTTTCGTTTTTTAAAAGTTATGGGTGAGAATTTCAGTAACATGAAATTTTGGAGAAATTTCTGAAAATGCAGTAAATGAATATTAAACACATGGTGATAGTGACTGTACACCAGTAATCTTATCTATAAACAAACTCGGTAATCGTGAGAGCGAAACTATTGTTAATTATTGTTCTTCCACGAGGCGAAGAGGAAAAATTAAGCTGTTCCAGTTTGAATAATTAATTACACAAGTACTCACCGCAATGGGTGTATTACGACTGCGAACGGGATATTGGCCGAGCGATTTCAATAAAAAAAATTCTTGACTGGCAACTGACAAGACAAAAACATCAAGTTCATAGATTACTTTTAATTAAAAAATCACTATCCAAAAACAAAAAAAAACAAACATTCCCGAAAGGTACGTACCCGCGGCATCCAATCGCGATGTTTTTGTCGTTCGTTATTTTTACTATCGCGATTTTGTTTCGGGTCCATTGAGGGAGTCCTGTTGAAACACTAAAAATTTGGACGCAATCTCGGAAATGTCAAAAATGGCATGGCCCGTCAAAATCTCGCCGAATTTCAAAACGCTCACTCATATAGGTATTAGATAATATAGTGGCCCTACTACGGTCAAAATTGATGCGCCGCAGCCGGCATTGATATTTTCATAACGATGGTTATGACTTTCCGCGCAATTTTATCCATTAACCTCTGCGCCATTTTCTTTGTAATTTTCCACGCACTTAACTCGTTTTCCCAGAACTTTTAACGAGATATAAGCATATTTTGAGAAAATACTGCCGTAAACATGCCGCATCCAAACTTACTAACAGTCATCAGCCGTCATGTTGGTTATTGAATGCCGCAAAGGCATTTTTTTTTCATAGTTGCTTCATAAGTTCCTCTATTATAGGCATAGGCAAGACCATTATGTAACTAGTAGCTATATGCGCTATCCGATGAACTAAAACAGTTTGCTATTTTGAGTTTGCACCTCGTACGAACAAATTTCGAAAAAAAGACCGACACCATGCGAACCAATAAAGAAAAAATTCCTGATACAACGACTCGACCTGCATAACTTGATAAATTTTTCCCGAGTAATTTAGAGTTAATTTAAATTCCCTGACATCTCCGTTGCTCAGTCTAACATCGATCCTGTCAACATAAAGCCGGCATCACATTTTGTTGGAAAAATGCATACATACATACATATTTTAATACACTCGGCGTTCCTAAACTTCAGGTAGTTTCAGTAGATTTTCGGCTTACAGCGTGGGTAATCTTTCTTATAAACGTTCTGCCATTGTTAAAAGCTCATCGCGACATATGTTTTACATCTTGCATTTTAATGCTTAATAGTAACCAATGGCCAAGACAAAAAACTATGAGACCAAAAATTATTTTAAACAAAACTTTGAAAAACTTGAAAATTGTTCTTTTATTTTATAATCTAATTTTAAAATATCCCTCTATTAAATGGCAACTAACGAAATCAACCTGTTAAAATTTGACTTTTGCAGACTTTTATTTTAGTATCATGCACCTCAAAAAACGTTTTTCGGAAACAATTATCGACGCCGAATAAGCGGAAATGTTAACGAGGATTCTTTTCCATTGGAAATGCGGTCGTCGGTTATTTCTACAGACGCAACGCTCCTCGGTTTTCCGTTCATTCTGATTACTTCCCCCTCGACGACAATTTTAAAAACAAAAGGGCCGAAAATACGTCCAGCTGGCCCACCAGACATTCGCGATCGATCGCAAGAAGCCCGACAGACAAAACTGAGGGGGGACAAAACTGCAGGGCGGGTGGTCGATTTGGTACGTACCGTGATTGCGGGCGCAGTCCTGGAACCGACGGGGGCGCATGTGGCGCCCCTCGAAATTTTTTGTCGCTGGGTCTGCAATGGTTGCTGAAATTTTCCGAACGGCGGAAGGAGGGGTGAGCTGAAGATACGGACGTCGTGGCAGCCGACCGGCAAATACGACGACGTTTATCGATCTCGCGGGGGCAAAGCGAAATCTCGCGGGTGGCGAGTTGGAGGGGAGGGAAGGACAAGGTATCGCAGCGTTGCCTAATGTCTCCAGTTTTTCTATTAATACCAACCGCCCAGACGAGGAGAAAAAATGAATAAATGAAAAGTAAACTAAAATCCAAATCTAAGGCATCGGGATTTTTAGCGAATTAAAGAAACCAAAAACGCAGCAAAATCCTTAAATCGATACATTGTTGCCGTCTTTATTTTTGTCTTTGCTATTTAGAAGGCGCTCTATCGAGTGGTGCGATTTTTTTTATTTTTGTCTCCACTGCTACCCCTATCATCCAATTGTTGAGATAACATTAAATTACCAGAAAGTTAAATTACGGCTCCTAATCATTAACGCATTATTTGTTAGCTAGGCATCATAAATTTGCGCAAACATCATGAGCATGCGCAAAGACCTTCAACTTTGTTCCGCGATATTGCAAAAAAGCAATATGTTTAAATGCAATGCAATGTCGATCAACTGACTTACCCTTGTGTTTTACTAAAGTCATATAAAAGGGTAGCGCCCAATCGGACGAACAACTCTGGACCAACGAAATGATACAGAAATTCTTGTCCCACGTTTCGATGAAAATCCTCCTCCTATAAAAAAATAAACGTAATATTATTAACGTCGAAAAATACGATTCGTTGCAAACCGCCATCAACTAGATCTAAGAAACTAACCACCGATCCACATGTTTGCGAAAAAATTCGACACCACGTAACACGATATTTCCTTACCTCGTTGGACTACAGCTCGGATTCAAACGTTTACTTCACAGCAAGTGGGACAAAATAAATCAGCACTCCACAATATAAGCGACAAATTTTTTCTTCCCAAGTAAAACGCTTAACTGAAACACAAAATCGAAAACCAAACGAATTTTTCACGTTCTACACGAAAAATGTGATAAATCAAATCGTCGCCATATACGACACACTTCCAACGTTGCCGTTAGTTTTGAACTTCAAATTTTTAAGAATTATGTGTACAGATTGTTTAGTAATTTATTCAAACAATTGAGTTTTTATAATATCACAAAGATCAATTGTAAATAAGTACATTTTTTGAATCAGCACATCGTTAACAAGTTTTACGTTGGTTTTAAATTGGTAATTGATGTTAATGGTTTCGGAAATTTCAGGAAAGATATGCGAATTGTGTCAACAGTGCTAAAAGTCTGATGAGAGGGCAGCACCGATAGATCAATGTTGCCACGGTTTTAGAAAGGAACGGGGACACATGTTAATAAGGGTCTTAATTTCAATAATTCACTCATTTTTTAAAAAACTATTATGAACTCAAAACGTCGTAGATCATATTTGAAGTGGAGCCTATTTACTTTTAAGAGAAAAAACGATCTAATTTGCTTCCGTGTTTACAGATTGTTGTTTATTGTTGCTAATAAAACAGTCAATAATACAAAATTTTACGATTTAGTTTTACAATTTAATGGTACGTTACTTTCGGTTCGGAGCAAACTACAGGAACACAGCTCGGAATGGATGGAGTGATACTTTCAAGTAAGAGATAATGCGTTCGGCAACGTCGCTTAAAAGCAGAAACAACTTGAACAAGTGATTTGACAGCCACCGTGTTGTGGAAAAGTTGAGGGTTTTGTGATTTTAACGCTAGTTTTTGTTCCGTATTGTTAGTGAGTAAGTAGTTGATTTTAATTTCTTTTACCCGAACGCTGCGTTATACAGCAAATTAATCTGCTCCAGATTATTATTTTATGTAAAATTTAAAATAACCCATCAAGTGGTTCTGCCATAGCAGCGAGGTGCTCATCCGTATACTACGAAAATGTCTATTCGTAGGCGTTTTTTTTTCATTTTAGATGGTCATATTTATCCGGCATTGAATTTCTTCTTACGCTTCAATAATAATTTTACCTAAATATGTTAAGGACAACATTACCCGTACCTACAACGTAGGCGTTGAAATTTTGCCTGGTTCCCAATCGATTAATAAAGTTTTCTTAAAAATTCTCTTTCAACCGTTGCTTGTTTTTTTTTGGAAAGTTACAATAAGAAGTGTGCGTTATTATCATTGATAAACCAACCACCTCTTTTTGTTTACATAGATAAGGAATTTCAACCTGTAGATTCCGTTTCATCGTTACGCTCCTTTTGTAATTATTGTATTCACTCGTTGTAAAAGTTGGCCTTGGAGGCCTAACGATGAGTCATAGACGAACTAATTTGCTAACTCTCTAATTTATTAAGAATTACTTTGCTTTATTTTAAGTTAGGTAATTGGTACATTATTTTGTTGGAAAATTTGGATCTTAGTCGTTAATATTGCGACGAGTACCCACCCCCCTACTAGTGAAGTCCATAGGATGCAAAAAAAACCTCCAAGTGATTTGCGGTTTTGGCAGGTAGTTTTCGCGAAATTTGTAACGATTTGAAACCATTCTAGTAGTTTGGGTTTCTATCCCTCATATTTTAATTAAATCCTATAACGGACGTGCCAGTGGCGCGTACCTGTCGCAGGCGCATGGCGTAGTCGCCGCTGACGTCACCCGGGACGCCCTGCGTCGTTTCTGAACGACGCCCGAGACATTCCAGTAGCGTTTAGGGAAGTGTGAGGTTCCGCGTTCGCGTTCTAAATCAGAAAAACAAAAATGTGACTCATTCCCCTTAATTCGCTGACGACACCCGGGGGCCGCCCTATGTACATATTATTTTCGGCAAAATTAGAGGCTTATCATTTGTGGTATATCGTAGTTTGTGTGTGTATTGAGAAGGAATCGATTTTTTGTCGTTGTCAGGGTGAAATTTTCAATTTCCGCGGAATAATAAGGAGAACGATTTCCAGCGAAGTAGTTTTTATCTTAAAAACGGATTAAAAAGGATTTTCGGCTCGCCGTCGCGACCTTTTTTCTTCTTGAACTTCTTGCATAACCTAAAAAATCGATTTCGATGTTTTCGTTCTGTATGGTGCTTGATTAAAATGGATTCAGAATTCGGACTTAAAGAAAAATAACATCGGCGTTTGCGTATACAATTCGCCTAGTAAAAAAGTGTTAAAATTAGGTTAAATTACTTTATTTAAACAAACGGTTTATATATATTCAACGAGTGCAGACTTTATTTCTCTTTCTTGCAACACTAATCGATTCGTTTTTACATTCCAAAATCATTACGTGACACTTTTTACAATCTCGCATTTTATTTATCTCAGGACCTATCAGCAATATAAACATAAACATTTAAAAGAACATCGCGGCGTCTCCCGCCTCTTTAGCCATCGATTTCATTGTTCCACCAATATACTTTTACATAAGAGTCTTACAAAAATGTTTGAGCAAAGCCGACAACGGCATTTCAAAATACTAAATCTCAATCTATTTTGTATACTCCGCCCTCTATGTTCTGCTCATTTTTTAGTGTTTTGTTTCACTAAATGTTTTTGTATGGAATAACATGCTTAACAACCAGTAATTTTATTTAAAGGTTGGGGAAATAGATACCTTTGTTTCCTAAAATTAATAATATAATTATGATATAAATACTATTAGACACACTGTATTTCCCAAATACTGAATCCCTTTGTAACGACTCTTGCGCATTCTTTTTTCCGAAGTAAGTGACGTTAACCTCACATTTCCGCATTTCTTTTGTTTCAGATAAAACGTTAAAATACAGATAACAATAAATTTTATATTTCGTACCGCGTCGCTTCGAGAAGTATTATTATATCTACACGTTTGTCGCGTTTAGTTAAACTGCAGCGTTGCGATAGACTTTTTTTTCGTCAAATAGTCGCTCATAAATTAACCGAAAAGTGGTAATGGTAGCCCGTTCGATCCGAGAGAGCCATGTCTAAAACAATCAATGCGTATAGAATGTAAGTTTATTTTATTTTTATTTCGCTTTGCGTTTGTGTCGACCGTCTTCGCTCTTTCGTTTTCTTTTAACGCATGTTCGACGCTACGAATGCCTCAGAAAATGTGTTTCGCAAACCACTAACATAACACAACACACTTTATTAATTAAATTTGATTCTGCCGTCAAACATTTATTTGAACGCTTATTAGAGTTTAGACTTATTCAACTCGTTGTCAGACTTGCCCGAGGCACAGACCTCAGGGAATGGACTTTAAGGCACATACCTTTTGTATTCTTTGGTGATCTGTGATAAAGTCTTCATTCATTAAATAAAAAAAACAATTCGCAGCTCTTGTTTGTTGTTTTTAATATTCCACTTCTTTGTATTAATTGTTTGGGAAACTCGCGTCGAGGCAGCATTTTGAAAGCCTTTTGTACTTTCGGTAATTAATAAATGTTTAGGCTCTTTTATGTTGCAATTTTCGAAAAGCTGATTATTTGTGTGTGTTTTGTCGTGCGTTCTTGTCCGGTCAAATCGTAGAAAATCAGAAGATCAAGAAACTTATTACGTAGAGTTATTTGGGGCTTTTAAAATCTTTTCCCGGCGTTGTTTCAAAGAAAAATACTCGCAGAATTTGTCGTTGGCGTCCTGAAAAGCTTTGGGTTGTTCTTCGAGGGTGAACCGGTACCGAAGCTTGACGCGCTACGTATTATTTTCGTCTCTGTTCCAGAAAAAAAATTGAGACTCTGGGCAAGATGACCGCCATGACCCAGGAGGAGATTGTCGCGGCTGTGCGTACGGTCGCCCAAGGTCTCGAGGCACTGCGCAGCGAACACGCCGGCCTGCTTCACGGCATGCCCCCAGAGGCGCCCGATGCGCAGGAACGTCAGGGACTCGTGCAGCAGAGCCAGGAGATGATTGAGCTCGGATTAGGAGAGGCGCAGGTGAGCGCCGCTTCCTGCATTTTTAAGTAGTAATAACACATAATAAAAATATTAAAATCCAAACACAGAAACAAAGAGGAACTTAAAAAATGGAGTTTCATCGGCATGGGGTTTCAATTGCGTCTCAACTTAAAAGTGCTTTAAATATTACTCTTATACATTTAAAGAGTTGTCGTCATTAATATAATGAAATAATATAATAATAAATATAAATCATATAAATACATAATCGTCATTAAATCGAGCAAAAATGATATTAATTTCCCTATATATTCGACACATGACGGTCTAAAACCCCATTACGCATTTTTACGAAATTTATTTTTCCTTGGTTCCTTTGTCGCTCGATCGTCTTGACGGAGGGTGAAAATTCGGCATGCTGGGGCATGTAGTCGTTAATTAAATTTAGGGGCGTCCGTCTGGGGGGAGACCGTAAAAACCGGGGACCTCGACGAATATCCCCACCGAAACGATGATTCATACGGCGACTGTAGGAATTCCCGATCGATAAGGGTTGTTTGAGAACACACTGTGGCGCGGGCCAGCTCTTATCGATGGATACTCGATAGTTATTTTATAAAATTGGAATCGTGCACAGTATCGCTTAACGACACGAGATAATACGGCAAATTCGCATCTACGTGTACCCGAACGAGCGACATTTTTCCTGCTCGATCAACCCACTAATTGAAAGCTTTGTTTGTGCGACCCGTGTCCTATGGGCTCTTCCGTTCTGCGATTTTTCGACACGGAAATAATGCAGATTACCGTTACGGCCAATCTATTTTTTTCGATTCGGAAGGAAGAAAACCTAACTTTTTTAATGTGTTTGGGTTATATGGAATCTCCCTTTTGTTGTGAAAAACCGCCTATGCACGGAATGAAAACTACACTTATTCCATTTTTTACACAATTTGTGAAATCTCCGATAAGTCGAAGTAAAATCAAATAAATTAAGTCAAACTCTTGCCATTTTAAATAAGTTAGATTGAGTTTACGAATTCAGTTTGTAATTAGTTGGGGTGATAAAAACACTTCCAAAAGTTGGCTTTGTGTGTCACGCTAACTGTAATTGGCAAAAGTGCATGCCTGTTTATCAGCATAGAAAATTCCTCTCGTGATTACTCCTAAAGTGTTTTTCTACGTAAATAAGCTCGTCCTTGAATTTTTGTTTGGAAAGTTTGTGTTTCTATATTATAATTCCAATGTTTATATTTTCAATTACCAATAAAATTTCATTTTTTTTTGTTTCATTTTGCATTATAACTCAGGGATTGATATTTGTTCAAACTGCTGAGCTGTTCGCAAGTATCTCGAGATATGTCCATAATTATTTTGCGTACTTGCTTCGTTGACGAAACAAATTCTTCACGCATCTAGTATATACCGAAGATTTTCTTTAGCTTCCTTGTGCTTTGCTTTAGGTAATCATGCACCTGGCCTCGTATCTACAGCTGATAGAGGCCGAGAAACAGAAATTGCGCACCCAAGTGCGCAGGCTGTGTCAGGAAAACGCGTGGCTGCGCGACGAACTCGCGTCCACGCAGCAGCGCTTACAGTCCAGCGAGCAGGTGAGCATTTACGATCGTCCCTCGATATTTGACTTTTTTTTATTTATCACGCGTGTATCAGGCGGTAGTGCAACTCGAAGAGGAGAAACAACACCTGGAATTCATGAGCTCGGTATGCAAGTACGATCAGGACCAGGAAGACGGCCAAGGAGGCGAGAACCGGAACCAGGAAAAGTCCGACCCTGTCGTGGACTTGTTCCCCGATGATCAAGACGACGACAGAAACAGTAGGTTGCTTTCTTATACGTTAAATCGTTTAGCGCCAGTTTCTTTCCTCATTAGTGGTTCAAATGAACCGTTGCGGGCCCAAGGTTGTGATAAAATTGACATTTCTCAACAGATATGTCGCCTACACCCCAAAATCAGTTGAACCTTTCCCAGCAAGTGAACGCGGGCTACGAGATCCCGGCTAGGCTTCGCACCCTGCACAATCTGGTCATCCAGTACGCGTCGCAAGGTAGATACGAGGTGGCGGTGCCCCTTTGTAAGCAGGCACTAGAAGATTTGGAAAAGACAAGCGGCCACGATCATCCGGACGTCGCCACCATGTTGAATATCCTGGCGTTGGTGTACAGGTAGGTCCATGTGCCTAGATATGATGTCTTCGAACTACCATTCTTTTTCTTAATTTTTGGCCGGTGGCTGGTTAATGCTAGATTTGAACCCTCTATACTTTATTAGGGATTCGGACTCAACAACATTCTTAGTAACTTTTGCAAGCATTTACAGGGAGTTCAATGACTAATTGAAGAGATTCATGAAATCTAACTCAAATTTGCAGCAACTAAATGTTGTCGTTGGATGACGCAATCTATTGCTAGCACTCCTGACCCATTTTGTTTTAAATATCTTATAAATCCACGTTAACGTCCAACCATTGCAGGTGCTCCATATTTGGTAAAGGGATTGCTTTTTCAACGAAGTAATTCTTCAGAACATAAAATATTGATTCACCTTTAGTGTCGGTTTTCAAAGTTTTTGCTAAGAGCAGTTCTTCATAGATTTCTTGATTCATAATAAAACGAACATATGCCAATATAATGCTTTATTACCGGGTAAAGTTGACACGTCCAATTGTTTGTAAGTAGTTACACAAGAAGTTTTCATTATCGAACTCATTTCATCAATGCGTCTTGCAACAATATTGTTACCTAAGGGAATTCTTTTAATGATATTAAATACAGGTTCGTGTAATAGTATATTATGCAACAAGTGCGGTAAACGGTATTTGACTCACGAGTTTATTTGACACGAGCGGAGCGCAGCGGAGCGAGTGTTTAATAATTTAATAATAATATATAATTTAATTTAAGGCGTGGGAATCTCCGAAGAATCCGATTATTCCCAAACCCTTGCGGTAAAATCCCTGAAATGTCATGATGTCGAATGTTAATGAATTATGAATGTTAATTACGGTTTTGATATGATGGAAATTTGAAAGTGATGACAAAAAAAGGTAAAATAAAATATTATGCAATGAATAATAATAACAACTTGTTATGCGATTTATCTCCACGCACATTTGACTGTCATGTGTAAAAATTCATTGGTTCCAATTCAGCAATAAAACAAAATCTTAATTTTAACATTTTAATATAGAAATGCAATAGTCCGAAAATTCAAGTACTACTTTTTTTTTTACTTTTATTGAGAAGTTATTTGATACGATGGTATTTATACAATAATAATAAATGACTGGCAAGGTCATAAATAAGTAGTTTAATTAAATTAAATAATAGTTCTTTAATATGTTTCCTATATGCAGACTTTAAATTCTATGAAAATAATGAAAACAAACAAATGAGATTTTGTATGAGAAATTCTTTAAAAAACACGCAGCTGAAGAGTTATGGATTTCTTATTTTTCGACATTCCATCACCGAATATTCCATAATCCGAACATCTTGCAGCACTTAGTTCGGAATACGGAGATTGCTCAAACCAATTGCTAAAACTTTGCTAAAGAAACTCTTGAGGGGTACTCGTATATTTTTTCATGATTTGAATACTAAACTACTAATAACTAAAGTCATATTTGGCGTGATTTATCAGTCTTTTCTAATTGAGTACACGAGAAAATTTAAAAAATAATGTGCTTACTTTTCTCGGACGCTCTCAAACAAAATAACGCTGATTCAGTATAATTTCTGTGATGAACTACCAGTGTATATTTTTTAAAATATTTTGTTAACACTTTTTTCAGATTTTAAGATTCAGGACACGCATAAACGTATTCGTTTCACATGCGTATTTATAGTGACGAATTGTACAAGTTCGGGAAGCTCTGAGACAAAAATTGACAAGAGTTTTTACAGCACGTATGTTTGTAACAAGATGATACTGTTATATCATTATGTGCACGTTTTAAAAGTGTAAAATATATTACAACCACTTACACAATTTTATAAACACATATAATAAATCTTTTACTTTATAGGTACTTTTATAAATAATGTATGTAAATAATGTATATATTATAACGTTGTATAATGCAAGTAAGTAGATACTATCAGTGTATGTTGAGATCCTCTATCGCGGACCCCAATTTGCATTTCATGCATCCTCAATTTTTTTTAGCTGGCATGCACCCCTTGGGGGTTGTCATAGACCCCTGATCACTGATTTAAATTGTTAAATCATTGCTATAGATAAAAAAAGGAGACAAAGTTCATTTCTAGATTGGTTCTGAAATGCTTACTGCCAGGTGTTAAATATGGAAAATAAAAACGGCTTTTTTTGTATATTTCTTATACGTTATGGGTTCAATTTTTTTTTTAAATAATAACAACAAAGCATTTTAAAAAGAAATACCAACGAATGAATGGCGAAGTTTAGCTCACTCTCACTCAACTCAACCCCAAATTAAAAACTGCTAAAATCAAATGAACTATTTCCAAGGTGTCAGGTATCCACTAGTAAAAATGTTTAAATTTGAATGTTATATGTTGTTAAATTGTTTTCAAAAATCGAGGCTATGACATGTAATGTCAATTTCGTGCTATCTAATCTAGTCCAGATATGGATTTTTCCTGTTAAAACACTTACAATTACGACTGCCCCGTGCACAGGGTGTCGCAACAAAAATCAAGGTCGTTGTTCGGTTTTAGAGATCAGAACAAATACAAGGAGGCGGCCAATTTGTTGAACGACGCGCTCGCCATACGCGAGAAGACCTTGGGCGAAAACCACCCCGCGGTGGCGGCCACGTTGAACAACCTGGCGGTTCTCTACGGCAAGCGCGGCAAGTACAAAGAGGCGGAGCCTTTGTGCAAACGCGCGTTGGACATCAGGGAAAAAGTACTCGGCAGGGAACATCCGGACGTGGCTAAGCAGCTAAACAATTTGGCGCTGCTCTGTCAGAATCAGGTGAGCTTTAATATAGTTCAACGGTACTGCTACCTTTTTAAAACGAGTTCGTAAAATGCGACTGTGAAATTAATTAAGTCATTCCGCATGAAACTTGAGGAAACTGAGAATTTATTCCGCCCAAAAAAATAACCAATTAAATGTTCCAACTATTAACTATTTGCAAAAGACAATTGACTTATACACATTACTATTAATACATATAAACATTCCCGCGCTGTACGGTTTCACTTGTCGAATGACTTCATCTAGAAAGCTGCGCTGGCTTTTACAGTTTGAATCAACTAATTTTAATGCATTGGCGTTTCTTGTTTTAAATTTTGCACCCAAATATGCAAGCTTCACAGACACTTATTTTTAATTACTGTATTTAACTACTAGCGGTCCTATATTGTTTAACATTCAAAGACATTTAAAAGAGTATTGTAAAATATATTGAGGTGGATGGTACACAAATCCACCATTTGATTTAAAATTTTTTTTCGTCGATGTTGAAATTTTAGTGGACAAACTTTTTTCATATGGTATTAGAGGTAACGCGTTAAATTGGCTAATGTCTTTTCTTGGGGGCGAGATACTTTAGGATTTGAATACCTCTCGAACTCTATATCAATGAGTTGGAGTGTACCTCAGGGAAATTTACTCGGTCCCCTGTTGTTTATAGTGTGTAGCGTTTTCTTCATTCCCCTGTACTTACTTTTCCCTTTTTGTGGACGATGCAGTTTTTACCCTTTCTGCAACATCGTCTCGGCAACTTAGCATTGCAACCAAGACAATTGTTGAGTAAATAAAACCTAAATGAAAGTAAAACTAAGATGGTCGCCTTTTCGACACGGAATTTAAATAAAAGTTTATTAGTACGCTTCAGTGAAAGCGAGACTCTCCTGTTTCGAACACAACAACTTTCTGTTTATTGCTTTGTCATATGGAGGCTCCGCCATCAGGTTTCTTTTCCCTTGGTAAAAATTTTCCTATGTCTATTTCTGTCTGAACTACGGCCTGATTTGTTGAGGAGGTTCCCCACATGCGGAGCAAGACTTTTGGAATGCAGAAACGCATTTTACAGACTATATAGTTTAAACCGTGGAATTTTTGATGTCTAGACCTATTTCCATAACTCTTTATTGACACTGCCTAGTATGTGCATACTAAATTGTGCCACTTGTATAAAAATCCACTCTAAATCTTTTTATATGTTCTCAAGAAACTCAGATATTCAGTACATTTTAAGAACGAATCTTAACATACAAATACCTAAACTACTAATACTGTTCGTCAAACAAATTTCAAATACACTCCGAGATACAAATTGCTACGTCTCATCTATTACAAAATTAAGGATTTTCTTCCTTATGACAAGGTTATTGTATAACTACGACCATTTTTTGAATTATTTTGTTATTAGTTTGTGTCTAGAACACGTTGTATTATTCCAAACAAACCCCTTCCTTCCTTCGGCACTGCATTAACACACAATAACGCGTTTTACCACAAACCGAAACTCAATTTTACGTACTGGACGCGCGTTTCGCCAACCTAGTTGGCATCTTCAGGAGAAGATTAAAACTGTGTGTTATTCCAAACAGTTTAGACTGCAGTGTTTCCCAACCTTTTTTGTGCCATGCTCCGCTGTAACATTCCCAAAATCCCCCCCCCCCCCATACACAATTTTTAACATTAAAAAATGTATTTGTTCACTTAAGAGACATAAATGATAGGTTTCAGGAAGATATCACTATGAAATTGCTATCAAACAATTGTAAATAATATTTCAAAACATATAATAAAAAAGTAAAATTCAAATTCAAAATAATTTTAATTTAGATTTTCTATATTAATTTAGTGTGATCCTTCCGCTTGATGCTTGCTCCACAGAGATTTTATATTAAATTCCAATTTAGAATGTTTTAATCTCAAGTGTCCACGTTGTGTTATATCCAGTCGATTTCTTAAATCATTTACACCACTAAATCCATACTCGACCAAATATGAAGATGGAAACGGTGGTAAAAGTTGTCTTGCATTTTTGTTTGGTATTTAGTTAAAGTTTCTTCTCAGAGCCATGCCATCGTTTCTTTTATATTAAATAAATTTTTTTTTCTTGATACAGCATATTTGATATATCAAACATCAACATCAAACAAATCCACTAATATTGGCTGCATCATCCATATTGCGAAATCAGTTTGTTTTAAATCAGAAAGTCTTTCTTTTGAATCAGTCTATGAAATATTCAAATGATTGACAATAACAAGTAAAGGTGTATTAGTCACATTTTTCTTTGGCTTTGTATAGCGGCAAGCAGCACACCCTGTGGTGAATCCCGACGAAGTTTACTTGACGACTCTTAATCACCCAGTTGATATATTAGTATCATCAAACGAAATTATACCTAACAATTATTTACAGCAATTTTTTATGCTTTTGCCTTTTTTTTTTTGTTGGAACTGGGCCCCGCTTTGGAAAACACCGGATTAGGTAATGGAAATTGTGAAGATCTTTTGAGTCTACTCCTTGACAAACCAAAACTAATGTTTGTGACTACATAGTAACAAGCTTTGCGACCGTGATTAAAAATTAAGTTGGTGCAGACTATATAAAACGCAGGGTTCTCTTTCGATGGGGGTCGAACTGTTCAGCCTAGAGATGCGGCATCCGGCATCTGCGTGTTTCTTAGAACACAAGGGTCCGCCTATTTCGCTCGCCAGTCACAGCACCAAACCAACCGTTCATTTTCAGGGCAAATATGAGGAGGTAGAGAAGTATTACCAGCGCGCGTTGGAGATATATGAGAAAAGGCTTGGGGCCGATGACCCGAACGTAAGCAAAACGATGAACAACCTCGCGTCGTGCTACCTGAAGCAAGGCAAGTACAAGGAGGCGGAGGTGCTCTACAAGCAGATCCTCAATAGGGCTCACGAGCGGGAGTTCGGCACGATCGACGGTGAGCCCCCAAAATAATAATGTCGGCCCGTAGCGGAATGCGCCTGCATGTTTTTTTTTTTATTTTCGCCCGTGACTGATTTTTAATTTTGCCACGTTTGCCAGGTCTATGGTTGTGAAACTATTTTTAGGTTAGTGTTAATGATATGTTTACTCGATTTCGCCGTGCCTTATTCGCCTATGTTGGCGGGGTGAGGGGAGGAGTTTCGACTTGCAACGGTGGCGCCGCCATCGCTTGCACTCCACCCGCCCCGCCCTTCACCCTGCCTGACCACGACTTGAGATATATTTTATAATTAAGGCGTGTGCGGCCTTTGTTTTCCCCCCTGAACTATTTTTTTCTTGTTTAAATAGGCTCCTTGCAGATTGCAATTTTTACACAAAAGTTACTTAATGAGCTGCCGAAATATAATAATAAGCCCCCCCTAATGTCTTTTCCAAGAAATTGTTCTAATTACAGTATTATTTACCTGGGCGCCCTTTAACTATGATGTCACACGAAAACGCTTTGTCATTGACTTACGTCATAAGGTACAACTGTCTTCGTTCAGTCCACTTCGATCAGTTCGTCGCATCTCGTCGGCTGTCAGTTTTCGTTTTGGTGTTCCATTTGTCAATGTCAAACGTCAGGGAGATTGTTGTGGTTAGCTTACTACCGTAAAATTCTCCCTGATGTTTGACGTTGACGACCGAAGTATTTTTGTGGAGATGAACTTTTAAATTTGGGGTATCACCAATTGGCATGTACCTTCCCAAATAAAAAAAAAAGTGTCTGCGGTCCTATGTACCAAAGCTTTTATGAAGACAACGGAGCAAAGTGAATGTGGCTCGTGGCGTGACTTACGCTATTGCCGAATAACAGCATCAAACGCTTTTGAAGTATCACCATGCCAAACCGATGAAGGAAGTTTGGTGAAGGCCATTATTAGTCTTTCCAATATATTTCGATGAAAAGGGGAAGAGATCTAAAAGCAAGTGTATTAAAAGTGGTAGAAAAAAAAATTAAACACAAAACTTCTCTGAGGAAGTCTTATGCTGTCACAAGAGTTTCCTGTTTTTGGATCATCACCTGACGCCTATAATGATGACATAGTTGTGGAAATAAAATGTCCATCTTCAATGAAAACTATTTCCAGTTATGTCAAAAATGGTGTTGTACAAAACAAGTATTTAATGAGCAGAAGAATGGAATCTTGGGAATTTTGGTAAACGTGTTTTTAAAATATTAAAATGAAATATTTTTTAAGTTTAATTTTTTATGTTTTTGTAAGTATGTAGCTTGTTAAACCAAAAATTCGTAAAAAATTATAAACGATTGTTATTACTTATGATAGTAGAAATAAAAGAAAATCGATTTACTTATGTCTTTGGCATCCATATTGAATATTAGTACTACAGATAGGTCAGTCAGCTTTTTACTATTTTTGAATATAAAATACATAATTCACAACAAAAGTACATAGTTTATAATAAATATTACAATATTACAGTATAGTTTTTAACCTCGTTTTTAACTTATTAAGGGACCCTATGTATTTACTAAAGCACTAAATATTCAATGGAATTGCTACAGAGGATGTACTCACTTTAAACTCCGCGACACTTGATCCTGAAGAAATAAAGCTGGGACATATTACACTGAGCACTTTAAATGGAGACAAAACAACACTTGTACTTGGAACGACTAGAGGGCTGTACACTTTGTGGATGGTTTAATATTACTAGGTTGGTTTTCTCAAACGTTTTCCACATTTTCCTCCTCTTAGTGTTCCTCAAAAAGTTGGGGTTCTGCAGGAATTTCTGCTTTCATAGATTTTGAGGTACTGTCTTTGCATTGTTCGGCTTGGGGAAACTTCTCTTCCTATCTTCCTGGCAAGTAAAAATGTGTGGAACTATATATTTTTTCATCTTCTTATGACCAGGCATCATTTTCAGTTCCATATAATTTTCCAAAATTGAAGTTAAAAGAAGAAAATATTTATTTTTTGAAACTCAAGATATATTTTGAAATTTAAAGTAGCTTTTAACCCGACGATATGTTTCTGCGAATTAGGTACTTACATTAAAATGGTCTTCACAAAGGAAAACAGCTTTTTGCAGAAATTTCGTTTTCTTTCATTTTCATTTCAATCAATATCAAAAACGAAAAACGTATTAAAAATTTTCACAATGCACTCTTCACTCTTCAGTACGTCAAAAATTAAAAGTTGACAGATATACCTCGTGACGTCACCATTGCCTGAAATGTGAACGCCCCGTTTTAGCGGGAATTTTGAATTTTATTTGTTCATTGCGGCGTCAATATTTCGCGAATCGCAAAAAAAAAATTGGGGGTACTTGTAAAGCCTGACTAATCATTTTAAATTAATACGAAAAATATGTGCAAGGGGCCTATTGCTCTTTGGAGAAATCAACAGGTTTGGTTAGTTTGGGTTTGAAATTTTCAAGTTCCTATTTTTCAGTAAGTCGTGTTTTAATTCTGATATTTTCGATTTACTTTCAAATTCAATTAGTTGTTATGCAGTGATTTGTTTTTTTATCTTTTCTTTGGATTATGTTGGATTATGGTGCGCTGAGCATCGCGATGTCGGGCATGTTTGCTTGTGTATATAGCCTACTTGACGGTTGCGCCTGAAATGAAAAGTGAAACTTTTGATCGATTCGCCTCGAAATACGCAGAAGTTGTCGACGATTTGCGGATTTAACATGCCGAAAATAAAAACAAATCTCGACGTTTTCCGCGTATTTCGTGTTACATTCCAGTTTAACCTCACTTTATTGATTAACCGAACATTTCATGTCTTATGGTTATACAGGGTGTACGTGTATACTTATTTCGGTGCAATATATGTTTTACTCTAAACTTGGCGAGTGTTTTATTTCAAAATAATTCCTGTCCAATCTTTTTCTTTTTTAATTTGAAAATTATACACGCTGTATAACAATAAGGCTTTGTACTCTCTAGCACGGTGTCGCATGCGCTTAAAATTTTCAAACAGTCGGCGTTTTGCTCAGTGGCGGGTAAGTATTGCTCATTTCGTCGCACAGCTTTAATCAAAACCGTAGAAAAATAAATGTAAATAATATACGGAGTTTCGAAAAGCAAAAGTTGTAAGTTTGATTATATTTTTTGCTTTGTAGTTTTAACAAACATTCCATGCTTGTCGCGCATGCAATTAACTTAAAATAAATAATTTATTCATTTCATCAGCATTACGTGCTAAAACCTTAAAAGCAACTCCAAAGCCAATAGTAGCTTTTTTATGGCAAATTGTTTAAAAATTAAAACTTTTCCCAGTAAAAAAAGGTTTGGGGTCAAATAAGCAAATAGGTGTACCAAATATTAAAATTTCGTCAGCAGTAATTTTTATGGCCCAATCAAAGGTTCAGAAGTAATAATAAAAAAAAAACGACATGTTGGGATTTCTTCTACAGTTACGTTTTCGGACATATTTATCAATCAATGTAACGATAATTTTTAATATTCTATTTTGCGTAGAAATTAGCTGAACACCTATACAAAAAAATGTCTGCTTCTTGTCGAATTTATATATATATATATATATATATATATATATATATATATATATATATATATATATATATATATATATATATATATATATATATATATATATATATTTAAGTTCTATACAACGGAACGGAAATAGATTGTAACCCAATTTTTAAACTTTTTTAATTTATATGGCAAAAAAAAAACTAAACATCGGCGCGAGACTGTCGCAGGGTTCTCCGCGCGTCTTTTCCGGGATTTATTACGAATGTTCCGTGTTGTTCCGCGCAGGCGACAACAAGCCTATCTGGCAAGTGGCGGAAGAGCGAGAAGAGAACAAAGCGCGCAACCGCGAGAACGCCCCCTACGGAGAGTATGGGGGGTGGCACAAGGCGGCAAAGGTGGACTCGCCGACGGTCACGACCACCCTGAAAAATTTAGGCGCCCTCTATCGGCGTCAGGGCAAATACGAGGCCGCGGAAACACTGGAGGACTGCGCACTGAGGACGAGGAAGGAGGTAAGTTTCGTCGAGTGAATAACGTTTCCCGTCAACCGTATTATCAATTATGTTTCTGAAAAAAAAAATCGTAAACGAAAAATGGTTTTCCTTGTCTTGTCTGGTGATAGTACGGGAATTCGGTAGATTTGGCTTCGAGCTTCTAGGGGTTGGCGCATTACGTCGCTTCCTTTGGTTACCCCGCTTGTTAATTAACTTGGTTCTTGTTTTTTTTTTTAATGCAGCAGCATGTGCCCCAAGTAAGTTTTTAAAATTTGCTGTTGGTAGGTGAAGTACGGGTTTCTAGTGTTTGTTTTTTGTATTTTACAAAAAAAACATTTTCGATCTGTACTTTGTACCTTCCAACTTGTAGTTAGCTGAATAAGGTTAAAGGTATTCAGTAGAATCGAACATTCAAGTTTTTTTCGCTAAGGAGACTTTGGACAAACAAATATTTTGTGAAAAGTTAAACATAAAAATTTGGAAAATGTATTTGTGTTGTATTTTATTTGCGCAGAGAGTTGTAAAAATTTTTCCAAACAAACGTTTTATATGGATTTTCGTGAACAAAGAAATCAAAAATGATTTGAAGCCAGGAAAAATCAAAGTTGGAGTTAAAAAATATTTTTTTACAAAAAAGCATAAATTTTGAACGCTTTGGCTGAAAAAAAAGTATTGGAAAATATAGCTATGTGAAAAAAAACTTTATGAAGTAATAAATAACAACTAAACAACCTCACCACGTTGTTTTGTTTTTAATTTGTGACGCGTTTGTTGCTAATGGGGCCGATTCCAGCAGGCTTTGGACATCGTAAAGCATTCTAAAGTAGGCAACCTGTTGGTTGACGAGCGGCGCAAGGGCGCCAACACGAAAGATAAGAACTCTCGGAGGGGCTCGAGGGAATCGCTTGAGATGACTTACGAGGGGGACGAGGTACGTTGCGTGTGCGCTTGTAGAATATTGCCTCCCGTTCGCCAAAACTCGGCGGATTTTGTCGGGTTTTCCGCAGCGGCGGACGGTTGCTGGAGTATTGCTATTTATTTTCGATTTGTAATCCAGCTGGCAGTTCATGTGTACAATCAATAAAGCGCGTGCAAATTGGCGAACTTTGTATACCCTCGAAGCTTTGAGGTTATGTAAATAGACACATGTCCCAGCATATAACCGTTCGCCGCCTTAGTGATTGCAACCACAGACCACTAAACAGCAACCAAACGCTAATTGACGTGCGTGCGATAATGAGAGATATAGCAAGTTACTCGTGAGATTGGGGTGTCGGTTTTTCCGTTTTTCGAAGATACTTCCTTTGTTTAATGTATTTTTAGTGGTCTGTGATTCTGACGTAAATAAAACGCTTGTGCACTAGCAGTACGTAGTTTGGCGCAGTTGTTCTGGTGTGCATATTATTCTTTTTCGCTTCGGTTTGGATGCCCAACTTTGTTTTCCGTTTCACATTAACCACCTACAAGACATTTTATCAACTCCATCGCTTCGCGATATTTTCCGGATTGCGCGTACTTGATTTTCAGTTTTCCCTTCCGGCGACTTTTTTTAAATTTTATTTGACCCCTGGAAAATGTTTGTGTTTTTTTTTATTAACACATAAATAATTCGTTTAATTTGCCGGGATGTTTACAGATCGTGTGTTACAAAGAAAACCACCAAAACCCTCGTATTATTTTCTCAATTTTTTTAATAGTTCTGACGTGCTACACTCGTACTTGACTGGGATCGATGATTGACGTTGAAATGAAAAAAGAATTTCATAGAAATAGAACTTTTTATTTATGTTCGAACCACTCGTGTTGAGAAATATTTACGGCGGTTTGGTCAATTTGGAGTTAACTATTCTTGGAAATTTCGATGACCTACAATAAAAAGTGAAATAGGCTGTTATACATAATTCAACTACTAACTAAATGTCTAATAATTATTTTCTTCTGTTCGGATAACGCACTTACGATAATATTGTTTTCCCCCCGCAGAGCAATCCAGCGAGAACGCCGGATATCGAAAAAAGCGGCCTGAAAACCAAGCTATTTAACGCCCTAGGAATAAATTCGCCGATAGGCAAACCCAGCTCGTAGACATGAATGAAACGGGACGATTTTTTCATTTATCCAAAATAAAAATCGTTGGTTCGATGCGCCGTCTCCTCGTAATGAAATTTGTGATATGTACCACTGTCTCTCCGCTTCCGCGAATCTGCGGTTCGATTATTTCGACAGACGCCGGATCAAATGAAGTTCTAAGTAACATTCCTTCGGTTTCTGGGAAAAGTTATTGGTCGAGTTTTCGTCAGCGCCATTTGCCGTTTACTAGTAAGGTTTGAGGTTAGGTTCGTTACGTCCGCGACCAGTGATCATAGAATAAACACCACTGCTATCCAGTGTAGCTTAAGGTTAAATAAAGAACGACAACCTCATACCTATTCCAATACTTATCACTATCTTTACTGGACTTCGTTCTTTGTTTAATCTTACGCTTTTGTGTATGTTGCTAACGTCAAAAAAAAAAAACTATAATGTTCACGAATAAAATATTTTAACATATTTTGATCATTTTTAAATCTCAACAAAAATAAATTAAAATTTATTTAAAATATCTAGCTCAAACGTTACGTTATAAGCAATATTAGAAGGCGCACTTTGCCGTTTCTGCATGGTGTTTATTGTTCACAGGGCGCAGTGTATTAATCAGGGCCAGTCAACCGACGCGTTAAAAGGTTGACGCGTCCGACCCGCGGGTGAACTTGACTCCCAATTTTTTTTTTAAATAATTTGAAAATAATTTTAAATTTATATTCTCAAATGTTTTTGGTTTTAACGGGCCTGGTAAAGAGATGATTATAATTGATATTTCAATTCGGAAGCGAAGTTCACCGACTGGCTAGACGCTCGACATTTTGATGTTTTCCATAAAAAAAAATCTGTGTCGTATTTGAAAGAAAAACGGCGTGTTTCGATTTTTGTGGTAAGAGGAACGAACAGCATATTTTGTTTATTATTTATTTATTTTTTTTTAATCTAATATACATCTCATGTCTTAATTTTTTATGGTATTAGAAAGTTTTTACTTTTGTGTTGGTGGAATATTATTGTTTATGTTTTTTTTTATTTAGTTTCGCAGAGGTTCTTTCTCGTTTGGCGCTTATTACGTAATACATAGTGATATTTCATCGGGCGTCGCGAGGTTGTGAACATTTCCGGGTCAATTACACACACATCAGTATTTGTCAAGCAAAACCGAGGATATTAGGTTATACTAATTAGAGCTTTCGCTGTACTAAAAGTTTTAAAATGTTGCGTGTATTTCGCGGACACTTATCGTCCAGTTTAACTAACCCGACCAATATCGGGCGGCTGTAAATTAGAGCACACGTAGCAAAAATGAACAGAAAAGAACGCTTTCAGCTACAGCCGTTTAGTCCCAGTGCAATTTCTCGACAGTGTTTCCGCAAATGCAGGGTTATTCGCCCCAATCGAAGTTTGTTAGGACCTGAGACTCAAATGTCAATTTTCTCATTTTTAACATATCAACCCAGTGACGTCACCTTAAAGATCTTATCTTACGGTACTTTAAAAAAACTTTTCCCTGAGTTTTATTAAAAATTAATTATAGCAGGATTGAAAGCGCGACTATATACTAAACTAACCGTTTTCATGCATTGTTCGTATATCTTATTAATACAGGGGTAAATAACCCTGTATATTAGGACATAAATTAAGATAAAATAATTGTGCGATATATACCTAAGTCAAAGGTTTTATAAAGGGTGCAATATCGGTAAGGTGGCAAATGACCTTCATAAAAGGGTCGTACGATGACGTAGATGATCCGATAAAAAGGGATTAAGTCTAATTAATAGACAGTTAAAGTAAATTCTAGTATATTGCCGCATCCGCAAGTAGATTGAAATTCAAATTCGCCCTTAAAGCTTATAGCAATAAATATGACTTAACACATAACCTTAAAATATTTGTTTTTCAACTGTTTGACATCGAATCTGATTGTTTCCAAATACTGGAAAATGCAAAATTATTGGCGAAGGTATGATAGGAATACGTGTTAACAAATGTACTCACTTTAACTGCCTAATATTTGGATAACCAAAACCTTCGCATCGCATGTACGCAATTTTTTTACCTTGTTTTTAAAATTCAAAAATTTGCCAAACTATTCAAAAATTGACATTTTTGTTCGAGAGGCATCGAGTGTGCACTTATTATATTATTAGAAAGGCGTTTATCTTTCCAATTTGGAATAGATTTTGAGCGTGGACCAGATAAACAGTTGACGCATAGAGGAAAAACGGTCAGATAATAAATTTTCAGTGCGATAAGCATTTTAATTTAATACACGTGGGTACTTAAACCAAAAACCTTTTTTTAGCCCCGACTCTGTCTGAATATTCTAAGTTGTTTATATAATAGGTGCTTTCTATAAAATATATCTATATACTACAAATTGTCGTAGTTGTTTATATTAAAACGAATAAAAATAAATATTTTATTGAGTTTAAACTTTTTATTATTTTTTAAATTTTAGATCCCCGTTTTGCATGGTGACCCACCCAGTATATTTTGTTTGGCCGAAAATTTATGGAGTTGATAATGTGTGAGATTCAGCACCGATCTTCACACCCCGTTTATTTCGTTTTGCAATCATGTTGTCTAGTGTATTGCCCGGCCCATGTCTGTGTTTCAATATTTTTTTTGTTTTTCAGATAAACAAAACGTCAGTAAGGAGATTTCCGTAATATTTTAATTATCGCGGCGGCTTTAATGTTCGTCGCGGTATTGAAATGCGGGTTTGACGAAACCCATAATTTTTCGGCAGTAGTAATACGTTTCCTTTGGTAAAATTAAAATCGCATTTTTGAGACTGACTTTATATAAACATCTAAGCGAGCGTTTTTTTTTATTTTTAGTAAGTGAAAAAAAATCGTTAAGTGTGGCAAAAACTTTTTTTTTTTTTTTCAAATTTTTGAGTAAGAAATTTGAAGACACAAATCCCAAGAAATGTAAGATGAAACCTTTGACTTTCTACAGTCTGATTTTCAAGACAAAAGTCGTATTTAACCGAATTTAGGATAATATTTGTGCAATAACGTCGTTCTTTTGCAACGCTTCGTAATCCTAGAATCCCCGAAATTTGACGTTATAGTATGTCAGAAAAACGGGCGGCTTTGCTTCAAATCAGTCCACACACTTTTAACATTAAAAAACGCTCTGCAAAATTCTGTTCTATTTTCTCCTACATATTTGCGAAATAGAAATTATAGGCATTTTACGTTTTCACATTTTTTGCTTTTTTTTTGTGAACCTACTTTTCGCTTGGTGAGTGATTACCTTCAACATTTTAAAATTTGTATTAAAATTATTTATTATTGTATTGTATTATTATTATTAATTAATTTTATTGTATGATTTTTTTTTTACATAAAATACAGAAAATTTGATCATTTTTTCCATAAAACATTCCATTACATCAAATTTTAAAAACTAACCAATCTTTTAATCCAATTACAAAAAAAGTTAGTGGTGATCACTTAAAGAAACGTCGCACTACAAAAATCGTGACACCACTAACATGAGTAGAAAACGTGACAACATAAATGCCATTTGTAACATTGTCATAAAAAAAATATACAAAATTTCGTTTTTTGTGGATATCTCTCGACTTATTCCATAATATTCTATCTAAAAATCGGCAACTCGCCGTTTAGGAGAGTTTATGTTATTTTTTGTAATATTTCATATTAAATATGGAGCGGTAAATTTAAAAATGCAGACCAAATATCGACCAAATCACATTTCGATCGCTTGTGCAATCAAAAATTTTGACGCATTAGCAAAATAAAATCTACAAGAACACGTTTTTTAATTATTCAATACTTAACCTACATGTGCTTCGATATGAAACCGCAATAATCTCCGATCGCACCAACGACATTGCTCAAGTATTTTTCGTCATTGCAGTCTCTCCGTTGCCCTTTCTCGATCTGCAATTCAAATGTGGGCCCGTAAATACTGAAATACTAAAACTAACAGTTAAATAGGCCAACAAACAATAAAACAAGTACCTCGCTCCTATCAGGTACATCTGGGTCTATATCTTTCCCGATGATGAGAGCTGTTAGGTAAGTCCACAGGCGCGCCGTGTTGGCAAAATTGTAACCGCCTGATTTTTTAAAGCAACTCGTTAATTGATTAAGATTTATTTTTCGGTAGAACTTACCACCTCCAAGAAACAGTGCGGGTAGTTGAGACTTCAAAACAGTGTCGACGCACCGACCCAAGCTTTTTATTGTTAAATTACATTGCCCGATAGGATCGCCGTTTAAACCGTCTGCTCCACACTGAACTACTATCAAGGACGGTTTAAAACTATCTAAAACTCTTTATAGTTCGATAAAATCACGATTACGTCAGCAATTAGGATAACATAAACCAATTATGTAATATCCAAAGCACACCCAGTTAACGAAGTCATCCCAGATTCAAAAATCCCGTTTTTAAACAATGACGTTGCGGCATTGAACAACCAAAATGGCCGTTGACAGATCAACGCTGCCTAGATCTTGTTAAATGTTCTGGGAAAGCAGATTAATTGTGTGGAGATCACTCTTTAGAAAGAGAATGGTGCAAAGTGCAGTGCATACGTGGAAAATGGTTCTCTTCGCTACAAAATTACCAATACCTTCTGTGGAGCATTAATTTTTACCGTACTAGGTCACTGTATTATCTAATAGCTACATATAAAAATGCCATGAATCATTCAACCTTAGGATTATCCAATCCAAATTTTATGAAATTTGACAGTGTGAATTTCTAGGTGTTTGTGATAAAATGTTATTGACAATGGCTTTGGATATAGTATTATTGTTAATATAAGTGATACTGCGAACTTACATAGGAAAGATTGCATTGAAAGCTGCGAGGTAGGTTTCATCTGACACACCTTCCTTCAGCGGTACGTTGATGGAATAATATTTACCCTTGCCTAATCCGACTTCATTCAAAGAACCTGTGCCCGGGTAAAACCCTGGACTGCATTTGTGGAAAGAAAGTGTCAAAATTTTTTTGCTACATTGAAATGCATTCTCAACACCATTTCCTATTAAACAAAAGAATGACTTTGATTTTATTAAATTAAGGTATTTTAATACCATGATGGATATCTAAATCCAAATAAAGGATTCTGTCAAAAGCTTTTGAAAGAATCTGTATAGCTATCACTATATCATTTACATAACAAAATCCCTCTGCAGATGCCCTAAAATCAAAAATGATGCTCCACTCTCAAGAAATATTGAGCTGAATTACCTTTGTGCGTGGTGCCAACCCCCGAACCAATTGATCACAATTTCGCACTTCTTAGCAGCCAGTAAACGCGCGGCAGCTACTGAACTACCCGCAACAGTTTGCACAAAATCGTAAATGTTTTCTACAAGCGGACAGTCGTAACCGAGACCGTACTCCTCATGTTTTTCGACGATTTCGAAAAGCTCGACGTCGTCACAATTCAAAGATTTTAGGAAGTCTATGTAATCCGTTGAGTGGAAAGACTTTAGTTGTTCTTCAGTTGCTTTTTCGCATTGAACAACCACTAGGTTGTCGTGGGTTAGTAGTTCGTAACTGTTTATCAAATCTTGAACGATCGATGCTCTATTTGGTAATTGTGGTAATTTATTGCAATGTGATATTAATTCTTCACTGTGAATATAGACAACTTTGTTTTTCAACATTATAAATAGCAATGGCGCCAAAAAATTAAACTAAGGGGTTAGCCAGACTCCTTTTCAAATTTATTCCTTTTAGCCAAAGTTGCCAGGGTCATTCGACCAAGGCCTAGGAATAAAAAATGTCAACAAAAAAATTATATTTTTTTCTTTCTAGCTACAAATAATTACACTTTTCTTTTACAGACTATGAACTAACTAACCAGATATAAATAAGAACTAAAATAAATGGGGCCAAAAATCAAAGTTCCTCATAAAATGGAAACCGAAATAAAAATGTTCATACCATTCAAAAGTGCTATTTATTAAAGAACCACACGTAATGGAATTCTTTTAATTTTGACTTGAGTAAATTTTGTATTTGGAATTTGTTTATAATCACTCTATCAATAAATTGCTGTAAATTGATGCTTTTTACAGTTCTTCTTCTTTTTATTTTATGGTAAAACTTTTTAGATAACATATTTACCAACGATTATACAATTAAATTTTTATTTTTTTTGTCTTTACAATATCGTATGAAACTAGTTGAATCTTATAACTAATATATATTCAATACTTGCTAACGAATATAGGTGTCCTTTTTTTAAAGTAATATACATTTCATGATGCCAAGGTCATGGTGAGGTGACTGTTTCATTACATCAAATCGTGATTAAAAGCGGGTATTTTTAGTACGTTTTAAGAACTAAAGGCAAATTCTATTACTCGCAGTTTTTACACAAAATGCTGCCATCGTCCTGTACGAATTTGTCAGAACTACCAAAAAAAGATGTGAAAAAGTTTTTAAATTCTTTTGATACAGTTTTGGCAGATTGTGATGGAGTTTTATGGCTAGAAAATCAACCTATAGCCGGTTCAGTGGAAGTGATTAACAAATTGCGGGAAATCGGAAAGAAAGTGATGTTTGTAACCAACAATTCGACAAAGATTAGAGACGAATTTGTTTCGAAAGCCAGGAGAATGCAGTACAACATCGCTAAAGTGTGTTTACATATAATGGATCATTGGAACTGATTTTTAATCCGAATTTTATAGGAAGAAATAATCTCCACCGCATATTTGGCCGTGAGTTACTTGAAAAATCTCGGTTTTACTAAGAAAGTATATGTAGTAGGCTCGAGGGGTATAGCTCAAGAGTTAGAAGCTGTAGGGATTAAATATAGCGGTGTGGGGGTAAAAAATTGATTAAAAATGTGGATGAAAAAGGCATTTGAAATTAATACTTCTAGCCTGACGTGCTACAAACAAGTGTGGCAGTGACCTTGGAAAATTTTCGACCGGATAATGACGTAGGGGCCGTAATCGTCGGTTTCGATGAGCATTTTTCCTTCAACAAAATGATCAAAGCAGCAACATACCTGAACAATCCCAGTTGTCTTTTTATTGCGACAAATACAGATGAACGTTTTCCAATGCCTTCGGACATAATTGTTCCAGGCACTGGTTGCATTGTAAAAGCAATTGAAACATGCGCTTTAAGAGAACCCATTGTGATCGGCAAGCCAAATTCTTACATAGCAGACTGTTTGATAAAAGAGCATGGTGTTGATCCGAGTCGGACCCTAATGATTGGCGATCGGCAAGTATACTGTGTTTGAGTGTCTATTAGAACTATGTTTTGAGTTTTAGGTGTAATACCGATATACTTTTGGGTACCCGATGCGGATTTCAGACCATGTTGGTTTTGACGGGGGTTACCAAGTTAGAGGATGTCGAAGAATGGAAGAAGTCAAATCGTAAAGAAGACAGGGACTTAATACCCGATGTGTATCTGGAGAAACTTGGAGATTTGCTGGAGTTTATATGAGAAATTGACAATTATTTAAAAATTGTAGGTAATTTATTTTTAATTAACATTGTTTATTGTCTGTTGTAACAATAAGTTATTAAATTATAACATAATAAATAAAGTGTGTGAAAAGCAGTTTTTTGGCAAGACTTTAGGAACACCGGCATAAGTAAATGTTAATAAATAAATGGGACCAAAGCCTTTCTATTTCTTGGGTAGTTGTCGAATGTCTCTTGGTACCACCAATGACTAAGCAAAATTGTTTCAACCTGGAAAAAAAACTATTAGTAATGTACTTGCAAGTGTAATCTGTCTAATTCCCAACAAAAATATTGATAAACTAATTTCTAGTTTGTATCATAGACTTTTGGCAACAATCACAATCATTTGTAATGTAGAAAAGTCAAATAAATACCCATAGTCATAGAAAAGCATATTAGGTCATTTGACAAGAAACATCGAATATTTATGTTTAGCAAAATGCACACTAAAACTTACTTGATTGCTCAAAACCCATGCAAAAACAAAATAAAAGGTTGTATTTTTCCAGAGAATAATTGACAGTGCCAAATACATTAAGATTTCTGCGGTTTGATGAGGTGCAGACAAATATTTAAATAAGTCATCTTCTGGAAGCCTGTGACGGTCACTAACCACAACCCCTAAAAATAATTTAGTGTCAACTATCCTTGTTAAATGGTGGCAGCTACACCTACCTTTTTTATTTTTTCGAAGGTTTGCCAGAATTTCCGTACAAACATACTGACGCCACCATGCCCAAATAAAAAGCACTGTCGCGAAGATATCCCAATAAGTGAAAGCCCAAAATGATACAAAATCTAAAATATATAAATATCTGCTCATATTTACTTCTCCTGTTAAACTGCAACTCACTTGGTGTTTTAGCAAACAAAGGTGATTCGCTGAGTATCGCTATTACAGTTCCTGGATAATGACAAAGACCGACAATGTATTGGGTCAGATTTAACTTACTCTCCTTACCAAATACCGAAACGTAATGGGTATCATAAAATCTTCTATAAATTTGTAAAGTAAACAAGAAACTTGCCAACAAAACTTTGCTTGGAGAGGCTAAAAATTATACAACGTAATTCAGTGACTACTTATTTAGTCTGTTTTACTGTAGGCTATCCGAGCATCTCCACAAAACAGGTTCAAAAATGTATTCAGCCATTCCGGAACTCTGGTTCCAAAAACATATACAGCAACCAGTAAGTAGTCCACATATGTACAAAGAGGTACCGCAATAACGTAGAAATGTCTAAACCATGATTTAGGTACCTCAATGATGAGTTTTGAGTCACCCCCTTTCGCCGCGTGTTTTCCATATCTAAACACTCTACTGAAAAATTTGGGAATTTTGTGCTCGTAAAGGTTAATTATGCTACCATAAATAATAATATTAATGGTCATGAAACAGAATAACAGCTGCGCTATGTTCATTTTGCACCCTCAACCTGCACTGTTGAAAAGTGCAGAAAGTAGTCCACATAACTGTTCATTTCAACACATAACCTTTCTAATAAAAATTTTTGCAGCAATTATTCTGTGTAGATTTGCTAGGTTTCATATATTTAATTTGGGCTGGGAATAACTTAAAAGTTATCAACATTGTAAAGTTTTAGTCGAAGGGTCGAGGTTATGTCACGTATTCCCACTGATACTAGCTGATTTGCAAAGATCACATGGCCACCCTTGGTGATTAAAGACAATGCGGTTTACAAAGTGTAATTTAAAAAAATATATATTTTTGAAAATGGTATAATTAAAAAAAACTTTTTGACCAGTAATGGGCGGATGCTCCTTGCAACTTACCCAACATTAATTGTTTATATGCAAGAAATGTGGTAAACATCTGAGTCAATAATTTATTTCGCACGAGCGATCGTACGGCACCAAGTGACTTAAAAAATGTGGCAAACGTTACATACTATGCTCTTTCTACGACCGACCATTTTTGCAAAACATGTCACCACGTCACTTGAGTGATATCAGACACGATTTCCGATATCCGAAAATGTGTGAAGTGGGCTCGCAGTTGAATTTAATTAACCATATAAATGATACTTTCTGTATGCTAGAGTTTTGTATAATTGGGAATTTTAGAGAAAGGAATAGATAGATTATATTTCATCTGCAGAATGTAACTTGGCCACTCGATGATAGATGGCAGCGCATGAACAATCAAGACAGGCTGCGCGCCACCGAAAAGAATTTGAATTTTTCAACTTAAATAATTCATTCATACTCTGGATATATCGTTAACGCAAATTTTTAGGAGTGGGAGCGAGAATTGGGGAAGAAACAATCAGTATATGTAGGTATATAAAAGTAGTGAAGTTACAGAACAAAATATAATTTATTGATAATAATATAGAGATACATCAGCTAGAAATAATATAAATAATATACAGGTATTGCGTGCCGTGATAGGCATGCGGCCTCTGTGTCGATCAATGAGCACATTCGTCTATGCCACATATTGCCGGTATAAATAATAAGTTACATATAAATATAATAAAATAACTACATAACATAAACGTGTTGAAATGAGAAACACACAAATTAAATAATGATTTAAATAACAAAAAAAAAATCGTATTCTCTCTTTCTCTCTCTGGTCATCGGTCCGTGCGTAATATGGGGGAAAGGGGGGCGGTCCCCATTCTTCTTAATTTAGTTCCATCACGGGGACGGTTAAATGGACGCTACCACGGGATAAAATTATTAATGAGCCTAGTATATCTGTGGTTTGCGTCTCACTCAAATAAGATAAGATATACTTAATCCCTCTTTTCCAGCGTTGTGATATCGATGGTATTTTTTGTTTGTTTGATATTGTCAGTAACCAGATATAAAAATAAGGTATATCTTCAAAAGAACAGACTTTTGTTGTAATAATGACTTCGTTCGATCGTTTTTCTTTTGCCTCTGGGCGCAGCTGGAAACTATTTTTTAAAAGTGCTAAAAAAAAACCTTTCAGATTCATTTCGATTCATTTTGGAAAATGTCAAGGAGACCGAAACGTATAAGGTCGAGAAGGAAATTCTAGGTAAATTTGCAAATGTTCCGAAGCAAAATGTGGTCACCACCATTGCCACTGTTAATCAACTAAATCGCACTCCAGTTCCTAGTACCATAAGTCAAAGAAGTCAAAACGCTTTGCGACTAAGATCTGCGGCACAGAACGCGCAAAAAGAAAATTCCATTGTTACTCCCAATTCGCATCCGCCTGTTAGAGACATCTTCTCTCAATATCGTTCGCCATTAGATTTGCTGGGTAATGGACCATCAAATAGATGCGCGCTCATTTGTCCAAAGGAAGAGTTCAAGTATACGTCATTTTGGTGCTGTTACTATTCGCTTGGACCGAATCGGACCATAGCTCGAAAAGCGATTGCAAGCAAGAACCACCCGCAATAGGGGAGCAACTCCACGAATCTCGAAATTGGTTCGTTTTTTTTTTTAAACATTTGAGAATTATTGTCAAAGAAAAATAATTAAACTGCGAGTCGACATTAGGGTCGTTTTCTTTCCAGCTATATTGAAATTTTTCCCACGTTGCCTAATATCACGAAAGTTCGTTGTGGATAGAGCCAAAAGCAGCAAAAACCAGCAGGGCTGTTTTCCTAACGCAATTTGAATTGAAAATATTAATTAAGTTGGATTAAAAACGAAAGGAAATAAAAATTCCGAAACTAGAGAACTGACTGAAATGGCTTGGCCGTCGTGGATTATTATTTAATTTATTAACAAAACGCCCGATGTTGAGTAGAATTTGATAAACGCTGTCGTCGTCGTCGTCGTCGTTTTCTTTATCGAAGAAGGAAAACCTAGGAGGCCGCCCCCCCTTCGGACAAAATAAAAACTCAAAAGGGTAATAATAATAATAAAGCAAATAAATAAGTTTCGAAAACGCGGAATGTCGAGGAGGAGAAAAGAAGGAAAAACCGCGGGGACCGATCGAGACGAAGAAGAAGAACATAACCTAAAACCTAAACTTGCACATTCACGAGAAAAAAAAACGTCGTCGGACGCCGTACATTTGTATAAAAAAAAAAACGCGCGCTCTCCCCCTCCCGCTCCCCGTCGAACGTTAAATTTAATTTACTTTAAAATCACACAAAGTCGAAATCACTCCGCGCCGCGCGTAGCGGCGGGAAAAAACTATACTCCTGTTCGATAATATTATGGATCGTATAAATAAGACACGCTCGCGACTAATAAAAAAAACGTTTCTGCGCGTACCCCTTACATCATCAGGTCGTTGAGGGCGATCAGCTGCGCGGTCGACAACCTATTGAACACGGGCAATCGTTGATCATCGAGGGGCCCGGGCGAGTGCAATTCCGGTTCGCTGCTGAAAAACGAACTCATCGACGACGTGGGCGATTGGCTGAGGCTGCAAGGCGGACTTGGACTGTCCAACGACAGGGACGGGCTCAACGCGGCTGGCCTCGAACGCGCGTGCGCAGTGTGGCTCAGACGCGCGCTCGTCGTCGTCGTTGTGGTTTTCTGCGCGGCTACGATGACCGCCTCGTCCTGATTGTGGACAAAATGACATCGCGGGCCGTACGGACAGAACCCGATGGTGTGGAAGGTGCGGCAAAGTTCCGTTTTGTATTTGGGGTGACGCGCCAAGCTGCGCAGTTCGTTGATGCCGTGCGCGAACTGACACTTGTCGCCATATTTGCACACGCCGAATTCCTCGTACGGTCTGCACAGTTCGGTTTTGTAGCGGGACGTGTTGACGGTTGTAGCGGTGACGGCGGCGGCCGGGGCGGCGGGCGCCGGTGCCGATTGCGTGCGTTCGAGGCGTCGGTGCTGTTGCTGCTGCTGCGTGATGTTGCCGAGAAGGGCGGCAAGGTTCTGGTTGGCGGTCGTCGCGCCGCACGGCGTTGAAGCCATCCGGGTCAGCGTCAGACGGACGGCGGAACCGACCGCGAGGTGCGGGCCCGCGGGGCTCGTCTCGTTCTGCGGACCAATATTGCTCAGGTGAAAAAAATTTAAAGTCAAGTTTTTAAATTTCTTTGCCTATTTACGCGAAATACGTATGACAATTAAAATGCAGCATTTCTTTAGTAGTAGAGTTCTCCAAACTATATATCCACAATAAATAGACTCGCAAATCAACGATGACGTTTCAAAACCGTGCAGTGAAAAATCCACTCTTACTTTAAAATGTTTATTACAAATAGAAATGAGTGAGTAAATTTAGCTATAAAACAAAGTTAAATAAATATTTACAGTCATTGCGTTAAACACGTAAAAATTGGAAGTCATTTTAAGTTTTCTAATGTGTTTTTAATATAGGAGATCAACCTATCTAATGGGCAAATTCAATCAAGTAGGGACTGTTTTAGCATACTAAAGCATACTAATATGAATTAATATAACAGTTTAATTAAAGAAAATTTCTCTACTCTTAAAATACTACAGTCCACACGGCACAGTTATTGTCGACTAACATCTTAAAGACGGCCCTAGCTTGTGGTCCACGTGCTGGAAAGAATGGTGCTCTTCCGCTTTACAACAGGGAGGTTTTAAACTCATTCCGAAGTCAAAACCATAAAAGCTCGTAAAAACCGTATATCGTCCGGAGAACTTCACACTGTTGAGGCGCCCGATGCGATTGGAATTTATGAAACAAGACAACTTAAACATAATCAAAAATAATTTTTATTAAACAAAGCATATGGGTACAAAATTATTGCGTACATGTTTTTGTATGTAACAAGTTATCTACGTATAATTTATGTACTATTCTATATGTACTTATGTACATAATAAATAAATATAACCACATGTATCCTGCGTTACCTTCTACGTTGTTGAAAAATACATGTTAATTTTAGTTTGGACTCCTTTCGATGTCCTGGAACCTAGGGCGAAGATTGTTCTACTCACCCCACCTGATAGTTACTGAAAACTCTTTCACATCATATGAACGCTTCACCTTCTCCATATTTACATCATCTTCTGATCCAAAAGATTCTTTTGAATATCCAATATTTTACTCTAATGCATCCTGCATAAGCTCTTCTTCAGTCAAATCTTGTGCCTTGTGATGTTTTGGCTTCTTAACTCACTTTCTCGATTTTTACTGTGAATATTTCTTTTAAAACTAGTAGTAAAAGTAGAGTATTCTCGTCATCTGATTCTTCCGATTCCGAATTCTCACGTCATAATGATCATGTCCAGCGTCTTCTAATGTTTTTTGGAAGTTATGGTGTTTTTCAAAATTGATCAAAATTGTTCATTGCATCTTCTACTTCAAAAGGGTTAATGTTCTTATCTTTATGTGAAGTGATAGAGGGATTGCTATATAAAACCTTTATTTTCGGATTAAATTCTTCTGAAGTTGCTGAAGTTTAGATTAGTATTAACTTCTTCCCCAGATCGATATGATGGTGCATTGTCTACTAATAATGGTTACAGGTTACAAGGTTTTTTCATTCTAATTAAAAATTTATCCAATAAATACAACTGCCAACGTAGTCCCACTTTAAATGCTCGTGGATTACTGGTTCGGACAGGAAAATTGTATTGTTGTGAATATGAATTTTGGACCGTTCGGATTTCTATTACGTTTTAAATCGTGTTATATTTGTTACTCTAACAACACACCCGTATCATATACGTGGAGGCGCAATAGTGTCGACAAAATGCTACATTTCCCTAAATTTGCAATATTTAGAAAAATGCTTTTTCAGAGTATTCGATAAAAGTGCGGCGATACCAAAAATACAATTTTTGCATAATACGATTCCTCGTTTCGTATTACGTTTATTGGAAAAACATTTCTTTTAACACGTTTTCCTAACAACTCCATTACTTAGAGTTTAGTAAAGCGCCTAAGTAATCATTTCGAAACTCTTGCGAAGTTGACGAACCTGTTGTATTTCATTACTGTACAATAATTTTAGTGCAACATGCGGCGCGCGTGTAGCGAATATTTTCGTTGAAAAGAAGATGATACGCCAATGTTTTCTGTAAAATATTTTTTCCGCATTTCGGCAAGAGAGAAAAGAAAAAGGTAGGGGAGGCGGTTGCGCAATGCGGTCCACAAAAAAAAATCTTTCCGATTTTCGCCGATCCAGTGAAAAGAGAAACGCGCTCGAGAGAGAGAGCTTTCACGTGTCTCCGACCACTTCGACGACAACAACAGCAACAACGCGGCATTTATCGTTACGTGAAAGTGGCTTTACTTTTACCCGCCGATAAATTTATTGTTGCGCATAAATTCACAGACGAAAGTGACGATTTTATCCTTTCGGTCGTGCGCCGCGACCTTGAACAACTCTTTATTTATTTATTTCGGGAAAGGCCCATTTCTCTCCGTCTCTGTCAAATTGTGGAAATGATAAAGTTTACAAGCCAAAATAAAGTCCTTAAAAAGATACATGGCGTTCAAAGTAAAACTTTACTTCCGAAAATCGCTGGTACAAGAGATTACCAACAAAATCAATTACCATGTGTACCAAGTGTTTGTACATTGATAAGGTCAGATAAGTGGAATATGCAAATACGTTTAAATATCGATACTGACCAAGTATCGCAGAAAAAAATATTCTTTCCGGGTAACTATGAACTGAAAACGCTTCATCATTAAGCACTGGTGATGCAACTAATTTTTCCTTTTGTCATATCACGCAGACATAAATTTAACAAAATAATATTAATAAGCAATATTTGCAACATATATTCAACAACATACTAGGACTACAAAGACGAAATAAGATAACGAGCAATATATTATATTAATTATGTATATTAACATTATAATTATCCGTATACAAACCTTATTCAACTTTTCTTTCTGATAATCATTCCAAAATATATTTCCATACAAAGTTATAGACGATTTTTATTTCCTTCTCTTTGTTTTGTCTGTTTGTGTATTTTATCTCAAAGAGTCTTAAAGCCGTATGTTTTCGAAAAAAAAAACAAGAATAAAAATAACGCGAGTCTTCGGTAAGAAAAAACCAAGTAATAAAAATACAGGCCAGCCATTGTTAAAAGAGCCGTAAAAATGCTCCCGGCGACCGCTTTTAGTATGCACCGGAAATTCGTGGAAATTTCTGTCTCAATTTTTTTTCAGCTCATTAGGCACGTAGAAATGTTTACCCTATACACGAACATTTGTTTATTTGTTTTATTTGTCCCATTTTTCAAAGTAACCTCTTCGACAGCGATTCGCAGCGTTAACTGCGCTAATTGTTTTCATACAGAGGACGTTTATTCATCCGATATTTACATTTTCAGAGAAAATAAAAAACAACGAACAAAAAAACACCTATTTTTTTAAACAAGAGAATGCGCCATTTTCATAACTTCTTTAGCTTCTTCCATAACAATAAATGTTTTTCACGTCATAATTAAATAAAATTAATATTGGTTTTATTTAATGTTTTGAAAATATCAACAAAAAAAAAAAAAACAACGTGCAAACCTAGCAATTTTTCACGAAAAATATCGGTCGGTACTGGAATGGCAGCCTCTTAAATCGCGTGCGAACCAACGTGACGTACGTCGTTTACCTTTCGCACGTTGCCGATATGTTTTGCCCGCTAGGATCTCGCCTCCCCGCCCCCGCGCAGCTCGAACCCAAACGCACGGTTCATTGTTATTCATGATCTAGATTAACTTAAAACGCTTTGCGAGAAGCCCCTTCCTTGATTCGAACTGTCACACTCGGACGCGTTTTGTTTTGTATTACCGGGCACATTTATTTGTTGATTTTGGTCGGTCAGTCCGACCGAACTTATTGGACGATTCGCTAAAATACAACAGAATTATTTTTTCAAATGCGGCGTTGCCAGATTTAAGCGAAATCAACGCCATTTTTGACACTTAAATCGATACGAGTAATATTTTCCGAGAAAAAATTTACGCAGCTGGTGGCGTTGGGTAAAATAAGGGAATGAAAAGTGAATGCGGATTCTTCAATTCCATTCATAATTCTATATTAGGTAGACAGGAAAATTCTAACGTATTAGTGTAATGCTTATTGGCGACATGGAATCGACACCCTGTTGTCGATCGAAGAGTTGCCACTTTAATTTTGTAATTCGTTTTTTCCCCGTATATTTACTCTTCGTTACAAGTTTGGAATCGACTTATCTTCATGTCATATACGTCATCGACCAGTGCCGGCGGTATTTTATTTCGTACTTGATAGAATTATTGTTAGTTCTTAGAGAGGAAAATACGAAAATAGAGACAAAAATAGATTTTAAACGGAGGTTGAATTCGATTGAACTTTTAAGAGTGAAGAATTTTAAATAGTGAAGGTATCTCAAAAACTCTAACATTTGAACAATTGAACAATTAGAACAAATTCTTATGTTAAAATTTCAGTTTGTCAATGTTCCCTTTCTCTTTAAAGTTAAAAAAACAGTCTACTACTATCTATTTAATTTAATTTGGTAACGCCGAACCGGCATAAGTCTCCCTACGACAGAGCCACCACCCCCGTGGGGTGGTAAACAAAAAATCATCCCCGCCCACCTGTGGCTTCGTCAACCCCAAAGGTCGCGAACTTTCCCCCCGGAACGACCGACACGCGAAGCGAATCGCGTTTACCGAGCCTGAAAAAAGAAAGTGAAACTGTGGGCGACCGCGCTGAAAGAGAAACTATTTTTTTTCCGTTTCCACTGTAACCGTTTTGTTCACGCAGCGATTGTCCGTTTTGTATTACCGGGCACATTTATTTGTTGATTTTGGTCGGTCAGTCCGACCGAACTTATTGGACGATTCGCTAAAATACAACAGAATTATTTTTTCAAATGCGGCGTTGCCAGATTTAAGCGAAATCAACGCCATTTTTGACACTTAAATCGATACGAGTAATATTTTCCGAGAAAAAATTTACGCAGCTGGTGGCGTTGGGTAAAATAAGGGAATGAAAAGTGAATGCGGATTCTTCAATTCCATTCATAATTCTATATTAGGTAGACAGGAAAATTCTAACGTATTAGTGTAATGCTTATTGGCGACATGGAATCGACACCCTGTTGTCGATCGAAGAGTTGCCACTTTAATTTTGTAATTCGTTTTTTCCCCGTATATTTACTCTTCGTTACAAGTTTGGAATCGACTTATCTTCATGTCATATACGTCATCGACCAGTGCCGGCGGTATTTTATTTCGTACTTGATAGAATTATTGTTAGTTCTTAGAGAGGAAAATACGAAAATAGAGACAAAAATAGATTTTAAACGGAGGTTGAATTCGATTGAACTTTTAAGAGTGAAGAATTTTAAATAGTGAAGGTATCTCAAAAACTCTAACATTTGAACAATTGAACAATTAGAACAAATTCTTATGTTAAAATTTCAGTTTGTCAATGTTCCCTTTCTCTTTAAAGTTAAAAAAACAGTCTACTACTATCTATTTAATTTAATTTGGTAACGCCGAACCGGCATAAGTCTCCCTACGACAGAGCCACCACCCCCGTGGGGTGGTAAACAAAAAATCATCCCCGCCCACCTGTGGCTTCGTCAACCCCAAAGGTCGCGAACTTTCCCCCCGGAACGACCGACACGCGAAGCGAATCGCGTTTACCGAGCCTGAAAAAAGAAAGTGAAACTGTGGGCGACCGCGCTGAAAGAGAAACTATTTTTTTTCCGTTTCCACTGTAACCGTTTTGTTCACGCAGCGATTGTCCGTGATTATATCGCAACGTCGCGATCGGACTTTCATTTTTTTTCTTTTGAGCTGAAACAGACGACCATCGTTTATTAAAAACGCCCGGCGGCCTTGAATTTAACATTTTTCGATGGCGCTCCTCACTTCCGGGTGGAGGCGACGTTCAAAATAGCCCGCCGCCGATCAAAAATATTTACTATCGCTGCGCCGTGTACGACAAATCTTACGTACCCGGCGAAGAACGACGTTGATTATTTTACTCCACACCACGAGTATGCGCTGTCAGAAATGTCATAGACATTTCTCGAAGCTATGTTACAACCGATAAGGTAATTACTTGACGAAATTGCCTGAAATTTAACGCGTTAACCTTTTTGTAAATGACGGAAAAGCAATTAAGCAAACCAGTTCGGCAACATGGTAATCGCCACCATTTCGATCTACCACACGGAAAATCATCTATTAAGCGTTGTAGATTATTCGCGTCATCGGCCCTTATCGCCAAGTTCTTTGATAAAACTCGTTCGAAGCTTCCTCTTGGCAACCGAAACGACCCAAGGACGCCCAAGATACCGCACTATCCGTCGATAAGATGTTCTATGCAAATAATAAACAATCTAAGTCGTTTTTGTTTACAGTGCCGAAATTGAAAATATCTAGAGTCAGGATCCGGTTTTCAACTGTGACGATCCCGCAGTGGTAATACTTTTTTCCAGACTCGCACTACCTGCGCGAGGGTCGGGCTTCAACAGGTAGGCGCGCGCGGGCTGCTATTAACCCGACCTGTTTTTTTTCGCTTTGCTTTTGTTCGTCAACAAGTTTTTCACGCGACCGACAAGAAAAAACTTCACCTACCTTAATCAGATTATCTCCAAACTCATACATCGCATTCTGAGACATTATCGCAGTGGACATTATTATCCTTTTTGTATAAACACAGCCACCCTGATTACTATACGCGGTCCGTAGTAGCACAACACAACGATGATTCTGTTTAGCTTTGGGAAACTCGCTTACGTTACGTTATACTGTAAGTTGTTTTTTTTGTCTCGCGCTATTCCACAACACAGAGATCGCCGCGTGCTACCTCCAACAATTTTACATGCCAACTACTTTCTGCCTTTCCGATTGCTGTACTATCGTTCGACGAAAACGCCTCTCCCACCGCCACCGACGATACGAACGCGCCTCGTGGTAGGGGAGAACGAAGCCCGACGTTGTCACGTAGACGCTATTTTACGACGTTACAAGAAAACCAAAATTTTGGACTAAACCGTTAGACCAGGTAACAAACTTTCCCGGTGGCCGATGACTGTGCTTAAAACATCGACTTATTACACAAATGTGATTAAAACATCATAAAGTTTGTTGAAAGCTACAGAAAATAATTGAGCTCGACCCTGACGTCATTATGCACAATGTAATGACTTGTTGAAACTACAAACACAATCGATTTTCGGGAATAACCAAGGAAGATTAAGGTATAGTAGAATAGTAAGGCCGGTTAAGAAGCAATTTCGGTCGTTTTTGCATGTGATTCCCATAAGATAAGATTTAAAAAACATTTTGATGCATTTACCGTTCCAGTTGAAAACCAACATGTTGATTTTGCTTAGTTGTGTTAACGCAAAAAGTGACGCAAACGTGGCAACCGTGCCCGGTGGTCGAAGCGACTTGACGTCTGTGCGCCGAAATTCGTCTTCAAGAATCAAAACTGGTGTTGTATATAAATTAACAACATCCGCTGCAGCGCATGATGAAAATCGACTCGACCATGCCTTTTGCCTCGTCCCACTGATTTATTTTTCGGAGGTTCATTTGTATGAATTCGGTTATTGTTGTCGGTTCTACATGTCGATGCGGCTTACCAACGGACGGTTGGGCCGTCATTCGGATTCTAGAGAAATATTTATTGCGAAAATTAATGGGTACGTCGCAAATCGGCAAGCACTGAATTTGCATTCGTACCAACATTATAGTAAATGCTAATGAATCGTTTACGCTGTACGTGTAAAGATATAGTTGCTAATGTTACAAATTACGCGCATACATATGTATATAGTTGCTGCAATCGGTTTAGTTAATATCCACCGTGTAACCAAAAAAGGTTGATTGTCGCCTGAAAAACTGGACGTGTTAAGTATGACGTATTTCCTTGTGCTTTTGCGGTACTGAGATGAGGGCGGATTTTTTTATGTTATCTTAACAGCCATGAAAATAACAAGACGGTAAAAAGAACCGTTTTATCTGAGGTTTTATCCGAGTTGCTACATAAGGAAATGTTAACGTCAGAGGTGGATAAACTATTCCCATTTTTAGGTTAGAAATTTCTGTAGTCAAGAATAATATATTTAAAATATATTTTCGTCGGAAGCATCTGCACTGCTGAAAGATTTCACGCTGGTTGTTGGTGAAATATAGACACGTTTTTTTGTTCTGAAGGTAAAGATGCAGATTAGCAGAGAATGTCCAGTAGTGAGTTACATCTGGAAGTAATTGGATATTTTGGTTAGTCTTCGTTAGCCTACGCCGCTGCTCAATGATAACAGATAACGTTATAAAATTAGAACACAGTGTAAACAACGGAACAATTATTGAATAACAAAATCATGCAGTGCTGTTTAAAATTTGATTAGAAAAATCACGTAGCTTATTTTTCTATCGAGACCATATAGAGCGCTTATCAATTAGTCCTTCGTTAATTATACTGGCATTTGTATCGGAATGGAAACTACTCTAGTAAGGCATGTACGAATGCTTGATTTGCAGATACACTAACCAAAGGATTGCGTGTGTAAAACAATCAAAATTTTACCACTAGTACCTCCGGCAAACTGTTAATGGAAAATGATGGTAACAAAAAACGCGACCCCACGTATATTAATATTTGTCAGGAGAAAAGTCTAACAAATGAAAAAAATCCAGTCCCCGCTACTAACGTCGATTGTTTGCAAAACTTCTGCAATGCGCAAAGCGCAAAGCGCAAAAGCGTTAAATGAACCGCAAATAGGATCTTTGACGTATTTTGTTTAAAGAATTCGTTATTAGTATTTGCCATTTTCGGCGTTTTCGTGGATCTTCATTTCGGCTAGCTTCGATTAACAATTTTATATTTTACAACTAATGTCTTTAAATTTACGAATTCTTGGTGTTATTTTGCGATATATCTCGTCATAACATCCGAAAATGAACGCAAAACAAATACGGATAATAAAAAGCCCTTAGTCATGTCAGTGACAAGAATTTAAACGGCAGTCAACCCTTTCCCTCTTTTAATGATATTTGTTCAGTTATCACCGGGTCCATTGCCGTAGAGACAAAATTTTCCTCCCTTTCGTTTGGCGAATTTTCTGGTTCATTTGTTTTCTCACTATAAGGTTATATACGTACATTATTATATATACTTTGGCTGACCGTTTGATAGTGACAGGTGAAATTGTTAACATTACATTGTTCAGTTTATCTTATTGGGTATAATAAATCAAAATACACAAATAATTAATATTGGAAGCGTTGAAAATTGGGCAGCATCACACCAGATAAAGACGATAATCTACGCCTCTGGACCATATGCAAATACAAGTGTGTGTTTATCGTTTTATGGAGTGAGACATATGGTTAATGTGGATGATATTTACAGTCGCTGTTCTGTTGTGGCCTTTAATTAGACTGATCTCGTTTTACAACCCATCCAGAATCCCGAGGGGGATCTTTTTTTATAAATGTTAGTGCCTTGGCCCGGTCAAAACAAAACCATTCATTCCTGTTCTTTTGAATAACAAATTGACGGCAATAGACAAATACAAATCATGTTCTTGCCCTACAAAAAAAAACAAAATCTTTTTTTTTTATAAACCCGCACTTTTTTTAATGGTTTTTTAATGTTATATATAGTTATACATGTTTTAAGGATCACAAAATTTAACTTAAAATCGTTTCAATTTAAAATTTAATTAATGCAAATTACATACTTACCTCGACAAATAACGAACAATGGGCTGGGAAAATGGGGAGTTCCAATGTCGTTTGTTTCCGAAACTTACTGGGTATTAATATTAAAAACAAATTTCATTTCATCTTTCGAAAAACGGCGTGATTAATTTTCACTTCACATATATACTGGATACTTTCCCGATTTTTTAACGAAATTTGTGGATTAGACCATTCTAATGCTCAACACACAGGGCGTTTACGAAAATTTTGCGTTGTTGCGAAAATTGTTTTGTTTTTTTAAATAAATAATTGAACAATAATGTACATATCATTAATTCCAGAAAAATACACTCGCCAATGTTTTCAACGAAAAAATTGGCGGCACTGTTTTGGGACCAGCCAACTAAAGATACTTCCTACACAGCAAAAATCTATTTGCCTCCCTGTATTCTAAAAACCTTTCTACCTTGCATACACAAAATCATCCGAAGTCCTGAAGTTTATCAAAATTATTTAAAAAAGCGTAAATAAAAATAAACGTACGTCCGTCCGGCAACGAATCGTGTCCAAGATACAGGGTGTAACAACTCTTTAGCAAACTCCCCGTATAATTTTCCGAGCGGTCAGACGGGTTGCGCTGTTTAAAAAACATTCGCGTCAGTTTTGAATCCGAGCGAAAAACAACTCTAAATATGTGCAATTTTTACACGAACCGCTCGTTAATTAACGATAGTTAAGTCCAGATAGATGTTTCCCGGCCTGCCACGATATATACATAGTTATACGGTCGGGCTTTCCAAGGTTAACACGAACATGTAACACAAAACACCATGCGATTAGTATAGGAAGTTATTAGTTATATTTCGAATTCGAAGGTTATGTTGACTCGGCGATGATGCTTGGGACCCGGAACAAGCGATCGCTACCGAGTCTTCACATTTTAGGCTCTTTAAAAAAGAATCCTTAAAAAAATTCGAATTTTAATGGTCACAGGTTTACAGAGTAAATCCAATTTATTTATTTATTTAGCGTATGGCATTACATGCAATGTGTAATACAAGTACAGATCTAAGAACAATCACGAATAATTACACAAATGTAAAAAGATAAAAGATATAATTCAGTGTCAAGGTTTGTTAGCCATTCCAACGGCGATGCAGATACCTCCATAAAGTCAAGCCAGCTTCCCGTGTATAAGCGTAAGGGACACTCGCTATAAATATGCTGGATGGTCTGTCTTGGTGCTCCACAGTCACATTCTGGTGATGCTGTTTTCCCCCATCGGAGTAACGAGTCCGCGCACCTTCCATGTCCGGTGCGTACCCGGTTCAGGGCTGACCATTGCCTTCGGTTTAGGTCGGTTCCCGTGACATTGCAATTATAAGTTGCGAACCAGTTTTGAAGAACATCACTTGCTTTCAAACTCCAGTCGCGCTTCCAGTGGTCTTTGGGATCATAAAGCACTCCAAAATGATGGCTATTTTGGAGAGCTTCAGCCAGATATAATGACGGTTTTCTGGACTTTAGTCTTCCGTGTCTCAGTTGTGGGAGATCTTTATGAATTGGTAGTGCTGCGTTTAGGATAATTTTTCTATGTTCGCGTAGCACTGGCAGCCAGTATGTAGGTGTAGACTTAATAGTACCGGATATCAGCCTCATTGTGCTATTTAGTTGTCTGTCACCAAGCCTGGAGTGACAGCTATTGATCCACACTGGAGCGCAGTATTCGGCCACGGAGAACGCAAGGGCAAGCGAAGAAGTGCGTAGTGTTGTTGCAGTTGCGCCCCAGGTGGTTCCACATAATTTTTGGATTATGTTATTTCGGGTTGCTATCTTCGCTGCGGTATTCTCCAGGTGTTTCCGATAGGTGAGCGTGCCTAATAGCCAGTGCTATGTCGTCCGCGTAGCAGAATTTTTTCCCCTCTGTGGCTGGAAGATCTGATATGTAAAGATTAAACAAAAGGGGAGCCAAGACAGACCCCTGCGGGAGACCATTATTTATTATCTTGGTGTGGCTAATTTTGTCGTCGAGGACCACATTGAAGCACCTATTGCTCAGCATGTTTTGTATTAGACGGGCTGTTGTTTGGCATGGTATGGCTCTCAGAAATTTGTAGTTCAGTCCCTCCCTCCAGACCGTATCATAGGCTGACGTCAAGTCCAAGAACACAGCGGCTCTTTTTAGTTTTCGTTGG